GCTAACCACTACAGTTAGATATTTTAATAATACGTGTCAGGCAATTTCGCAGTATTTTAACACATGTAATTATTCATAATACTTGGAAACCCGTTATTTAAAACCAGATAACTTCAATGGAATCCTTTTTATATCCGATATTAACAATAAAAGGGTTCACCCGAATCGCGTGTGTACGGTAGCATGCCCATTGCCAACCGTATTTTAAATAAACGTTGATGTCGGTCGAATGGTACACACGATAAGCTTATTTAATCTAGTATAGCCTAAACAGAAAACCAAGTTAAGTGTCGGTTACATCAATCGACTTTTAGGGACGACAGCCATATAACAAAGTAATAGTGAGGTGGTTTACGACCAGATCTAATTACCATATGTGACGTCTGTGTGTAGTGATGTAAATATAATTATGGGAATATCATCTTTCCTTTGTCCTTATTCCACTGGATATATTCCGCTCAAATGCACTAATACTCCCACTGAAGACAATGAAACATGGTATTCTCAATACTACAATAGAGACAAGGATATACTAAAACAAAGAAAACATTATCTGATATGCTTGAATAAACAAACAAAAAACGGTATCCCTAAAACAGAATACTGGATAAACAATATTCGAACCAATGATATAATAGCCAAATGACAACGATATATTACATCTAAATATTTATACAAAGACAACAATATTCCCATCCTGACATTCCAAACAAATTAATTACTTTCTCTTATCCTGGATTAATAAAATATATTATTTGCAACTGAGTGAGATATGGTTATCTCAGTCGAGAGCTAAGATTCTGTAATATAATAACCAATCTTGCTCAGTTACAGATAATTTGTTTTTTTCTCGCACCTTTCAGTTCGAAAACAAACTATTCAGTACTAGTATCCGTCTTGGACCTCAACACTCTACACTACTAAAGCTACATCGGAATGCTTCCACGTAAAAAATCAGTCCGTCCTGACAAAGAAGACTACGTATTTTACAGTTTAGATCATATTTTAACTACAACATCAAACCCATGCATAAAACGACAAAACAGAATATTTATCATGCAGATTGTCAATTATTGGTCTTTAACGCGCAGGGTAATACATCGCTGTACATGTGTACAAAGTCTGCGAAATGTCACGTAAAGGTACCAGACAGGTTGGACGAGATAAAAAAAAAAAATAGCACGGGGTATGATGTGGGATATCTGTGTATGAGGTGCGAGAAAGGTGTGTGTGTCCACGTCTTTCGCGGTGTAAGATTAATATGATATATCATCCCCTTGGAGTGATATATGTGAATCTCTGAACCCGAGGGGTAAGATTATCCATGTCCCCTAAAGGGATGAATGATTCTCACTCTCTAACCCTGTTGACTACATATCATACTCATGATGCATTGTTGACGCTACAGGCTCAATGCAGTGTTGATATGACGTTACTGAGTTGTTGACGTGGCATTATTGTATTGTTGACTAATAGAATCTTACCCTACCTTGAGGGTGTGACAGAGATTTCGCCAACCCGAGGGGTGATGTTCTTTCGTTGTATAACCCGAGGCTCTGTCAAGGGTTATACAACCAAACAAATCACCCCGAGGGTTGGAGATTTCTCTGTTACACCCTCAAGTTAGGGGATGATTATTTTTCTCCCATCCTATTATTTCAATCTCATCTCCGCCGACAGTAGACTGCCATGTTTGTAAACAAAACACATGTGAGGTATACATATCGTCATTCACTTTTGATGACGTCACACTTACCGATGACGCATTTTAATGACGTCACAATTGAACACGTGATAACTGGCACGAGGCTATCTCCCCCTAGGGGGTGACAAGCTAATCTTTCCCGGATAAAACGGGGGGCACACATGCGAAGGGTGGGAGAAAAGGATAACTCATACAGGGGAAAGTGTGGATACGCCTTTCAAAGGTAAGATAAATCCTTGTGACTTTCACCCTTTTGAGGTGAGATGGGGAATCTCAGGCCTCGGTGTGCAGTGTGTGTATAATGATGTATCTAGCATTCATGCCAGTCACATTAGCTCTAGCACATGTATGAACGATACTTAAACAACAGTAACTAAATGAACTCACGCCTTTAATTATAGCGTAGCCGGATCAGCGATTCGGTGGTCTTCACCTTTGTGTGCACCATCGGTGGTCATATTTTTGATGATGGTGACAGAATACGTACCGTTCTAGTCATCGACACGTCACACATAAACATTCATTGGTTGTGCTTTCTAAACATATATTCAATTAACACTTACCAACAATATTTAAAATGATTGCTAGGATAACGTCGTGTTTGCCTTGCTTCAGTATGCTTTTGTTAGATAACGTTGTTTTTATTTCATATATTATATTTAGAATAGCATCGGCATTGATATAATATATATGTTCAATGGAATAATGCTATATTTAATATAATACATAATTGTTAGGATAACGTTGTCATTTGTAATATATATATATATATGCCAACAGTTATATCTTATATCATATCTATACCACTATGCTAATCTAAATCAGAGGTACCTTCATCTCACAATCATGTACGCAATCCAAGACGACTTTATCCTTACGATGCTAAACAAGACCAATGGCAGCATTTTCTCAACAACGATATACTAAATCAAAGACAGCGATATTCTTACAACGATTACCTAATTGAAACAACGTTATTTCACACTGGTATCACTGGTATACTCAAAAACGGAAAGAGAACAGATTCCCTACAATGCTACATTTAAACATATATATAGTAGTCCCGATAAAAGCGTAGTAGTACAAGTACAGACGTATGCTCATATAAAAACGTTTAAGGACCGAATTGTATCCGCGCTGGTTGCAAGAAGGATCAGGACGGGAAAATGTAAGAAATGCGAAAATAGTTTTAGCAAGCCAGTTTGGTAGGTTTTGAATGTCTGTCTGGCTGCCTGACTAATAAAATCTGTCCCTACCTTGAGGATGTGACACAGAAATGTGTACTCCTCGGGTTGATGATTTTGTGAGGATTACAGCTGCAAGTAACTAAATACTCATCCCGAGGGTTGAACATTTCTCTTTCACACCCTCAATGTAGTGGATGGTTATTTTTTTTAAATAATTATTATCCTGATAAGCACATTATCTTTAGCGTCGAGGGTTAGTTGTTACGTCATGTCACTGTTCATGTGACGTTATAGTGACTATATATGTTAGTGCACATTAGGGGGTGACAGAGAAAGCATAGCCTTGGGTTTGGCAGTAGAATCATGAACAGGTTACCCGAGACTTTGTCGAGGGTAGGACATTCGAGAATATCATCCCGAGGGTTGGAGATTTCTCTGTCACACCCTCAATGTAGGGGATAATTGTATTTCTCCCATCCTGTTTCACTCACAAATCCGCCGAAAATGAGTGATTGCATGAAATATCAGAGTTGCTTGAACTTTTCCGGTTTAAAAGGGAGACACACCTGTGAAGGGTTATCAAGCCAATAAATCATATTTCACTGATGAAAAAATGCACTGCATTAAAATGCAAACAAAAACCCACATCAAATAAGTTTCTTGACATAAAATCATTAAATACCTACGTATTCATTTTTATAGCAAACAGTCACGCATGTCCAATCTTCTGTAGCACGGGGGAAAACTCTATGCCAGCCTACAATATTGGGGGTTTTCGACATAGCAATATTAAAGCTACCGAGAATTGTTCGTAGTACAAGAGTTCAGTTGAATTATTTGCACACCATTGGTAAACACTAAGCACATATTATTTCAGTTGTATGATTAAATTACGCAGTGAATTAGTCCGAATGGATAAACCACCCCTGGAAAATACATTCATAATATTTAATACACTACACACGTTCATACACTGAATTAAAACGGGTGACCAGAGATTAAGAGATTAAATGGAGTGTATGATATATTCAGGTTTGTTTAATAATCCAGAGAGTTGTTTCCTGACACCTTCAGCATGGTCCCAAGGGTACCCGTATTTATGATGTAGTAAGAACGTGGGTGTTCAGGTAAAACAGTGTCAGGAGTAATTGTGATACAAGGTTAGTGACAAGAACCGAATACAGGTATTTATACTTTAAAGAGATATGTTGCGAAATAAAATATATTTTCAAATTCGACGTGTTAAGTTTTTTTTAAATAATGGATCGAAAACAACTTTAATTTGTTAAAATCATAAATGGACCAGGTTAATAAATAACATTTAATCCGTCCCGACTAAATAATAGCACGTCAAGAAGATTTTACATTATAGCTGCCAAGCATAATAATACTATATGTGTCTAAAACTTAGACAAATTATTTCAATATTTGTCTGAATTAATGTAAGATTATAGTTATTAACCTAAGAGAGAATGTCTGTCATAATTGCTGTTTCGCGTGACTTGTGTGGAAAACTAACGTTTGTTGTAAAACACGTTTCTTTAACCTAATACCGGACTAAGAGACCCCTGGTGTAATGATTACCGAATAATACTGTTGAAATAATTTAATTTCTGTAATTTCTATCATTCTAATTGAGCTACCCTCGAGTATACAGAGACGGAAACAAAAGTGTTTTATCACGTTATAGATATAATACGGGTAATGATCTTGGCGGAGGTAAATTGCTCTCAGCACATTAGGCAGGATGTTTATTCAGCTTGTAAATAAATTCTGATAACTGCGTATTCCTTGTATCATAACAAATATGACTAACTTGTTTAAGTTGTATTTTTTAAGTTTATTGCATCCCATTTTTTCAAGTGATTGTGTTATTGATCGCTATCATGTGTTGTTAACAACAGATGAATAAAGAACAGGAAAGCTGATAAGACTTGACAAACAATGTCCCAGTAGAGTTTTAAATATACACATATATATATATATCTGAATACAGATAAACGGTATTTATTGACAAGTCAAATTAAATATTCAAAGCTAACAACAAAGATATGACGACTGCAATAGCCGTGTTATTGATATAAACACCAGTATACATGTCACGCGTTTTCCAAGCTGATCACACATGGCAACTGGGCCTACGAGACCACATGTACAGAGGATGGGCGACTGTGATAATTGATTACTGCAGCTTCCACTAAGACTAAGCAACTCCGAAATGCCTGGTATGTATTACTATATTTTTATAGTCTGCCAAAAAAAATATTGTATTAACATTATCTAGTGTTAATGTGTAAGAGTAGCTTTATCATACGTGTTTAATAGACTTCGAACCGAAGGATACGATGGAAGTGAATTTTGAAGACCAATTGTTTTGGAAACTTAATTATCAATTCCTTGACAACTGCATAGGTGCTTGATCATTTGATTATTAAACAATTAAGAGGTTTTTTTCTTTCAGTCAACAAATTACCATACATAATCTTTTAAGCCCTACTGATAATGGTGTGTTCAGACACCCGGCTGTGGATACCATGGCCATTTGATATATCATTTATGATTTTTACGCAAAATCATGTATTGAAATGGGATTATAGTATCGGCAATGATTTTGTTCATCTACATATCTAATAAACCAACTTATTTACAACTGTAGCGTCAAATATTCATTTATTCACATAAATAATCATTTAGCTGATAAAAAAATTGGGTATTGACGTAACCGTAATAATATAGGTAACTGTCATGTTAAACCTCCTGTTTTTTAATTCATAGCCACAGGAGAATTTTAACAGAATACTTTGTTCTGAAGGCCACTTACAAGTTAATTGCTTTTCCCCTTGTCGGTACTCAGGCCTGCGGAAACTCTCTGCAATAAACACATGCTACTAGTGAGACAGTTTACAAACCAAACGATCAAATAGAATAGTGAGTAAGGGCGGCATTGTTCTTATTTTTCTTATTTATATTTCACATAATACAGTTAAATATCATTACTTAAATAACATCTCTTTAGATTATGTTTTAAAAGAAATTTAAGATTGACGTCATTAAAACGAATTCAGGGATATGTCTGATAAAGAAACAATTCATAGTATCAATAATCAATGGCACGCCCTACGTTCATATGCTCAAAGAACTAATCATAATGTCAATAATCAATATGTATAATTAGGATATGGAATCACAAATCAAATAGAAAAGTCAGTTATTTAATAATGTTTCACTCCTCCTCATCCAGTCTGACGAGAATGCTCGTAAGATATAGATGTTTACGCTACCGTCACTGTACCAAAATCGGGACAGTACCCAAAACGAGTCACTTCTGGGAAAATGGCTCAAGAAACTGTCATTTAATGCAAAGATGTACTTTTATGTTTACGGTTTTCATAAGATGATACTTTTATAACAATTCAACTGTATGTAAGTTTTATTGGCTGCTAATTATCGTTACATGGACAATTTAAAGTAAAGAACAATGACCAAAACAAAACTTTTCCGATTTACGTGCCGTTCGATGCTATTTATTTGGATATCATTTTCAATGGTCTATTTTATCTAAACTGATGCTAGTTTGGAGATAACCCTTTTTGACTCTAAAATATTTGAAGTACGTCTTATTTTCTGCTTATGTTGATCGTTTATCCCCAAATATTAGCCAAAATACCGAAGTGTTCCTTTCAGGGTACATTTACGCCGGTTCAAGGGCCTACGTTACCCTGGTCGTATTTCGTGTTCTATTTATAGAACCACGCGCCCGAAATATCAGCTTTTAATAGAAATGAAAAGTGGATAGTATCTATTTATGAAAAAGTATGGTATAAAGAACATTGATATTTATCTAAACAGTGTCCCGATTTGGGTACAGTGACGTTACCTGAATACATGTACAAGTGTATCACTGTGAGCCTAAAGAAATGTGTCTTTGGTTTAGTTTCTGGTCATTTCAGTTGTCCAACAAGGTTGAGTCCTTTAATAGAATGGCAAAGCAATTTTGAATGTAGATGTGGACTGCAAAAGTCTTAAACAACTTCCTCAAGTAAGAAGACCTTATTTGAGGACTATTTGAAAAAAAGATGAACTTTACACACATACACAAATACACACACACGCACACATACACACCCACACTCACACACACACACCCACACTCACACACACACACCCACACTCACACTTACACACATACACACACACACACACACACACACACACACACACACTCTCACACTCACACACACACACACACACACACAACCACACACACACACACACACTCACACATACACACACATGTGATTGCACATTTAAAATTTGGTAATAGATACAGTGAGCCAAAACTGAACTACATCAAACAGCTATTTCGTCACTCTTGTACTCGTCGATGATGCTAGGGGCCTAGACGTTAAATGTTGCTTTCTGCCAACATGATTTCCTACAGATGCAAAGGCCAATGACTGACAACATGTTTTAATCACATCCACTGTATAACATATCTTGGTGTAGAAAAACCCGATGAAAACAAACGGATGTCAATAACATCAAATAAACTAGAGTTCATATAACTCCTTAGGCACAAGGAGCAGGAAGGGAAGATTTTAAGGGAGTCTGGTGGTAGTGTGGATATTAGAAATGTTTCATTAAGCAAATGTCTAAATACCACATGAGCAATCGCATGATCTGGATATGTTTTAATTTGAATTATGTGTGAGCTAATTGTTTCAAAGATAAGATTACCTAAAATAAAAAGGCCATGTTGTTCGGGTACTTGATACATTGCAAACCTGGTATTAACCAAAAACGTCTAAGGCCAGAGTTCCAAGGGCTGACATGTTACTTAGCGAACACCATATCTTTTAGAAATGTTATTTCTGTCTTATCAATGCAATTAAAAATTAACTTTCGTGGTTCAATTATTGTAAAACACTGAATAATTTAGAAAGAACAAGAAATAAGCATACCACTGCTACACAGTTTATTATTATCAGTTTTATTATCATACCACATTTGATATAGCGCCATTTCTAGCTAGATTAAGCCACCCTTAAACCATAACAAAAGTAAGCAAAATCAATACAGTTAATAATGTAGCTTTTTGACAAACAAGTGATAATGACAGAGATAAATGTTATTCCTTTGTCAAATATAAATCCATGCCAATTCAAGTTGGCCCCCGATTAGCCTATAAAACAGGGAAACAATGGGATTTACAAATATGTTTTTAGATTTAAATTCAGAGCAATGATTTTTTACACCTTTTAAACTTCTTTGTAAAATATCAGCAAGTTATTACTTATATTGATCGATTGCAAACTTGCACATCACTCACTCAAAAAAACATAAACCTAAATCATAATTACTCACACGCCCACGCTACGTCCCCGACGGATTTTAGCATATCCATTCTACTCCTCGAACAGGCGGTCTAAAAACATTACAATGTTAGTTTTACCCTTGCTTTCTAAAAATTGTGTTTTACATTGATATCGAAGTTATCGTAAGCTAAAGTTTCCGACAAGTCAATTTCACATAGTGTCTGATAGGATATTATAAATACATTTTCTACAAAATCGACAAAAAGGGTAGAAGGACGGTACATTAAAGACGATAATAAACAGAGTTATAACTGGCTGATTGAGCAGCATGTGTAAGTCTCTGATGTCTCCGTGTCTGTCCAGCTACCTGGGTGTCGAAAAGGAAACACATCTACATCCAGTATTAACATTTTTGTTTCGTTAGGTATGTCATGTTATCTAGCTTTGTAAATTAATGTTTAACAATAAAATGATAGAAATCGCATAGTGCATTCAGTCGAGCCTTTTCCTTTCATTACTCGCAAATTATATGAAGCTTCACATGTATCCTTTCGGATTAGTATATTGTGTTTACTGAAGTTTAAACTCAGTTCCATCAACAATATGTATATGTATATGTGACGTAATCATGTTTATGTGTAATGAATAAAAAAAAAAAGTTTTCTGTTTTTCTTTTTTTCTAGGCATTACCACGGCGAAGCTGGATAGACTAGTCCGCTATATACAGGAACGAAACTCCGCCCGATCTCGGTGGATACTTGAGAAACTCCAGAGACAAACTGACGAACTTCAGGTGTTGGACTATCGCTACCATACAGACGAAACGCTTCTCCATATTGCCGCCAAATACCAAGATGATGGTGAGCTCACGTCACGTATCCTACAAATCGCGCCAAATCTCATTCTCAAGGCGCGTTCGTGTGAGCAGTATGCCGGTCAAACAGCTTTCCACATCGCTATCACTAAGGGCAATTTGACGGCATTTAATCAAATGTTGAATGTTGCCGCACGGTCTCCGCAATCTCTGCGCACTTTGCTGAGTACTAGAGCGACGGGGAGGTTGTTCATTAACACTGTTATGATGGGAGAGCTACCATTATTTGTAGCTGTGCTTAAATTCGACAAAGATATGGTGGATAAGTTGTTAGACACGGGAGCTAAGTTATATCAACAAAATAGTAAAGGAGATACCATATTCCACTCCCTCATCAAATACGCCGCTGTGTATCCCGACAAGGCATGCGAGGTACGGGAGATGATGGAATATCTGCATGACCGCCTTGTTCAACTGACCAAAACTACCATACAGAAACAAGCACCGTCAAAAAAGAAGGACGAAGAGAAGGAGGACGAGGAGGAAACAGAAAATGAGGACGACAGTGAAGTAAAACCAATCGGAAATGGTTATCATCACAGTCTGTCATCCACTCGTAACTTCCCTCCACTAGACCAGAAAAAGACGAAAATAGCTTGGGACGCTCAACCAAAGAAAGAAACAAAAGGAAAGTGGGAAGAAACAACCTGTAATGAATACACTCACGTCTGGTTTCTCAAAAATGACGACTCGCAAACACCGTTACAGCTAGCCGCTGAGTATGGTATGGTCACCTTATTCGAGTTCATTCTCAACATAGAGGATATCTATTGCTTGTTCAGTGCCGATGACGGCCTTTTTGATATTAAGCTGTACGATATCACAGAGATTGACTCCATAGGAAACACGAAATCACAAACAATGTCTGCCGATGATGTGAATGATTATGATGATGATGATGATGATGATGATGGTAACACTGGGCGAAGTTGTTGTAGAGGTATCCATGGGTCAGTTACGACGGTCTCCATCTTGGAAATGATGTTCGATAATAACTACAAGAGTTCCGCCGCCTTCGAGTTAATGGAGCTTCAACCACTCAAAGTTCTCATTGAAGCAAAATGGAATTTGTACAAGAGCACGTACATATTCTGGATGGTGATCCACTTTATTCTGATGGTCGTCCTCAGTGTGTTTGCAGTGGAACGGACTAGCCTGAACTTCCCAAAGTTCCCAAGGGCAGCAAATTATACAAACACCGATCACGTGATCTCCGTTTGGATAGTTAATGTGTCACAATGGATAGAGTTTGCATTTGGAATAATATATTTTCTTATCGGACTACTCCTCATTTTCCCCAAAATGAAACGCCCCCATCGCTCTCGTTACTGGCAACACAACATCGGGTACATAACCATGGTGTTTATGTTCGCTATATGTTTACTACTGGATACACTGCTGACGTTTGCTCTCGAGGTTCATGACGGTGTCCCTCTTGTCTTTGCTCTGCTGACGGGCTGGTGGTTCAACGTTTTCTTTTTACGGGGTTGGCAGGTGTTTAGCTTCTTTACCGTCATGATACAGCGTGTCATATTCGGCGACTTATTCCGGTTTTCCGTATTCATCGGGCTTGAACTTGTAGCATTCACAACATGTATGCATACGGTCTATCAAGGCCAAGGTATTCCGAACATTGAAGGAATTTACTCTTCAACAGAAACGAGCACATTGCTGGAGTTTGGATCCACCTTGTTGTCAATGTTTAGTCTAATGCTGGGGTTGTCAAATATCAATGGGTTACGTGAAGCTCGAGTGCCATGGTTATCTATCATTCTCTTCATTGGATTTGTTCTGTTAACATACGTTCTTCTGTTAAACGCACTAATTGCTATGATGTCAGCGACATGTGGCACGGTTCTAGAAAATCGGTACGAACAATGGCGGATACAACAGTTGTCTGTCATATTATTCATTGAGGACCTTCTTTGTCTCTTTTGTATGGATAGGATCTTACGATGTCCGGCAAAGTTAACAAAGATGGAAATATTCCATCCGTCGAAAATGACAATAAAAAAACATGTCCGCTATTACCTGAAGATGCAGTCCTTACAGGGTGACTTCGCTTCCGAGGAGGACACTGAAATAATTCAGAAGAAAACACAGGCAGAAATAGCAAACACTGTCAATACAGAGCTTCTACAGTCCATTAAAAAGGAAAGCAAATTCATGGTGCCGAAAAAGGAGGAACGGAAGCCTATTCTTGTGTCAAGGGAAACAGAGACTGACGACTATCTGTTGGCCCCTACTGTTATCGCGGCCCCAACTGCTTCCATCGTCCCAATCTATCACGAAGTCGGCGCGACAGAGGTGGAACCAACCGAACGCGACTTGCAAGCGGCGCGTCAGATACATAACACCAAACACGTGTCAAAATCTGCGGGGTTAGGACACGTGGTTTACCACGAACACATCCAATAGATGATAATTATTTTGTAAGCTGTTTGTCCGATATATATACCAGCCAAAATATCATCGATACTGGTGATGATATAATATTCTTATTTTAATTACATTTACTTTGAAATCTTACTTTATGAACCCACTACATGTAAATTACACTATCATTGTGGTACTGCGACAACTAACATGTGCTACGTCATATTGATTCAAAAGAAAAATTCTTTTACAACAATCATGAAACAAATTATTACAACTTGTATTAATCATTCTTGTTGGCTCGGATGTTAACGTGCAGGAGGAAATCGGAGTACCTGGAAAAAACCCACGTGACAGGTGACCCCATATCTCCGCACATCCGATCGGGGAATCAAACCCCGGCCGCCTTGGTGAAAGACGAGTGCGCTATTCACTGCGCCACCCGACTAGCATTTGATTATGTACATGTCAATGCGACGATTGCGCTCCGTTTCAAAACGTTGTCTGAATTAGAGACAACCGCTATTATGAAAAATACTTTTGAAGTGCGGTTTTTCTATCAATAATATTCAATTCACGATAATTCAAGATCACGGAAGAAATAAGATATTTCTTTTCTTCCGGGGAGTTTTGGAACTTAAAGTTTTTGCTGCGTCTTTAATATTGTATATCTTCTGTCCAGAGATTTCCGGAAATTTGCTAAGATTCTACTGGCGCAATACAAACGAAACTTTACATGGATATTGATATACTGTTGTAGATGATATTCCGGGCTCATTTGGATGCATCACTTGCGACTCTGTGACAGTTTTGAGGACTCATGTAACGGTCCACATTACGATTAGAATGTGTTTTAACGATATTCTAGAACGTCTGATTCGGTGGAACTCGATAGATCGTTAGAACTAAGGCCTCCATTTAGGCTAATAAGTGAATTTGTATTGATTATTTCATATGGTCTGAAATTGCAAAGGGTTAAGGGTCAACAAAACTTGTCTAGTGGAACGGAATATTGAAAATTACATTTAATAGTCATTGTGAAGAAGGCATAATTTGATATGAAAATATAACGTTTCAGTTAATCTGAATAACGGTGAACTGAAAATGTATTACTCCATTTTTTCAATTGCTAAACATTTAAAATTCAATTCATGCTCGTGTCATACCAATTACAAAATCAATCTAAACGCATAACGTGATATAATCAATACAGTTGATCGCATGTATTCGTTCATTAACATTCAGTCAGGCGATATGATGATGCCTAGTTTATATTTTAATTGAATTAATTAAAATATTTATTACCTATATAAAAGCGTTTGTTATAATCGAAATGAGTCAGGACTTAGTTTCTCCTGATTTCATAATCACACATGCATTAGTAGTTTCTGAACAGCGGTTATATATGAGTTCTCGCCTGATGTCAATGCGGTTATATATGAGTTCTCGCCTGATGTCAATGTCTCACTCTTGGTTAATTAGACATCGGGTTTGTTATAGCATCAAAGAGGCTTTAAACTTGTATAAACACGTATGTATCCAGTGATAGCAAATTCTTAAGATTAAGACCAGTAGTGTATGCATATAGAATTTTTACTTGGGATTTACGTGTAAGTAATAGGTAAACACTGCTAAAATTTATTTCATTAAGTCTTGCTCTGTATCTACGCAGAGAAATCGTATGGACATAGTACAGATTACAACCTGCTCAGTTGTGAATTAGCAGCGTATATAATTGTTTTTAAATTATCCGTACAGAGTCATTTCTAACGTATAACAAGAAATATGTGATAACAATATTTTAAAAGTACTCAAAATTAACGGGAACCTGCATTTAAATTTTAGAACGAATTTTAAGCATGATTCCTACTAAAATCAATGAAATCGTGATGTAATGTTTAAAAGGTTAGGATAGAAAGGGAAACATTTTAAACTTTACAAAAGTTGTCATTAGCATATTTATTGACTAACTGCTGGATAAAGAGTATGTAAGCATGTAGGCATTAAGAAAATTCTGTTCTCAAAATTAGATTAAAGTATTTTTATCATAAGAGAAAGAAAGAAGGAAGCATGCAATTAGGAACGAAAAAGATAACAATCCCAACGAACAGTAGTAAGTATCGTTGTAGAACAATATTCCACAATAAAGTGGTTCAAAACACTGAATGGGAAAACCCTAATAAACGACAAAAAATATTTCTAACGATTTACGATATAATTACAAATTAATGTTTGGTTCAAAATAGTTGCGTGTCCATATTAGTCATTCACATGGTGTAAAAGATAATTAAGATAATTATTAAAATGCGTGTTTAGGATGAAAGCGTTATTAATACAAAAGTTATTAGATATTTCTTATGTCAGCCAAAAACGTTTAACATAGAATGTTTACACAGGAATGGGTTGTCGGGTGGCGCCTTTAACACAGACGACCGGGTTTTGATTCCCCGACCGGACGTGAAAATGCATAAGTGTGGCAAGCCAACGTAACATTTATTAAAGGAGCAATGTCGATCCTGTAGTTCATCGAATTATATAAGAGATCTTATATAAGACAATAGAGATATATTATATAACATAAAAATATCTTATTTAGATGACATATCTTATATAACATATAAATATCTTATATAGATGAGATATCTAATATAATATATAAATATCTTATATAGATGAGATATCTAATATAAAATATGAATATCTTATATAGGTGAGATATCTGATATAACATATAAATATCTTATATAGATGAGATATATAATATCATACATAAATGTTTTATAAAGATGAGATATCTTATATAGCATATCAATATCTTTTATAACATATCAATATCTTATATAACATATCAATATCTTACATAACATATCAATATCTTATATAGATGAGATATCTAATATAACAGATAAATAACTTATATATATATGAGATATCTTATACAAAACATAAATATCTTATATATATGAGATATCTTATATAACATAAAAATATCTTATATAGATCAGATAACTAATGTCATATATATAAATATCTTATATAGATGAGATATCTTATGTAATATATCAATATCCTATATAGATGAGATATCTAAAATAGTATACAAATTACCTTATATGGATGAGATATCAAAATAATATATAAGATATCTTATATAAATGAGATATCTAAAATAACATATAAATATCGTATATAGATGAGATATCTTATATAGGTATAAATATATAATAGAGATGAGATATCTAAAATAACATAAAAGATATCTTATATAGATGAGAATTATTATATAACATATACATATCTTATATAGATGAGATATATTATATCATATATAAATATCTTGTATAGATGAGATATCTTATATAACATATAAATATCTTATAAAGAAAAGATATCTAATATAACATATAAATATCTTGTATAGATGAGATATTTTATATAATATAAATATCTTATATTGATGAGATATCTAAAATAAGATATCTTATATAGATGAGATATCTAAAATAACATATAAATATCTGATATTGATGTCTTATATAATAAATAAATATCTAATATAGATGATAAATCAAAATAATATCTAAGATATATTATATAGATGAGATATCAAAATAAGATATATAGATGAGATATCTAAAATGATGTATCTAATATAAGATATCTTATATAGATGAGAATGTTTATATAACAAATAAATATCTTATATAGATGAGATATCTTATATAATATACAAATATCTTATATAGATGAGATATCTTATAAAGATGCGATATCTTATATAGATGAGATATCTAAAATATCTTAAACAACTTCTATAGATGAGATATCTAATATACTATATCAATATCTTATACAGATGAGATATCTAATATCACATCTAAATATCTGATATAGATGAGATATCAAATATTAAAAAAAATATTATATAGATGAGATATCTAATATAATATATAAATATCTTATATAGATGAGATATCTAATATAATATATAAAAATCTTAAATAGATGCTATTTCTAATATTGTGTATAAGATATCTTATATATTATATAAGATATCTTATCTACGATGTAAGATATCTTATGTTTTATTTGATCTTATGTAGAAATTAAATGAGATATCTTTTATAAGTATATATAATCTTATATAAGATATCTTATTTACTATATAAGAAATATTTTATCGTATATGATATTCATTCCACATTAAGACCCCCTGCGCGCTTACATCAGGGCAAACAATAGTGAAATGTATAATTTGATACAACTCATTTACATAATTAATGTAAGATCAATAGTATTTAGATATGCACGAGAACGATACATTTGCATGGAGATGTGATTAGAAGAACGTTCTTCGTTTGATCACCTTCGTGACTCTTGCGTCTATTAACAAACCTTTTAACATCAATATACGCATGCGTCGACGACAGTAGGAGGAGCAGTTCAGTCTAGCTTATTATCGAATTACTTTTTCATTGAGATGTGTAATTTACGTGCAATACGTGATTTACCTGAGTGGCCAATGGTGATGTGTAATGTGTAGCGATATGTACACTTGTGATTAACTTGTATCACTTAAAATTGATGTCATATCGAACCGTTTTGATCAGCGTTCAACATGAAAATATTTACAAAACAACTTTTCTCGAAAAGTGCTCTTTATATAAGCCGGTTCCATTATTTATATTACACAATTTAAGAAATTAACGCCACAAGAAATTAGTATTACCATATCTTGAGATTTTTTTTTTATAGTTGTTGAAATTTTCAGCAATCAATCACAAAAAGAAAAAAAAGATACTTTAACATTATCTGGCGACTCAGTTAAAGTTACTGATACTATTGCGTCAGTTACAATCGCGAAGAAAAGTTCCACTCATATATTTTTTGACTTGTCAAAAATTTAGTGTGTTTTTTTCGCTTTGGTGCTGTTTATTTTTTATTTTTATATGGCAACTTTGGCAAAGTGTACGGTTTTCAATGTAAAAGTCCTGGATTCGATCCCTGCATTTTTTTAACTTTTTTATCATCTTTTTTTCTGCTTTCTAACACTCTTTCGAACAACTGTAATTTTATAAACTGCATTTGCAACATGTGACTTTTAAGGAATACTTCTTTTGTAACAGACGTTAACCAATATTTCACATCTGTGATAATAGTAATGATATAGACTAAATTGTAAGTATCCTTTACCTCAAGTGTTCTTACCAGCGCAATTCTACAAAACAGCTAAATAAGGGAGACGATTCTCAGTACCCGAATGCGCCGTTACTTAAACATCAAGGCCCGCGTTACACTTGAATACTTTGACACAAAAGAAAATGTGTGCAGCAGAGCTGATATTTCTAGCTCAATAGTGATATCAGAATCATTTAGAATTATATGATAAACTATATTTGCAATTTTATCTGATTTTGTCTCTAAATGATATTTTACATGCAAGAAACTTATCTATTTCATTCTATCTTCATATAAGCCGGAAATCTATTAATACACGGACTAAGGCTTGTAAAAACTACAATTCAGACAGGCAGTTAAAAAGGGGAGATAATTCCATATACCCGAATGCACTGTGCGTTAAACAAACAGCCGATCGTTACATACATGAGTGGAACTGCTGTATGCGTTATGAGCGCGTCCTTAGTTACACAGTTGAATGGTTTGTTTGTACAGATAACAATCATTGTGTGCAATGGCGCTGACATGTCCCCAACATTTAATAAAGGCGTATCGCATTCCCTATCTCATTATACTGATCTGTTTAAAACACAAAAGCGTGACGTATATGTGTTTCTATACACAATCTGATAGAGGGCGTCGAGAGGGGAGAGACGGATTACCCACTAAATATCTAATTCTTCCTTTCGGCACTGCTGTAGGCCAAGCTGCCAGGTTCCCCTTAATGTACTTCTATAAAACAATATTTGACTTCTCTTTCGTTTTTGTCGGATACATGAAAGATTCAACATAAAAACATTTATTTGGTAAATGTATTAATAAAATTATATCCCCCATCCTCGGCCCCATAAACGCCATTGATTATAACAGGATGTGTATCTGCCTATACCAATACACATACAATCACCATGTCGGACCAAACGTTTGGTAAATAAAACGTTAAAATGGCAGACGGTACGGGTATACATTTAGACCCTGCTACTCTGACCCACTTGAGGTATCTCTTAGAAAATGGAGAACCTCTTGCTTACAGGGAGACAGAATCGCTGGATAGCCAGGACCTTGCATCTGCTAGGAGATACGAAGACGGTAAGCAGTTTGAAGAATTCAATTATATTTAAGTCCTCAAATAATTTACAGTGATATGTTGTAGCAGTATAATTTACTTCCAACCCAGAAGTATATCTCGGTAATATTAAATTCTTATCGGAATAATATAAAGTAAACACTGCATTCATTATACTGATTTACTAAATTCTGAATGTATTTGCTTTTGTCCATTTGAATCAATGACGAACTATTTTAGTTCATGCTTACGATGAATATATAGATCTATAACAAGCAATTACCTTAGAATTTTGTTCTAGATTTTAACAATTTTTGAACTATTGAAGTCGGCCTTAGCGTTAGTTTGTATATATGCACAAACTCGTCCCACAAAAGGATGCTAATGTCTGTGTTGTAACTAATAGAAGATTTATAATTTTTGTAGGGACTGAACTGATACAACTTTTGAAGGAGTTCATTGAGGAGAAGGACATCGATGAAGCCAAGGCAACACTTCAAAAATTTGTAGCCTTGGAACTAGACATCAGGGAATTTCAACTCGACATACCCCAGAAACCAAACGAACGCACAACCAACGAGACTATTCTCCATCATGCAGCCAAGTACGACACCGGCGGGATTGTTAGTGCTATCTTGGACAAGTTCCCGGTGCTGGTCTCCGAGGCGAAGAAGGGATCGGAGTACAAGGGGCAGACCGCACTTCATATCGCCATTACGCGAGCCAACAATGCGGCCATAGCTCTCATTCTTAGGACTGCAAAAAGATGTGATGAAATAGTCCTAAAAAAACAAGGAGAGAATGAAGACGAAGTTGGTGAAAAACCCCGTATGCTTGAGAACCTACTAAACACTAGGGCGACCGGAAGTAGATTTGAAGGAACAGTCATGATGGGAGAATTACCGCTTTTTGTTGCTGCGCTTAAATTTGATTTCGGCATGGTAGACAAGCTGATTGATTTTGGAGCTAATATATGCACAAGGAATGAAAGTTATGATACGATATTTCACTCTATGATTAGGTATCTGAGCAGAAAAAGAGACAAAGAAGACGAAGTCAAACGCATGATGAGTCATCTCACCGGGCACCTCAGAGACATCACCAAGAAGAAGAAAGAAGAAATGGAGAAGGAAGATATCCATCGATTAGAAAATTCTGACAATCCTGACGAAGACAATATTAAGAGCAACATAACACGTTCTAACAATTATGTTCATCTCTGGCTGATGAAGGATAAAGACGGGTTAACTCCCTTGAAATTAGCGGCAAAACACCAACTGGTTCACATATTTGAATACATCCTAGAACTGAAGGATGTCTATTGCTTTCAGAACGAGGATGAGGGTTTATTTGACATCAAAAAGTATGACGTCACTGAAATAGATTCCATTGCTAACACAGAAATTGAAGAAACGCCAAACGAGGAAGACACGAACACGAACACTTGTTGCAGCAGCTGTCGAATCGTCTTCCCAAAAAAGGAATCTATCCTGGAAATGCTGTTTGATAAGAACTACACTCGAAAATTTTCTTCTATCATCATAGAAATGATGCCAGTGAAGAAGTTGATACAGAAGAAATGGAAGAATGTTGTCTCTCTATATTCATTGTGGATGCTGATCCAGGTGGTACTGATGGTTTTTCTGAGTGTATACGCGGTAGAACGTTCCTACTGGCACGAGTCGGAGATAGAAAACACCGGCACGGGGTTAGGTAACTACTTCAAGAACAATCAGTCTTTACGCTTATTCCTCACCTCGTTCCAGTGGATTGCATTCATCATAGCCATCTTCTACGTCATTATTGTCATCCTCTGTGTTATTTCGAAGCTAAAACGACCAAATCCGGATAGATACTACATGCACAACATTGAATACATCCTTCTGATGTTGATCTTTGCTTTGGCTGTGATTGTGGACGTTCTGATAACACAGGCAGTGGGACGACATGACGGAATTCCACTTATCATCGCACTATTCTCAGGTTGGTGGTTCAACGTCTTTTTTCTCCGTGGTTGGCATCTCTTTAGTTTTTTCACGGTTATGATAAAGGAGGTAATTTTTGGGGACTTTCTACGATTTTCCGTCATAATTGCGTTCCAGTTGTTCGCATTTACGACGTGTATGCACACGATGTTTCAAGGAAAAGATGTTCCTGCCATTGACGGAAGCGATGACAACCACTTCTTCACAACACTTATTACCATGTTCAACCTGATGCTGGGGCTCGGGGAGATCGAATGTCTGTCCCAAGCTCGCGTCAAATGGCTGGCTCTGACTCTCTTTGTTCTCTTTGTCCTTCTGACATATGTCCTTTTGCTTAATGCCCTGATAGCCATGATGTCATCCACGTGCGAGAGCGTGCTTTCCGAGAAGTACTCGGTGTGGAGAATCCAGCAGCTGTCAATCATCCTTTTCATCGAGGATCTGTTCCTTGTCTCCTTTCTCCAACGTTTAACCCGCAGTCCAGCAAACAAGCGCTACCAAGACATATACGATCCAATCATAAACATGACCTCCCGGAACCAACAGCGTTACATGCTGGACATGCAGTCTCGCAAGATGACATTCACCGAAGAGGAAACCGACGTGATGAAAAGGAGAACTCAGGAGGAGATCAGGAAAACTGTCAACCAAAAACTCAAACAAAATATGGAGGAATCTATTTCTGGCCCGAAAAAGAGTGACGAACAACCTTTGGTTGAGAACGATTTCCTTACGAGGGACATTGAAGGGCCAAAACTGAAGCCGTACACCCGTGAATTTAAGGAGGAGCTCCCTAAAATCCCTGAGGATAACTCTACTCAGGCTCGTGTTAGCAAATGGATGTCAACCATGCAATGACTTATTGGCTGACAATTCTACTTATTAATTGACCCATTCAGCGTTGTAAATATTTATTGAGTGAAAAACTTGAAAGACCTCTAATATCTGGTGTTTACGCAAACATCCTAGAAATGAAGACAATGAATACACAAATAGTAATTGAAAAGTAGTGTTACAGAGATTTATATAGAATTATTATTGTTAATGACATTATAAATACTTGAGATTTATTTATAATCGTGTTGTAATTAAGTTACATTAACATAGGTGTCGTATGTATCATACGTTTGGTTTTAATATACCTCATCTATATAACAGTATATTGGTCATGTGACGGGAAAATGAAAAATTTTGATCTCGAGTTTCCCCGGTTTAAGATCCATTTTTGTTACCAGCTCTGATTAGCTCATCAATTAATTCGGCCAGAAGAAAGGGGCAAATTGATTCTAGAGGAACGCCTTCAGTCTGCTGGAAAAAATTGCCACCGAACTCAATAAAGACATTGTCAACCATGAACTCAAAAACACTACCTTTGATATAGATTGCATTTCAATTTATAATAAAGAAAGCTACAGTTGTATTTGTCACAATGGCCCAACAAAGTAATATTGTCATACATTGTCACATAGTAAAAGTGGGCATAGCGAATGTGTGTTAACAAAGACATTGAAATAAGTGAAAGTAATAAAAACGGTTTAAAAATGTAATACAAATATTCAAAAGGTTTTCAAATGGTGCAATATGCAGATCAATTTTAGTTTCTTTAATAAGCCTTGTGTGGAGTTTAATGGTAGAACAGGTCAATTATTTTCATATAAACAAACAAACATTAAATACCCTAGACTTTTTGAACTATTGTATAAGCATGTTATAGGCTCCTTCGTTGTTATTTGTAAACAAAACAAACAAAAAACAAAAAAAAGCAGAATAATTCTATCTATGGTCCAGAATATCTGCTAGGTTTTAACAAAGCGTGAATAAAAATGTTTTTTTCTCCAAATGGCGCAGCATGCGGATCTATTTTGATTTCATCAATGTGACTTGCGTAGAGCTTTAGGGTAGATCAGACCAATTATTTTCGTACAAATATACAACAGACCTTTCACTTTTAAACTATTTTATTAGCACTGTATTGGCTCCTATGTTATTTATATTTTTCAATACAGAAAATTTCGAGCTAGGGTCCGGAATACACCCAGATATTTGAACATTTAAATAAGGCAATTATGACTTAGGAGTTTTAGAAAAGCATGAAAGAAAATGCACGAATTATGGTCTATAGTACAAAGTGATAGTAGCATTGACCTTTAATCTCTGAATACTAAAACTGAAAAGGGTTGTTAAGCCTATTAGGTTTGAAAAGGAGGGGGTAAATTACACGATTTGTGGCGTAGTTTTTAATGTTTTGACATTGGATTTCCCTTTGCGTGAGTAACGTGTCAAAAAGTAGACCGAAGGACAGATATGGTTATTCTAATATCTCCCAAACTTCTTTTGTGTTCGTCTAATTACATGTTACATATAAAGGTGCACACTTAAATCTTTAACATCATATACAAAAATTACGCTCCTTGGATACCTTAATATGCCTCAATCCAACCAAAATAGAGGTCAAGTGTGAACTTTGACCTTTAATACTGACCAATGACCATCAAACCCTAACCAGGTATATAAATCGACGTTTCCATAAGATGTTGTCAATATGCTGTTAATCTGTTGGGACGTTTATCAGACATAGCATTTATAAGTTTTCTTTACTTCACATACATGGACGGACCGACGGACCGACGGACCGCCAGACATTACCTAAATACCCCCTCTGCGTATAAGGAAGTATTACAAGGAATGGAAGTAATGTTAATTTTCACCCATAATGCTTCTCCATTGACAACTGTCCACAAACAGATAATAACACGTAACGGCAGTGGTATACTTAGTAGCTATTAAGTTACAGCTAGTTTGTTCTCTGGCTGAAACTCTTTTGATCCTTTTACTAGATTGTGTGCTTTATGGGGTAAACCGTGAAATGTGTCTACCTGAGTAATAACCTAAGTGCTATTGATTCTAACGAGTATTTTTTAAATGCCCGAAGTGGTACAATTATCTTATGAAGAAACAGCCTGAACTACCGTTTAACAAAATAAATGCCCCTGCAGGTGTTCGACATACGTTACTCTTTTCATAATGCGTAGCCGTAGTTACGACGGGTGTAACTCAATTACACAAACAATGTGACATGTATAATGTATCATAAACAGACTCTACTTTCTCTCAATCTCAAATGCACTTTATAAATATTTATTTATATACAGAAAATCACGTTTTAACGGAACAATGCATACAATGACACCTGGTTCTACAAATTTTTCAAGCCAAACTAATCAATGCCACGGGCAAAATATATAGTTCAGCAGGTATGATAATAAATAACGTATGTTTTAGTATTACCAAACCCAGGTTCGAAGGAAAGCTTCTACAGTATAAATACGGTAGGCGTGACTCATATAAAAAAAAATCATATTTCACAACGACCGAAGTGATCTGTGGCAGCCAATGAGCCCAAAGTGTAATCACTAGACCTGAATAGGCATGCATATATTGAAAGGTTGGTATTGACATTTTGAATAATAACCGTGGATCGTTAACCATCACTTACTTTTTATGGAACACACAGTGCTTGGAATATTTAAATATAGCTGGGTTCGTACTCGAAGTGAAGACAAATGTTCTTAGCGTTTTAGCCAATACACAGTTTGTTTAGACTCACTTAATTACGGTGTGGTCAAGGAAGAATCGAACAGACCATGTTAAAAAGGAAAAAGGTCTTCGTTCAGTTCCCTTTGGAGACAGCAGCAAGCCCTGGAAAAGATACCGAAATACCAACGCCGACACCTAAACGTAAGCATTTATTATTTATGTTTTAATAATATCCAGAATACTGTATTGAGTCATACACTTATTGTCATAAAACATATCTCATTCTCAAAATGTTTATCTTCTTTCAACAGACACAAAATGTCATAGAGAAATCGATCAAGTATACAGATTAATCAGCACCAGGAACTTCTCCTTGGCGAGGGATCAACTCCGGAATTTTAACAAGGACATTCATGGACAACCATTGTTACGTTGGCGGAGATCGAAAGACGGCATGGAGACAGACGAGACTCTCCTTCATATATGTCTGATGCATAACAGTGAGGAAAACGTCGCCTGTATCATTCACATCCTTGCCATCTGTCCTGACCTGCTCATGGTGCCGAGGTTCAGCATGGCGTTTGCAGGACAGACACCACTTCATATTGCCGTAGTAACGGGAAATGTCCAGGCCTGTGAGGAGATACTGAACGTTGCAGAGCGTTCGAAAGTGAAGTTGCGTGCACTAATGAATGCTCGTGCTACAGGCAAAATCTTCAACAATTCCGTTATGATGGGACAAATACCATTGTTTGTCAGTGCTCTAACGTTTAAAGAAAACATTGTTGACCTTCTTCTTCGAAGAGGAGCATCACTGTTTGTGAGGAATGGGAAGGGAGATAATGTATTTCATACCATAATAAAGTACATCGTGATTAACAGAAACAAATTAGCTGATGCTAGACGTATGATCACCTTCCTGCACAAGAAAGTTGTCGTAGAAAACCAGAAAAGACATTCGAGGAGAAAGCAACGGCGTTATGACAAACACAGTCGAAACGAGAATGACGGTAGAATAAAATCATCCTTTGACGAAGGAACTAATCCTGAAAAAACTGAGAACACAAGTGACAAAGATTTGCGCCAAATCTGGTACATGAAGAATAACCATAATCTTACATCTCTTCAACTTGCAGCAAAATATGGGCTGGTAGAAATCTTCATCCAGATCCTTAATCTACCGAGCGTTTACTGTTTCGAAAACAAAAATGACGGTCTTTTTGATGAGAAACACTACGACATCACAGAGGTAGATTCCATCACCAACTACAAGTCCCAACTCCTCTCAGGAGAACAAACGGTTAGGCCTTTCAATTTCAAAGGCGTGAAATCGGAATCTGTTTTTGAGATGATGTTCGGAAACAAGATGAGGCCAAAGGATATTGTAGAAATCACTGAAATACCACCTCTGCGAGGTCTGATCAAACTCAAATGGGAACTGTACAGCAAGATGTTCTTTGCGTGGATGGCCATTCACCTCATCTTTATTATCTTGTTGAGTGCGTACACAGTCAACCTGTCCGAACTGAAATTCAATCCTTCCAATTCAGGTTCAACAGCAGAATCTATGCCATCCCCACACCAGGTGAACTATGTCAATTTGTGTATGTGGAGTTCATTTGTCTATGGACTTGTCTATGTGGTTTTGGGCGTTACGGCGATCATCCCCAAATTCCTACAACCGAACGCCAAGTTGTACTGGAAGTGCAACATGGACTACATCAGTATATTGATGATCTGCGGGATGGGTCTCCTTGCAGATATCATCTGGCAGTTCGTGGATTACGAACACAACAGGGTGCCTCTTCTGATATCAGTTCTAACCGGATGGTGGTTCAACTTGTTTTTCCTAAGAGGACTCAAGATGTTCAGTTTCTTCACTGTGATGATTAAACGAGTAATTTTTGGGGATTTCCTGCGTTTTTCAGTGATAATAGCATTCCAGCTGATATCGTTCTCTGCCAGTGTCCACACGATGTATCAAGGTAAAAACGTCCCAAGCATCGAATCAAACGTAGATGAGCCCTCCTATACGAAGTCATTTGACACATCTCTGTTCACCATGTTTAACCTGATGTTGGGAATCGGAGGGATCAACTCAACAAAAGTAGCCAGGTCGACTTGGCTGACAAACTCTTTATACGTGGTTTACATACTTTCTACGTACATTCTCCTGGTAAACGCCCTGATTGCTATGATGTCTTCAACGTGCTCCTTCATCCTGCAAAACAAATTTTCAGAATGGCGGATACAACAGCTTTCAGTCATATTGATGCTCGAAAATTGTCTCCATGTGATTCTCAGTTACTATGATCCCGTGACGCGCAGTGAGATCATAAAGGAAAAAAGGAAAAAAGTGTATGACCCCGTGACAAAGACTTTTACGACTCAGGTCAGGTATCTCCTGGATATGAAAACCCTTCAAAACGATATGATTGAAATGAAAGCGGAGGACATTGAAGAAATAACTGAGGCCCAACAAAAACGCAATCAGGAATCACTCAACAACAACATCAACAAAAATATTCTTAAGAGGATGGCTGCTTCCGCTTTCTTTCTTCCGTTTGTAAGACAACAAACTAAACCAGTCGTGCCTCAGCAGGAATCAGATATGACAGACTTAGAACCAGACATGTCGGACCTAATACCACGACCTCGTGTGCCGGCTATATTTTACGAGTATTTGAAACATGACTTGAATTATGATTCGGATTATGACATAATGAATGAAGAATTGGTGAGGAAGGCTGCCACGGAGGTGTTCCATGTTGGAAGACGAGGGACGGTTGTAGAACCTTTCGAAGCGTCATCGTCGGAGGAATCAAGTATAGAAGAGAAAACTTAAGTTATATAAGGCCACAATAAAATGTTTCTGCTTCAATCAATGATTACTCATTTGGGTATTTAGGTCAAAATGTTTTGTTAAAAGCATGAACTTTGATTTAATCAACTCTAATCAGTAGAACCCGTCAACAGAAGCAATGCGTTCATTTTGTTTAACAACCATGATACATTCACATAAGCACTTTGAATATCATATATTTATAAATATCAGTTCAACATTGAACAGATCTTCATTTCTAAATGGGGACAATATATTGTACCTGGACTTAACATCAAAATGAATTTCGGTAGAAACTATCAATGATTTTTTTAGCAGTCGGACCGTTTCCCGAGTCGCTCGCTAGCGCTTAATTTTTATTTAGGCCTAATAGACACGTAAACATGGGTAGCATGGTACACTTGTTGGTGGTAGGTGACCTGTATTACTGGTATAATTAAGAACTTAGTAACTGTATAGTGTGTGTTTGTAAGGAGTGATATAGACTGCATAACGACGGGTGATTTAATGAATACTCTTGTAAGTTTATCCTCACGTGTACGTACTGGAAACCATGCATGCTTACAGGTTAATTCACAAATACAATTCATTCACGATTGAGAAGATGATTTTTCAATACTGGTAGTTAGTTTAAATGCAAAGGATACATGTATTTATGGAAGTTTGAATTCGCGATTGAGTCTATTTACGAATTAAAGCTAAAATGAATTCCTCGTGAAACTAACGTAATTTGCAGCATTTTTTGCAAAGTACACTTGTACTATTTTTGCGCCTATGTGACCGTATGCTTAAAACACTATAATGTTTCTAATTAACACAATGGCGTACGATAAAGTTCCTTTAAGTATATTCCATTGGAACTTTCTGAGATATTTCAATTAGTTATATCTCTATGTTTGCTACTTCTGTCATGTCAAAAACCGCTCATCAGAAATAATTCAGGAATTTCAGTCAAAATCTGGATTGCTCCCTCTTGTTCACTCCATCAGTATATAACCAAACTGTTTCAAATCAGAAAATAATTATTTGTTAAAGTTTTTGCTGTTATTGGTTCAAAAAAATTTTTGATTGGTAGGATGAAGGGATGGGGTGATAGATGGTAGTAGGGAGGGACGAAACATATTAGAGAAAGTCTTGTTTTTACATATATAGAAATATATTAACCCTTTATCAATATATATCTGTCTTGTAATAAAAGTAATACGATGTACATGTTGTGAGCAGTGTTGATTTCTTTCTATTCATTTTATACAAAATATGCCCCGTGTTAATGTCACATTATTTCTAAATCAAACGAAGACGTTATTTCATTGGACACGAAATATTTTGGTGGGCCCAGCTCACCGAAACCCACAATGTACATAGACTGCACAGAAGTATTCAGTCAAAATTAATTTCATGTTTTTTCTATATATTTTTTTCTGAATTGTCTTTGTGTTATTTTTTTAACTTTAATATTGCTATAAGTAAGGAAAACCTCGAAATCCCTTTCTAAAAATGTTATCTTTGTCTGTTGCATTGTTCAGAATATGTAACGAATTAACAATACAACAAATATTGTAATGACTTCGTCCTGCACGAGAGTGTACATAGAGAAGAAGAAAAAGAAGAAAACAAACATGAAAACAGACGTGGAATTTTGCCCGATTACTTAATATATCCAGTCCATGAAGTTCACGTAATTTTCGTCAAAATGTATACGTGATTTTTTCTTTACTCATCACGATAAGTGATTACGCTGAAAGATGAGTATGGCATCACTAAGCATATATCCAAGCCTCGCAAACAATATACATTGAATGCAACAAAATATTTCACCGAAAGATTACGTAAAAGTTTTAAAATTATTTCTGATCGGGTACTTTATGCACTAGAACACTGACAGGAAAGTAAGGGCCCCGCCACGTGCCTGACCATACCCGTGGTCCATTTTAGTAACAATGACCTTGACCTTAAAACCTTTGTTCAATTACCTTTAGCACATCCAAATGTCAGTGTATAATCATGTCAAATTTCAAGATTAGTCTTTTGAATTCCGATACTGGGACCATACGCACACCCCAGTATAGTTTAGTAACAGTGACCTTGACATTGAACTTACAAACTTTATACACCCTTATTCCATATCTACATATCACAGTGTAGCACCATGTCAATTCAAACCGATCAGTCTTATGGATTCCGTAATAATCTCTGGAAACGAAAGTGTGGACGGACGGACGGACATATAGATTACTATAGTCCGTCTGCATATCCGACGCGGGGCCCTAATAAGGAAACGCGATATATACCAAAGGCCTCAAATCACAGATATTCAAGAAGTCAAAATCAGACACCATTCCTTTAGGAAATTGTATCGTTTATAATTTCTTTTTCATTGTTCTGAAATAGTTATATTTGTTAACAGATGTAGCCAATGGAAGACCGAAAATAACTTCATCATCAGCATCACCAGCCAACACTTTACAGGGAAAGCGAGTTAGGACGACCGAGATTACTAAAGGCAAAACTACAACAAATGTCATACAAAATATTAAATATATTAAGCCATCCTAACAAAAGCGTATCTCATAGTTTCACCGGGCGGAGACAAGGTCGCTTTCGTTTATCGCAATTCAAACGGTCGAACCAGAGTTATTTGGTTATGAAATAAGCTCGGACCTAGTAATCTGATGGTGCTTTCAGGCGAGCCTTGAAAATGCAGGTCCGCCATGATTTTTATCAAAACATGGTTCATTTAAAAACAGACGAACCGGTTGTTCCGCATAAACAGAAAGCTAGCAACGCTTTACATCGTAACCGGGTCCAGTCTATCATTAAAATACTAGTAGGCTTCATACCGTAAAAAAACGTGTACAAATAATTAACAGAACAGTACACGATTGTACAGTTTACCATTAAACGCAATAAGCGTGCACACACACACACACACACACACACACACACACATATTATAAGACTCTTCCATGCTCAGGCCGGGGTGTAGGAGAGGGAAATTCCACCCGAGAGTGGAATATCCCTCTCCTTCACCCTTGGGCACATTTTTCTCTCATTCCAACCACCAGAATAAGCTTAGAAACCATGAAAATGCATTTGGACTGGCCAACATTTTGAAAATATCAATTCCCCCCTGAGCTTTTTAGACGAACGCGAATCAGCCAGCCATATTTAACATATCCTATATTGAAAACTAATCACATCTTCCTTACGTGTACGGTAAATATATCGTAAAAGGTTTTTAATTTCATCACGTCGCCTTTTCCGCATTGCGGCATTGGAGAGTTCCAAATTGGTGACGTCACGTCACGTGAAATGGGGTGTACTTACCCTGGACAGGTCTATCTTACACACATGGAAATGAGATAAATATATATATATACTAACGTTGCATTATAATGTAAGCATTCGACATAACGGCATCTGCTCCCACGTTAAGCAAATACATTTTGTTTTATAAACCATATACATGTATCCCCTAAAAAGCATGACAGAAGTCTATTTAACAAGAGCAAATAATCAATCGATCTTTCTTTAATGAATACAAGAATACAATACATGTCTATAAGCAAACCATTCAAAACTTAACGCGGTGTGTCTGTTTTTTAAACGTGAACAATTGTTTGAAGCTAGTGTATGTATGTACCGAATAAATAAATAACGGCATGAGTACGTCCAAGTGCTATCTACAAATTTCAAGCTACAACCTTGTTAGATCTACGTAACAATAGCGTCGCATAGTTTTTAGTATTAAAATTCACTTGACGTACCGATAATCCCAAACAAAGCTTGGGTCCATTCAGAGCAAGTGTTAATGCAAGCACAATCGAAATCGAGTCTTGTAACTATACTCATTTGACAGAGCACGTGCTTCCCAGTATACGCGTTGAGGTGACAGGGCAATAAAACTGTTTCAATCTTAATCAAATCTAAAATTCCAACTAAACAATAGTCTTAGATACAGGTTACCATTTACGAAACAATGGCCGCACAGCTTGTAACAAACAAGGGCACGGTACAGGCATTACGTTGTACAAGACAACATGGATGACGATTCGATGACCAACAGGTTCTCCTCCTTTCAAAAGGGCCAATTCTATAAGGGTAAGTAGATTTTATAATTAAATGAATTCTCTTCTAGGCCGGTAATATATGACGTTCAAAATAATTGTATTCTTTAAATTAATTACATTCTTCACAATAGTTTTGCAGCAGAGTTTTGCCCCTAACTTCTCAACTTTTAGTACACCCTTGAGTGTACATTTTTTGACTCCAAAAAATGTGCTTTAACTCTTGGGTAACGACAGTTTCATTTGACATGTGTTTTGACCTTTCTAAAGTACAGTCAAACAGTTATTTGACTTCTGAAATTGCTTAATGCTAATTCAATGGTAAACTGAAAAACTTGACATATCTATTTGTCTCGTCACCAAACAACTAAACGCATGTGTATTTAGTCCATAAAAACTTCATTTTCAACAACTTTTAATATACTATGTATTCAAAAATACACAAATAATATATTATGTACTCAAAAGTACACAGACCCATACGGAATAAGCGTATTACTAACGTGGCACGGATTGTGAAAGATGTTTACAATCTTCTTGAAAGCGATCCTTATGTTCAATTTTTAACTTTGGGGTTAAAGCACTGGTTAAAATGTGTGCCATGTCGCTACGAACATAAATGATCTTACACGACTGTCCATGTCATATTGAAGTAATTAAACGAGTTTGATCATTTGATATGACATGATTAATATTTTTACAGGATATGTTTTACCTTTAATTGGTTTTCATTTAAATACCAGTTTTGTTTTATATAAAGTAAACCATCTTTTATCGTACTTCAGCTACGGTATTGAGACAAATCCCGATGTTGTAACATTGTATAGGCAATACAATGAGTCATTTCTTCATTTTAGGCGAGAGCGAGGACGAAAGAACATTCCGATTGTTCGAGCAATGTCTGGATACCCGCCAGTTCCACTTCGCCACGGCCTTAGCCACACGATTCACAAAATCTGTGCATGAAACGTATGTTAGAAAATGGCGGTTCAAGCGCGAACTAAAAAGGAACGAAAATGTCTATGAAAGAGATGAGACGCTTCTGCACTATATCATCAACTTTCCAGATACCGGAGAACTCCTGTGTATCTTACTCCAGATTTGTCCGGATTTGGCATATATTCCGCGGACGCATCCAGACTACTTTGGACAGACGCCTCTCCACATAGCAATCGCCTCGGGAAACCGGGAGGCATTTGACATAATTTTGAAAAAGGCCTGGCTGAGTTCTCACAAGCATATACGTAAGTTGGTAAACGTACGAGCGACTGGAACTAACTTTCAACATACAGTCATGATGGGCGAGCTACCATTATTTGTGGCGGCACTACGGAATGACCAATATATGGTGAAGATACTTATAAAATACGGCGCAGTCCCTTATGTTATCAATGGGAATGGAGACACCGTGTTTCACGTCTTGATCGAGTATGCTGCACTGTACAGGGACAAAGTGAAACATGTTAGAAAGATGACGTCATGCATACATGAACAGATAAAGAACCTGATGGAAAAGGCAAAGCAAACAAGACTGAAAAAGAAAAAGCTGGAGAATAAGTTTCGAGACTTGAAGAAAAAACAGCAAGGCCAAGCAATGATCAATCCGCATGAAAACAGGAAATCAGGTGAAGGAGAAAAGGAGACAAGAAAGTCGGTAACGTACGACTATCGTCACGTTTGGTTTATAAAGAACAACCAATACTACACTCCGCTAGAACTGGCCGCTAAGCACGGACTGACGGAAATATTCAACGATATTCTTAATCTACAGGACGTGTATTGTCATCTCGGCCAACGAGACGGCCTGTTCGACGAGAAGTCGTACGACATTACAGAGATAGACACTATTGCCAAATACTGCAGTCAGCGGGGTGTTGATGACGAAGGTGAGCTCCAGTCCGAAGTAGGCTGTTCACTGTTTAGGCGGTATCCTAAACGGGAAGCAATCCTGCAAATGATGTGTAACTCTAAACTGGGTTTTTCTGATGTTGCTGCTCTTATAGACCTCCCACCGATAAAGCTCCTCATTAAAAACAAGTGGCATTTCTACCGAGTCCCGTACATAGCCTGGATGATATTCCATTACGCTTTCGTCCTTGTCCTGAGCGCCTTTGCTGTCAACAGATCCGAGGTCGTATTCAGTGTGTCAGATTCGCAGCCTGGCTCCTCATCTGGTAACTCATCAAGTGACTCTACTACGCCAGTACCAGGAACGTCTGTCACTAAAGAAGGATTTGTCGCCATCACAAGGTGGATTTTGGTTGCAATAGCCGTCGTTTATCTGATCATTGGGATGTTGGAAACAATGATGAAAATACGGAAACCAAACACTTTAGGATACATGCTCAATAATTTGAATTACATTGGTTTTATCTATGTCTTTTCCGTGGGAATCATCACGGACGCCATCATGCACCGATACTGGTATAACCATGATGGGATTCCTATGGTAGTAGCCGTCCTAGCGGCGTGGTGGTTCAATGCATTCTTCCTCGGAGGCTGGCGGTTGTTTGGTTTCTTCACGACGATGATTCAGAGAGTCGTCTTTGGCGACTTCTTCCGTTTTTCAGTAATAATAGCTTTACAGCTGTTTTCGTTTACCACAACGATGACGGTTGTATACCAGGACAAAAACACGCCTGCCATTGACGGAACGGAAGACGAACCGGGACATCGTACCATGTATGGAGCGTCACTGTTCAAAATGTTTAAGTTAATGATTGGTATCAATGAATTGCTCTTCCTTGATCAGACAAAGCAAAAGTGGTTAGCTTATAGCCTCTACGTCCTCTTCATTATGACTACCTACATCCTCTTGATCAACGCCCTCATAGCTATGATGTCATCTACGTGTACCCGCCTCCTGCAAAACAGGTACTCTCAGTGGAGGGTTAAGCAACTATCCGTCATCATCCTCCTTGAGGACCTTCTTTCCCTCTTCAGTTATAATAATATGACTTCGGCAGCTGGCGGACCCAGTGTCAGTTCTGAAAATGTGAAGATGTTTAATCCCTCTACGGGAACGGTTACAATGGTTCGCAGATATTTTCTGAAGATGTCATCTGCAGTTCAGGATTACAGCTATCATGACATCGCCGAGACAGCGTCTGTCCTTGAGAAACGTGACGAACTTGCAGCAGAATGTGCAACTAACCAAGATATCCTCCAGAATATGAAAGACGGAATTATCGCCGAGTCAGAACCTGCCGAGTCAGTTATGGACGATTATACTATGTGGGAGTTGTCGTCTGCAGAGGAGAGTGACACGGAAGACAGCCCTGATCCCTTGAGATATTATACCATCTACAACGAGTTTACCAGTGGCTCTGGTGAACAACAGGAGGATAACAACTCAGATGCTGATAGTACAGAATCGCGTTTGCGCAGACTCACAAAAATGGCATCGGGTGGACGGATCATATCTTACCCAAGAAAGGCCAACAGGAAAGTCATGTCAAAGGAGACATAGAATTGAGACAATACCAGGATAATTAGTAATAAGAAAAATATCCAGTGGGCATTCCTTTATTTACCTATAGTTTTAGAAAACCAACATGAAGATACAAAATATAACTGCAGATTCAAATGGACCGTTTGTTACCAGAGGTAATATAATCAGTTAACAATACAAATATATACTATGGTGTTTATACTGTGTATATATTACCCAATGATACACAGTACCATTGAGCCATGTACTATACACTTAACAAATGTTTACTATACATTAAACAGGTACATCACGCCATGTACACTATAACTAAATACTATACAAACGTACACTATATAGACAATGTTCATTGTATAAAATTTGTTATACAATGTAGACATAACATGTATTAGTGTACATGATACAAATATTATGTTAATCACACACACAGTATACAATGTAAACCAAAGTATACAGTATATTCAAAGCACGTGTGAATTAAAGTGAGCAGCACTCATGATCAATGTAAATCAAGTAGTATTAAATGTATATAACTGATTGTTGGCTATTGTCCAATTACATGTGCCTGCTATATATATATATGTAAGCTGTATTCCGTATCATTTTGTACAATACTATGAAGAAATGCATGTTGATGTGATTTTATTCAAAAGCAGAAGGGAAAATACAATGTTGGAAAGATTTGGTCTTTTTATTTTATTTTAGTATTGAAATGCATATTTTAAACATTATGATGGTACACTGTATGCAAAACAGTTCCACCCATACATATACCGTGATAGCACAACTTGGAGATTATGATAATAAATGTTGAAGAGTCATTTCAATACCTAAACACATACTAATCAACAAGAAATTGTTATTCATCTTTCTGCTATTTTGGTATACAGTTAAAAACAAGAATTCCACGGAAGTGGCTGTGTCGCCTGCGCAGGAAGCTGGGAGATTACGAAGAAATAGATACACTTTTCACTTCAAGAAATAATGTTAGAAGTAAGCAATAATCATAGATTATGTTTTTGGATGGCATCATTTTGTTATATAATCTGTTTTTCTGGGAGGAACTTGCTATGGATACTCATTGTCTCAATTCTAAGTTTAATTTGTATGATTTGTCGGATGGTTTCCCATAAATAAATGAATAAACTTGTGGATTATGATGTTAAACAGCTAGTGTTGTCAATAACATTTGGAGTAAGACAGCATTTTAGAGGTATACACGGTGGGTCAAGTGGTAGATCGAAGCTGTCCAGTATACAGTTTTAGTGAAGTCTCTATTTATAGTAACAGAGACCTTGACCTTTGACCTGCGGACCTGAAAAGCAATCCCAAGCAAGCACTTTTGGTAAGGAAGCACTGCATGAAGTTTGAGTTTGATCGGCCCAAGGAAACTCAAGTTATCGCAGGAAAACTGATTTTCTATTTATAGTAAGTGACCTTGACCTTTGACCTGCGGACCTGAAAAGCAATCCCAAGCAAGCACTTTTGGTAAGGAAGCACTACATGAAGTTTGAGTTTGATCGGCCCAAGGAAACTCAAGTTATCGCACGAAAACCTCTGTTCGGACGACGACGACACCGTCGACAATGCAATACCTATGTGTCACCAGCTTTTCGCAGGCGACACAAAAATGTTGGAACATCCAATTTGTTAAGAGACAAGATCATGTTTACCAGTTCCATTTGTCAACAAATGTTAAACTGAAACCATTCGGAGAGAAATTTCTGCCAGAATTTCATTCTGCCTCATACCAGGACTGTTATTTGATTATTCTAACCATGGATATAGAAAAAAAATAGCAATTCCCAATTGGAAAACATTCATATGTAATAATCCTTGCTATTACAACAGAATTCTGTAATTGGTTGGAAAGTTCATCTAAAAACTGTTGTGACAGAAATTTACTGAATAATGTTGTGTAAAATCAATGTCACCATGGTAAAATACTAGCCGCTTCCTACCGACTCCGCTAGGGAGAATTTCTCTTTAGCTAGCCAGAGGTCACGGCATCAACTCCTAGCAGAGACATTGCAAAATAAATGACATCTGTCACATTGGCGCCCACGTAGGGACCTGGGAGATTTGACAAATATACTCAGCGTTACTTTCACAAGAATCGCTATGACACCTGGAAAACTCGGGACAAGTTATTTCCTGGAGGGGGAGTGTGTCACCCTGGTAAAATACTAGCCGCTTCCTACCGACTCGGCTAGGGAGAATATCTCTTTAGCTCATTCGGTAGAGACTAGTAAGAGACTAGTAAGAGACTAGTAAGCTAGAGGTCCTGGGTTCAACTCCTAACAGAGGCATTGAAAAAACAATGACCTCTGTTACATCAATAAAGAAAATAAAGCATTCTATTATTTTCTAAACATATGTATAATTTTTTTTTAAATCAAGTCACTGCACGGCACTGTTATGTATCTTTGAGCAAGATACTTTACTCCGTTTGTTCCAGTCTACTCAGCTGTAAATGAGTACGTGGTTGGGCAGTGCTAGAATTGTAGAATGCTAGCTGTGAGCGCAGAAAATGGCAGCACTGGCTATATGCTCCCCAGGGAGTTGAGAAAGTTTGGCTGGTTGCAAAGGCCCTATATCCATTATGTTATTATAATGAGTGTCTATAGTAGGGACTTAATAAGAGCAAACATGATCTGCAATATCCAGTGCAATTTTAAATGAATCTAGGTTTATAAATTGAGACTAATTTTGTAAATTCCTATTGCTGTTTTCAGAATGCAGTTTTCAGTATTTTACTTTAAATTGACAGAATTTAGAATAAGAAGATTTGATGCTAGAACTTTCTCTTATTTATACATTATGAACAGATACAACTTACTTCCATACTAGACATGTATGGCCATAGCATCACCACTTACAGTCACGTAGTTTAGAGAGAAAAAAATCACCATTCATAATGCATGGATAACAGAAAATCCAGCTTTAGTCCTTACATGACTGTAAGGTTTTATTTTCCAGCTAGTCGTAAAACACTTGTAAAAATTTCAAGACAAATGATTCCATTTTTATTGCACATTTTCTCCAAATTACGTTATTAAACTACAAAATGATAAGAATCTTTACTGTTGATGCATCCTTCATCTTGTGGGCTTCAACCTTGCCTTAATTAGGAGTCCCCATTACTAGTGTGAATAGTGTTCATAGATCATCAACATCATATTCTAGTAAAATCCAATAAATTGGGAATAACTTGTATAAAAGCTAGGGATTTTATTTGCAATCACCTCGTTGAAAATTGTGCATTCCACAACCTGTTAGGAGTAGGGATTAGAAATTTGTTTCCTCAATGGTCCTGCTGTATACATATCTCTGTATCTTGGACCTTGTTTATCTGACAAACTGTCTTTTCCCAGTTGTCCTGATGATGTCCTGTTCAGACAGGTTTCACCACATCTAAACATTTATGATTTATGTTTTCGTACTGACATTCCCAGTCAGTTTAAACAGCGCTTCTATGCTTAGAAATAGATACTACAGCAGTTGACTGACACTTTTGTTAACATACAAATTGGATACTCCTATCAATTGTTCAGTGTCAACTTTTCTTGATGTTGACATTAACTGATGCTAAAGCGTCCACAGCCCACTGGGGATAGTCTGTATCAGGAAACTGTTTATCAAAGAAGTCCTGTATTAACTGTGGGAATCTGTCCTCTACAATACTCTGTTGTATGCCGGTCATCAGTGTTAGCTGAAATCAACGAAATAACCATTACAAAACCGATCACAATATAAGTCTAGACAAAACACCATATAGACCTTAAACATTTGTATACATACACTGTATACAATATTTATACAATTAAATTTGCTGAAATGAAATATGTGTGTAAAACTTTACAGGCTTCAAGCTGAACAGATATAAGACGTGATTACACAAAGAAATTTTCAGTTTTCTTTCCTTTTTAATTAGTTGTGAAATCCACTAAACCATTTCAGCTGACCTTAATAAACTCTGTTATTGGGGTAATATAGTTGCTTTCACAAGACAAGTTTGTCTGTAACCACGCATGTTTGGAATACATACCTGGTACGCGACATTGTGTACAGACAACAACTGACAGGAGACGGTCTCGTTGGTAACAATGGTGTGTAGGTAAGCACGTGTGTACTGTTTACAGGTAGAGCATGGGCACTGATCATCAATAGGACTGAAGTCCTTAGCGTACTTCTTATTCTTCAGCGAGAGATTACCAGTTGGCACCAAAGCATTTCCAAATCTCTGGAACGGCAACATAACATAATGATGTCAAAATGAAACATGAAAGTACCTACATTTCAAAAACAGGATAAGAAGTTATGATAAGGTGTTCTAAAATTTTAGTCTTTGCCTGCTGCTTAGGGTAAACCTTGACCGGTATTGTTCTTCCTCTGTCCACTAGCAGCAGTGGTAAAGGAATTGAAAGTGTTTTTGTTTTCTAAATATTGACTTGTTTTATACAAACTACCTACAATTCTAGTAGCTTGTTTTCAGTAAAACAATGAGTACCATGTAACCTTTGATATTATAGTTGTTTTAGCTGTGAATACAGAAACTGTTTCCAATTACTTGATAACAGCTGATTTTTTATTTAAAAGAAATTCATTAACATCAGATTGACCTTGTTAATATCACTTATGTATATATACTGTATTTTTTATCTGAGTTACAAATTGCGGCCATATTGGTTTTCTTATTGAAATAGTTAATTACAATTATAACACTTAGTACATGTAAGTGCAATGATCACAGGCAACATTACATCATACAAAACATGATGGCCATAGCTCACCCTGACCTAACAGGTCAGATGACCTAAATGTCATACCCTGACTAACAGTGGCACATGTTATGTCCCCTATACAGCAAATATTGACTGCCCTGCTTTTCATTCACCACAAGTTTATCCCTAACATATGTTAAGGTCCCCTTTTTTGATTTTCTTAATTATTCCTCTAAAGATCTTCTTGGAGAGATCACCAAACCCCTATATAGTGCAGCACTTGGACTGGACAACTGATGGCAGTAAAACAAGATGACATTGTACAGAGATATCTGTTTTATATATATAGAAGGTGGCATATGCTGTATATATAGAGTGTGTCATTGTACATGTGTATATGTTGTATATATAGAGGGTGACATTGTACAGAGGTATCAGCTTTATATATAGAGGTTGACATTGTACAGAGGTATCTTCTGTATATATAGAGGGTGACATTGTACATGGGTATCTTCTGTATATATAGAGGTTGACATTGTAGATGGGTATCTTCTGTATATATAGAAGTTGAAATTGTACATAGGTATCAGCTATAAATATAGAGGTTGACATTGCACAGCGGTATATGCTGTATATATGGAGGGTGACATTGTACATGGGTATCTTCTGTATATATAGAGGGTGATATTGTACAGAGGTATCAGCTATATATATAGAGGTTGACATTGTACAGAGGTATCTTCTGTATATATAGAGGGTGATATTGTACAGAGGTATCAGCTATAAATATAGAGGGTAACTATCTGCTGTTTGTATAGAAAAGGACAATGAATTACAAACATAATACTTTAGATGATACTTACAGCTGTTCTTGTTGGGAACACACAGTCAAACATGTCACATCCCAAGGCCACACAGACCACAAGGTCAACAGCAAACCTGTTCAGATCAAGGGAAATTAAATCATATTTGCTTTTGTTACACTTTGTCACAAATGTTTAATATTGAAGAGTGTAAAGCATGTCAGGATATCACCAAATAATAATTCACAGGACTCAAAATCATATCAGGTAGTATTATTTTTTCCTTTATCAAATTAATGATATATATTTATATGTGCTAGATAAATTCCAAATCAATATTCATGTATTGGTATTATTATTCAGGCAAATTTTGTTCCTTAAATAATGAGTATTAGACATAAGCTGGTGTGGGTGTGGGTGTGCATGTGTGTGAGAGAAAAATGAATTACAACATTTTATATATTTAAGCATTGTACATAGCTACTGAAAATAGAAGAAGACTGATATAGGCATAGCCTGTTGTCTTATTCTTTTGTCAAAACTGTTCTAACATCTTCTTTAATGTTAACTTATATGTGTGTACATGTATTATATATGTATTGTCAATAAAATACTTTTGAAATTGAAATTGAAAATATACAGTAGTTTTCTAAACTTGCAGTACTTAATGTTAATGTGTAATTTTGTTATTGTAGGTTTATTTAAATATTCTATAAAAGGTACATGTATGTAATAAATACTTACCCCACCCCCATCAGGTATCTGGGTTTGTCCTTTGGTAGATATTCTGTAGACAATGTGACCATTCTCCAAAAGTCGTCCTTACTCTCTCCCCCACTCAACCCCCCTATAGCATAGCCAGGAACCTCTCGTTTTATCAGCTCTACAATGACAATGATGTAGTGTAATATTCATCATCACAAATGTATGAAATGTCACTTCAGCCTTCACCCAAGAGAATATCGGGATTTCTCTATCACCCAGCTGGGTTCCGATTTCTCTAGATTCTCTGGATTTCCCTATCATCCAGGGTATTACCTGGATTGCTCAGTCACCTAGGAGATTTCCTGGACTAATATAATCCCCCTCTACCTTGAGGGTGTGACAGAGAAATCTCCTTCCCGAGGGGTGTTGTTTTTAGTTGTCTAAACTGAGGCTTTGCTGAGGGTAAGACAACAACAACAAAATCATCACGAGGGTTGGAGATTTCTCTATTAATGATAATGATTTTTTTCTCCCATCCTATTATTTCAGTCACAACTCTACTGACAGTAGTCTGCCATGTTTGTAAGCAAAAACACATGTGGGGTATGAATATTGTCATTCACTTGTGATGATGTCACAATTACCGGTGACGCATTTAAATGACATCACAATTGAACACGTACTAATAGGCATGAGGCTATCTCCCTCTCGGGGATGACAAGCTGAACTTTTCCAGCTAAAACGGGAGACACACCTGTGAAGGATGGGAGAATTCTGTATCACCAAGGTGAGATTCCTTTAAGTTCTCCATTAGCCAGGAGATTTCCTGGCTTTTTCTATCACCTAGGAGATCTATATTTCTTTTAATATCACCATTCTGGATCTTTGTGACAAGCGTATTTACCTTGAACACATTTCTTGCGAAGCTCTGGGTACAGTCCTCCTTGTACAATGGGGAAAATGTTTTGGTCATGTGGTCTCTGATGGGCCTTCAAACATCTATCCAACCATCTTATGGTTCTGGTGTAAAAAATATATACAAAAAAGTCTATAAAAGATTCAATACACAGAGTAATAGTGCAGACCCGAGTACTTTAAACAGTTCCAACAAATAAAAATATCCTTAATTAACTTTCTTCAATTATAAGTCAATAACTGAACAGGAGCTTTAAAAAAGTTAGGTTTTCAAAACAAAGAAAGAATCTGATGTTTTATTTGCCTGGTGAGATTCTTTCATTTTCTGGAAACATTTTATGTGCACCAGGTAAACAAATTGCAACTTGAATTTAACATTAACTTGTGATGTTGATGACAATGCAGTGAGAGTTCTCAAGATTTACCACAACACACTTTAAAAACACATTAGATAGATGGACAGGTTGAAAACACTATATCTTATAATTAATATTGTATATTGTGAAATCTTTTTGCCGCTGATTATCATTCACCTTCATCACCTTCCATAATGAGGGTGAATATCATCACAGCAAAAATTAGCAAACAACATAATTTGCATAGTATTTAAAAATATGGAACGAAATCAACTCTTGGCAAATAAGGATTTTACTGCTGAAGATCAAAAGTTTGACTGGGTAAAAGTTTCCCAGTATTGAGTATATCAGCATATAAAATACAAGCCAGCTGGAGTCATAAGAAATCAAATATACAACAGACAATTAAAATGTCTTTACAGGTTCAGACATATAGCAGGCCCACATACAGTGTTAAGATTTTTTACAATACAAGCTGGAGATGTTAATGAGTTAACTACCAATACCTGTACATAGCCTCCTCTACTCTGGGTCCAGTTACACAACTGTGGACCACATCGTCCAACTGCATAATTATATCAGCACCTGTAAACCAGAAACAAGATTTCACAAATCACTTCTCATTGTCTTTAATGTTGGACTCTCAGTGCAGGACACTGTTTAAAATTCTTTATCATAAAAGAAATGGGTACTTCGAAAATACTCAAAAATATTCTTGAAGATACATGCATATACAAATCAAGCTAGTACTCTCAGATATTCCCATTCCGACTAAGAATTAACTTAACGTCAAGAATGGTGATTTGAGTTAACTGTGTTAATTATAACAATATATAATTGGCAGCATCTGAGACGTATATTGTAATTCAAGATATTTATGTCAATGTGTTTATAATTCTACATTTTTTAAAAGGATATCACATATCAAACAGCGTCTTAAGATTGAATATGAACAAATCATCAGATAATATACCAATAGCATTTTGTATCTGGATGGACATTTCAGGGGTGAGCATCATCTCCGAGTCATCATGGGGAGACTGAAATTTCACTCCTTCCTCTGTTATTTCAGCCAGCTTCAGTAGCGACACCATCTGGAATCCACCACTGTCCTGACAACAACCCATCTACATTTTACTTGAAATTAACATATGACACACAATTTTGTTTATCTTAAGTTTCACTATTAGCTGTATTGTCAGATCATTTTGAACTTGGTAACTCAAATAACTGTGTTTAAATATGCTTCATATAATTCATGCTATGATTAATAAATCCCCTGCACAGTCAAATATAAAGACTAATAAAAACAATGTAGCATGTTAACATGTCTGTATTGCCATTGCAGTATCACTTATTGTATCAGTGAAGTACTAAAAAAACATACATGTAAATGTACATAAAAAGACAAATCTTAACGTAACAGTTACCGTCAGTAAGCATCTGTTCCACTTCATAAAATTATGCAGGCCTCCTGCTTTCTTCAACAGTTCATGACCCTGTAACAAATCAAATATCCTGGTCGTATATATGCTCAGCTAATAAAAAAGAGAGAAACTGAAGGTCAACTGGCTCAACATGATCCTCCATTGATTTGAATACAAACTTCTTTAGGCATAAATATTTTTTTCCTTTAAATTTAAATTGAATATTATTTTTGATAAGCCTTGAGTGATAAAGGAAGAAAAATAAATAAGGAAACTAAGTCATCTCAATCTTTATATATTACATGTAAGCTTATCTGAGTGAAACCTATAATGAGCTGTAATTATAATCCTTAGTTGGGAAGATAAGCAGTAGTGTGCCAGGCAAACTTCTATTCACAGACAAACAGAAAGTTATAACTATAGGGCTGCTGTTGTTTGACCCGAGTTGTTATTTTATGAAGTAGGCCGACCTACATGTTGTGAGATATGAGAGGACATATGCCGATCTAGTGATCTGATTTTGCTTTCCGAGTCTCAATATTTGTATGAATATTTGCCATGCTGTCTTATAACATGTCATGTGTAGTGGAACTGAACTGTGCGTGTCATTTGTCAACGACAAAGTACTATATAGATCAATTGGTAGAGCGTCGGTCTAGAGTTTGGAGGGTGCAGGTTCGATCGTGTCTCAGTCTGGCCGTGCATTACTCCTTCTCCTGTTACAAATTTGGTGAGCTTGCTAACCCTTGTTTGAAGATCTGGCTCAATGCTTGCAAGAAGATACCCAAATCTGGGTTGTAGATGTACATAATACTGTCTTATGATGGGTTGGGCTTGACTGGGTCGATAGTAGACACCCAGGTAGCTCAATTGGAAGAGCGTCAGTCTAAAAAATAGATCGTTCCATGTTCGAAATCTGGTCTGATTATTGCATTTCTCTTTCTCGTTTTTCACATGTTACATTTAAGTATATGAACAGACCCCAATTTTACAACAGCTCCATGTCATCTTCCATCCCCCCTTCGATCATTTTTCGCACTGTCATGTATTAATTATCACATTGTTGCATTTAAGACAGCCTTTGTAGTATTGCTGTAAATTTAAATTTTGTGTTACGTATTTCATATGACTATATGCAAAAAGAGAGAATCCTCAGTTTAAAGTCAGACAGTTTTGTTATCGTACCGGTCTGTTGCCTAGATGGTAGGTATTCCCCAACATTATTTTACAATCTAACTCTTCGAGCTGTTCCGGGACGAGACCTTTCAAAGTACCCTGTGTTCCGACTGGCATAAACACAGGCGTGTCTACCACGTAATGGGGTAAATGTAACTTGCATGTCCTAGCTTTTGTAGTTTTACACTCTGCCAGTATCCGAAGAGACAGAGCATGTGTTCCTTTGGAAGCCATATTTTTGGGGATTCCCTTTTCCGCCAATGAAACGGAGTGACACGAGTTAATTTTGGCACCTTGTTTACACATCATAAATATCAACCAATCACATAATCTTTAACATAGGAATGCGGTATTTGCACATGCGCACTGAGATAAGTCACATTTCCAGCATGGATGTCGAAAGTGGACCCGATTCGCCAGACATTTCTCCTTTTAATGGAGAATCCCAAATACTATGGAAATCGATTTCTCTTACACATGTAGAATACCCAAAAGGTGATATATCCATCAATGTTCAATTGCATTTTTAGGCGCATGGCCTTTCCAATTTGTAAGCATATTCATACAGGACTCATGTGCATTTATCAAAACCGAATGCCCTACTGAACATGAGTGTAAATAAGATTACAGCTACATTCCGTGGTCACAAAATCATAGCATAAACTGTGCTGACTAACAAGTAGTTTCTATGCTTATAATATTTATAATATATATTTTTATATTGGGTGTTTTCCACGTAATTGTTAAACATTAGAACTTACAGCTCATGATCAGATACAATAGGGCGGTATTCAAAGTAGGACAAAATTACAGTGACCAAGATTCCTTTCCCGGACATGTTGATAACAGTATTATCTCCATTACTTAAACTTTTCCCTCAAAAGACATTGCAAAACTTACAGGGGTTTTATTAACCATTGAATAATTTGTTTGCTTCAACCATAGGGTCTCATTACAAATGTCTGAAATACACATATATGCTAAACTGATATGGGTCACATGTACAAACACACATAAACATATGTTTATGTGTGTTGTGACCCATATCAGTATAGCATATGTGTATTTCTGACATTGTTTTGGTTATTTTGTTGCCAAAACACACATTCCTAGTAACAAGGAATGATCACAGAGGTACCAGTTTGTAAAAGAATTGGAAAAATGCAATCAGTTAAATTGAATTCAAATCTGTATGACCTCCATATTTGAGATGGACACTACCAACAGAGGAGAAACATGATGCAGATTCATCGCAAAATATATATGAATAATTATGATATTTAAAACCCACTTTTGTAAAAAAAAAAAAAAAAAAAAAGGGGTAATTATAATTGTTATGTGGCAGGTTTTCATTGTACATAGGATTACGGTCAACTTCCAGCTTCGAGCTAGAGGGAATTTCCCTTTAGCTCAGTGGTAGAGCGTCTGACTAGGAACCTGGGGATCGCAGGTTCGAACCCACAGTGGAAGCACACTATTTTCTTTCCTGTTACAGTTATATAAAAAATATCACTTTAACAAATTATATCTAGAGGTTGTTTCAATTGTCTACATTGTCTTAAATCATTTGAAGAAATATGTCTTAATACAAGTACATGTTCAGTTATTGGAACAAATGTTGTACAATTTAAAAAGGATACTAGAAAGGATCAGACTGTGATCTACACCAGCAATAGATGCTTGACAAAACATTCATGTAACATATAAATTACTGTATACAGAACAAAAAATTAACAGATGTACATGTTGTACTGTAGAAGTTTGTTTATCACGATCATCATGCAGTTCTAGATTTTTGAGGCTATAATTAATAATCACGGATAATAATTTGTGAACGGCTTTGAGACGACCTACAAACTAGGTTGTGATAAAGCGGTATATAAGAACCTCAAATTATTATTATTATCAACTGTAAATAACTTATATTTGTAAGTTATTCATTTCAAGCAATTTTCCTATGGTTCATCACTGGTGGTTAAACTTAGCTTTTACCATAGATAATAATTTATTATAAGAGGTGTCACGATTCACCGCAATGCACTTGTACAGCGATTATTTATGTTCTGTTCGATTCACAATATATTTTTCCTGATTTTCGATACGTCACGATCTGAATATTAGCCAAAATGTCTATGAGACGTTTAATTTCATTGACTGATCTCTAAACCCTCAGCCAATTGGCTGCGAGGATGTAATTTTCACAAAGCATTCATAACAAAATGGCGGACCGCAGTAAGGAAATGAAAATTGTTGATGCTCCGGCAAGCTTCAAATCAAAAGTGTGGAAACACTTCGGGTTTCAGGTATCGACGGCTTATATATCTCATTTTGTTGATATTTTAAAATAAAGGTGTATCAAATCAAATTGTGGTACAAATATCGAGATACGTATCGAATCGTGGATAAAGTGTATCGTGACAGCTCTATGCATTATTAATAAAGGTCGAAAGCTACAATTTCAAATTTACCTAGACATTCAGATCAATTAAACATTTTGTATATATAAACCATGTTGTGTCTCTGTAACCAATGCATGCCAGTAGAACATCGATATCTTTGTTCAAATCTTTCAACTGTAATTATGAAGAGAAATAGAATCAAATTATACTGGAAAATATCATCCTGGAAAAACAAGAGATTTCGTCTTGATTTACGAATTGTTCTAATATTGTTGTGGCTTTTATTTTCAGGGGATTTTATAGGATTCTTCCTTGCCTGGGCCAGTTTATTGCCATTCTGTATCATAGTAGGGTTTATAACCTTAATTATATTTAGGCGGGATCTTCACACTGTAAGTATATATCAATTTTCTAGACTGCATCATACATTTCACTGCAAAAAGTTATTCCAGATACACTGGTTGAGGAAGGGGAAGGGAGGCACCATAAATTGGAAAGTATGTGTGGTTGTGTCATATATATAATTATGGGTAGTGGGACGTCACAAAAAAAGTGTCCACTCTCCCATATTTACATTTAGGAATAGCCTATATTGGATGCGAGCTCTAAGCTTGTTTTATGTATACATATACATGTATACTCTATCTTCTGAAAGGTGATGTATCAATTCTGCGAGCTCATTAAATTTTCATGTAATATTTTTCATCACATCTTCTTTTTAACATAAAAATATTCTGATCAACATGTCTGCGAAGATGCATATGTCATTGTTGTGTAGATAACGTATACATTGGCAATATAGATATACTGTAAGTTACTCTCTTACATCTCACGCTTAACTAGATTACCCATTCCTTGTCTGTAATCATACAATAATTCTCTTATTAACTTCTTTGTTCTAAATTTCAGATTTCATATTTTACTGGTCTACTGCTGAATGAAGCTATTAATTGGGTATTGAAGCATCTAATACAAGCTCCACGCCCTGTCAGAAGTAAGCTTTGTTAATTTATTGTTAACTTATGATTAACAGTCCATTAAAGCAGGTAACCAACAGTGTAAAATTAAACCAATAGGTAAATTACACGTTTTTCTCAAATAGTTAATAAGCTCCACAATCAATGCTACAGCTGACCAAACTGTTGTTATATATATACATGTACAGGGCTAGAAATTCATTTTAAATACCACCATAAACTGAGGAAAATCAACAATGGAATTCTTAGGAAAACAAGAAAAAGGGACATTGGAATATGTTGGCGGTAAGCCAGGTGAACATGAAACGAAGGGCATTATCAAGGTTTTACTGCATTTGTTATGCGTAACTTTATAATCTGTCATTTATATTGTTCTGGAATTGAAGTTTCATTTCTTTTATTTTTTGCAGATCGTCAGCTTTACACTGAGTATGGAATGCCATCAAGCCATGCTCAGTTTTCCTGGTTTTTCTCAACATACATGATTCTTTTTTTATTTCTTAGGTAAGTGAACATGCCTATTATAGCACCAGTTAAGTCTTTCAAGCACAAAAGATATTTCTGCATAACTGTTTTTCATGGACTGTGCATTCAAAGCTGTAACTTAATATATTCTGATATGATGATCAAAAACGTGAATGGAAAATGTCAGTCATATTTATCTAGAAAATATATTTCCCAGAAAACTATATGTAAAGTAAAATATACTGGTATGTACCACTAACAATGATCGGTTTGTGATTTTTCTGTCTTTTCAGAATTTATAAAAATTATAATTTGATAGACGATGTATGGAAGTATTGTGTCAGTGCAATATGTGTCATAGGATCGTCTATTGTTTTATACAGCAGGTATGTAAAAAGTCATGCGTGACATACTTTTGACCTGAAATTTTCTACTTGATCAAAGGAAATTGATTTTTGTCATCTTATGAAATCCTGTAGCTTTTGTGTAGAAATGTATGCTTGATTAGAGTGAAAAGAATTAGTATCCCTGTTTATGTTTAATTTGTTTCCAAACTTACTTAATTAATGTGTTTTCTGTTTATACATAAGCACATGTAAAACACCATTCTGTTTTATTGCTAAATTACTTCTCGTATATGAAGGTATCCAGGTATGAAATCCTTCTCATGCTCAAGCTTGAAATCTGTGCCCTTACAACTTTCTTGTCAATCGCTAGAATTATAGTCAAAAGTAAATTCTAGGCATTAAAAATGGAAAATTGGTTTCAAGTTTCTCCAAAGTTCATATGAATGATTGAAAGAAAAATCATCACATGATGAAGAATTGATTGGACTACAGAATCTTGAGTGTGTTCAATGCTAAAATGTATTTCAGAACAGCTTCATGAAAGACAGCCCTGATTTTTCTTTTCTTTTTCCTGTATCAATGTGATTATGACATTTTCTGATATAGTTTTACATTAGACATCTCTTCTGTTGCAGGGTGTATTTAGGGTATCACACCATTGGGCAGGTGTCTTGTGGAACCCTGCTGGGTGTATTTTTTGGAGCAGCATGGTTTTGTACTGTCTGTGTTATATTAACTCCATTCTTCCCAATCTTGGCATCAAGGTAAGAATCATGGTTTTGGATGCAAATCTACTGTACACGTTAAAATGCATAATATATATCCTGTAGAGATACCACTACCTGATTCTTTACTACTGCTCAGCACCCTGCATACTTTCAGGTATCCTGTTGAAGGGTAAAAGACCCATAGATTCATGCAAGCATAACAACAGCGTTGGCTTTACTCCCTGCACCTCTTATATATCCTAATACATGCCCAGTATATTATTAAAGGGAGACAATTTTGAACAAATATCTATAATTTAATTTTTTTTTTTTTATAAAATTTAGAAACCTGACAGCAGAAAAACCTTGCTGAATAACACTTTCATTTTCCTGCAAAATTGTAGGTAAATAATAGAAGATATATATAAACTTACTGGGGGAGAAAAGGCAATGGAAACATTGAAATATTTTAGCTATAAGTGATCTAGTAGGTAAACAAGCATTTTAAGTTTACTTTATATTTTTTAAAAGTGTGAAAAATACAAGAAAGTTATATTAGACACCGATTAAACAACACAATTTGGTGCATTTGCGAGGTTATAGTTTTTGCTTGTTTAAATACAACCAATCTGCATCAAGATATCGCCACGGAGAAGCCCAAAATGTGAACCCTCATCACAGGTGGTCTCTTAATACAGGTTCAGTTCAAAGTAAAATTGCTACTATGGGTAATAGTAAAAGTGGTCTCGAACTGGTAATATGAGTGGTCTCTCAATACAGGTGGTCATAAAAGCAGGTTTGACTACATTGTCTGAACCTAATTATTTTGTGGATGTAAAAGAAATTCTTGATTGTACAGTCTGGATTAGACACAGTGTATTTCTTATTCTGTTTTCAAGAGAAAGTTGCTAGCTGGTATATTTTTTTCTTGCTGTTCAGAACAAATTTAAAGGGACCTCAACAAGAAAATGTAATGCTTGGTCATGATATGTACAATGTATACATGCAAGCTTGAACTCTATAATGTTCAAAATCCAGATATTATCTGTCCACAATAGACATTTAAACATTTTCTTATAAAGTCCAATTCTAAAAATAAATTGCTGTAGATTAAAATGTGATGGAAGTTTTTCTTTGATATGAAACTCTGCTGTCACCTTTTCTGTCTGACTACTTTTAAATAAGACTGGTCCAGCTATACCAGTCTCCTTATTAACTTCAAAAGGCCATACTATTATAATGAAGATATTTTTAAAGGGTGTACATATATGTATTAAAGATTGTGAAAAAATATATTATTTTGTTTTCATGGTAATAATGCAAGAGATGAATGTTGTGCTGTTGCTACTCAAAAAGTTAATATTATTTCATTGCTGTTTAAGAATAGACTTTAATAACATTTATCATGGTATAAATTATGTTTTTTGCAGCCCTATAGGTGAGTTTTTGATGCTAAGAGACTCAACATTGATACCCCATGTCATGTGGTTTGAGTATACCTCCTCCAGAACAGAGGCACGGTAAGTTACTGGGAGCAAAGCTGTACTCGAACACTTGCTTAACTGTGCAGGATATACTCATTGTGTTCACGTTTTATGTATAGACCAAGAAATAAAACTGAGATTGAAGTTGCAATTTTGGTTGATCACAATATTTAACTCGATTTTCCTTACTGAAAGCTTGCAGAACTATTATATTGAATTTTACTAAAGGGAGATAACTCCACTGTTGACTTGAGCTTAGTTTCTTAAACCTGAAAAAAATACGGTTAATTTAAAAAAAATCAAAATGATTCTGACTTGATTTCAAAAAAATGGAAGATTTTGATTCCTTTTGAAAGAAAAAAATGTTTGTTTCATTGCAATCTTGCATTTATATCTTTCAAAACAATTTTGTTTTCTGTGTTCAATAAGGTCGCATTTGTGTTTCCCGGTATAAACTGTTCAGTATGTGCAGAAATATTCCACGATAAATGAACACACTTGTACCAAACTGAAGGCAGAGCTAAAAAATGCACGGTTTCAGAATAAATAATTATATATCAAGAATAATATGTCCATCTTTCACACATTCACAAAATTATTCAACGTATCTTAAAATCTGCATCTGGATTAACATTGTTTCATAAAGAAATAATCAAACTAGCAATAGTCAGCATTTTAGTTTCGGTAAGGCACGTTTGGACCCCTCAATCTACACGTGCCGAATATTCCTGAGGTCGGCCCCAGTCCAGATCTGCGCCTATCGTTTACTTTCAGGTTCAACCGTTTCAACTGGTTGAACCGGATACTCGAAAGGGGCCTTAGTCTTTTCTGCATAGTAAAGCATGCATCATACGGGTCATTAGCTCTTCCTATTTGTGTTAAGTTTATTGATCCAGGTTTGGAAGTTGACAACCTATGTGAAATATAAAGCGCATAGAAATATGTATTGATGATAACTAGATACAAATAATTTCTTCCACGATCGTTAATACTTGACAAGTAATCCAGTATATCGATAATTTTGAACTGACGGTGGATTTTTCTTTATCTCTATCATTTTTTTTTTACAGGGGCAGACAAAGAAAATCCAGGAAGTCCCAATGACTGGGCCGCCATTAGATCAGCTAGCATCAAGGTTGAGAGTGAATTTCAGGATCGGCACCTTTCCTGATAGGTACCACACTCGACATACTGAGTTAAGCTTTCTGGGAAAGTTTAGCTTCACAATGATGAATTAAACAGTTCAGGGTTTATATGAGACTTACAGTATTATATCAGTCTCATACTAAGATTGATCCTCGACCAATTAAAAATACCCATGACTTCTGGTGATCCTCGACCATTACATATACCCATGACTTTTCAATGTGCTCGTTGTGGTAAGTTCACATCAGTGAAAGGTCAAGGTATATAACACCTCTAAATTACACAGAGTTCAAGATAAAGATGAAGGTCAACTTTAACGTTTATGTTTAGGATTGTATCCAAAGTGTAACCAAAGAAATATGCATATGTACCTTAATACATGTATGTGAAGTTCATTTTAATGACATGACCTTGTTTCTTAGTGAAGAGGGTTACAGTGACCTTGACTCAAAGGTTTGAGGTGAAGTTCACCGTTAGTTAATGTAAAACTTGTATATAAATGTTATATTATTGAAGTATTGTTACTTTATAATGAGATTTAATGAAAATAAATTATTTGGCTTAAATATTTATTGTGCTAATGTTCGTTTAATTAATTAGTTTGTTATTTTTTTTAATCATGTCTAATTAGTTTGAGGTAAATGTACATGTATTGTTAATTTAATTAAGTGGATTTTGCTGACTATTGTTGGTTGGTATATTTTATTCTTTGTTTAAAGGTTATAGATATAATTATTTTTTTAGATAAATCTTATTTTTGTCAACAAAAAGAGGGCAATATATATTACACAAATATGTTTGCCGACGACCATGTTGTATTGTCATATTTATCTGTACTGTATGTACAACAGTAACTTCAACAGTTCCATATTGTGCTGAATGTGTGTGTTTTACTTATGTATGCAGTATTTCCTTAGTCAAACTGACCCCGATTACGCACCTCCAGGGTAGGTTAAAATATAATGATAGCAGTTAGTAATGTTGTACATCAAATTTAGGTAGAGTACCATCAAGTCAGAATAATGTTTTAAAACTATTACCACGAAGTTATGAAATATTTTTGTCATTTTCTACAGATGTTGTTCTAATATAACAAATCTTGGCATTCATTTTACAAAATTACATTTGTCATAAATTTGAGTATTTGAAAACATAATAGTAAATAAAAACAAAACAATGCACAGTATCAAAATGTCAGATGAATTCATTGCCAAGGGAAATAACTCAGCCGCAAAAAATCCTTGCTGTTTATCTTCTTTACACAACGGAGGATGCTCCATGTCAAGAAAAAACAGATCAGTGGTGTCTTTTATCATCAGATATAATCAATTTATTGTCCTGTTTTATTTTCTTAATTTAAAGAGTTTTGCAAAAAATTGAGTTACAAAAAGACACATACTTAAAATGACTTGGTAATTGATGCACTATCCATTCCTGTTACCCTATGTCTTACACCTTCTTCATCTTTGCTGAATAACCATATTAGGAAAATGTTGGAATGTTGGAACATCATTTAAAAAAACAAAAGGATACACAGATTTCTGAGAAATACACTCTCCAAATATTTTTTTATTATTTTTGCAATTACAACTTGAAATTTGCTAAAATCCTGAAGCAGGCCTGTTTTAAGAGGAGTGCATGTTTATTCAACTTTTTCCACTAAGAAATCTTTGAATATTTAAATTATACATAGTAAAAAACACAAGACCTTTGTTCAAATGTGATTAATTCATTTCAATGTTGTCTTGTATGGGCATTTGGTTTTTACTTTCCAATTAATATTGTAATATCAACTTTCATAGAGTATTTTCGATGACCTTGTTTTGCTCTTAACCGCAGCTTTGTATTGTTCAGGGAAGATCGTTTTTATACCTACTCTTATTGAAGAGAGAAATTGTTTGTGTGTTTGAAGTAGTAGCCGTTTACGAGAACATTTTTTTTTTCTGTAACATCACTGAGTCATGTTGGGACAGTGTGTTTTTTCTTGGTGTAAATTATAGTTGTGACTAACACAATTATGTTATGTACAACATAGATGTAGCAATTTCAGGCAAATTTATATAATTTAGACAAGATTTTGGTGTCTATGGGATTAATTAAGAATAATTGTGTCATTACATATGTGTTGTGATAATAATAACAGATTCTGGAGTGACTTGATTTATTATAGTGACTATTAACACATCATAAAGTAAATTAAATGTATTTCCCGTCTCAGACATGTATATATATGTACACCATTTTGCCAGGTTTAATTTGCTGGAAAATTGTACCATTAAATATAATCATTCTTCCACACCTCGGGAGAACGGCAGGGAAATCCCATCTTTCAGAGTAAGAATTTTAAGAGCCTGTAGTTGGACAATATACTACCACGCAAACTATTTTTGGATGGGTGATAATTCTTGAAGCCATGAACTGAACATAACTGCAAAATCTGCATATGTAAGGTTGGTGTGGGATAATTGTTAAGCTTCATGAAATTGCAATAATTTTTGCCTGAATTTTCTCATAAATGTTAACGGAACATTTAACAAAGTTTCATAATTATCACACAAAATATTACTTATAGCAAGTATATTTGCATACCGATAAATGTTTGACTAATGTTGACAGTAAATTGAATTTACTTCCATGTTTCTCTGGTGTAACTTCTAATAAATAATTCAGTCATACATGACAGTCATGTATTTTGTGGTGTTACAGTTATTAAGTAATTTTCACAGTAGTTAAAATGTATACCTGTGTTTCTCTGGTGAATGTTTCAGTGTTTATATTTTGTATACATGCTAAGAATTTCTACAGGTTGTTGGGATATAATTTTACAGTAATTGTATGCTGTAATTATTGTTTTATGATTATGATTCACTTATTGATTGTACTGTAATGGACCGTCCAGCTTCTTGTCATTTTAACCAACTGCTGTTGCTCAAGTTTCCTGATTATGTGTTATTTTCATTATTAATTCTTTCTGTATTGTGTCAGTGTTCCCAGCTAACTAAAACCAACATCACCACTGGTGTAAAATACAGATAATTCATTATCTGGTTATAATTACACCCCAAAATAATTAAGTTGTGTCAAACACAGCTGGGTTTTAATTAACTGCTTTATTTCCTTCTTCAAATATCTAAAAAAAAAATTGCTTTATTAAGGGCCAGAAAAGTAAAACAAAACATTTAACATCAATTAGAATTTTGTTTTGTTTCAATAACTAAGTTTATAAAACAGTTTTCAAGTTTACAGAACCGTTGTCATATTTCAGGACCATGCATTGCACATTTGTCAAAAGCCGTTTGTAATTAATTATGAGCCGTGTGTGAAAGCCGTCAGTAAAAGTTTTAAGTTTTGTTAGAATGAGAAAAATTACTGACCCCAATTATCATATAGTTCAAAAAGAGAAAAATTACTGACCCCAATTATCATATAGTTCAAGGAAACCCATTTAACAGATGCTTCTAGATACTACATAGACTAAAACATAGCTTATAACTCATAATGCCTATCAAACAGTTGTCTGTACGGTCAAATATTGTTCTTTTTGTCATTGTTGTAATAATTAAGTCGTGACAAACACAGCTGGGTTTAAATTAACTGCTTTATTTCCTTCTTCAAATATCTAAAAATTCTGCTTTACTAAGGGCCAGAAAAGTAAAAAAGAAAATGAAATATGTAAGAAGCAGATACATGTATCATGATTAAATTAAAGACCGCTGAGAACATTTTTGTGTAAATATGACAAAATTTTAACATGTCTCTGTTGTTAAACAGTACCTTTCTGAATATTTTTATCTAGTCAGTTGAGTAAATGTAACTTTTTTGCTGATAAATATTTCTATTATTTATAAAGTAGCTTTCCTTTCTGATGATGAACAAGATTTCCTTAATGATGGTCATTTCATTTGTTTAGAACTTTCAGACTATCAGAAGATCTTTTTGCTTTTAATGTAATAATTTATCAAGAGAATGTGTGTTTAGACTTCTGCACGAGTTCCAAGGTTTTTATCAGTAATACTGGACCACAACTATCGGAGTCACCAAAATATTGTTTAAGATTTTCCAGACTATTGTGAGAGCTACCACACAAGTCCTACAAGAGTTTACCGATAGCTATTAGACTTTTCTGACTTGTTAGAATTTATCATCATAAGAGTTTCCAGAATTTTCATTCCATTACTGTTGTTGGAGTTTCTTTACTACTCATTGGAGTTTCTAGGCTGTCGGTAGATTCTTCAGACTAATAATTAGTTTTACAGCGAGCTATTTGAGTTTCAAAACTGATGATAGATATTCCAAACTAAAGTTGGGAGTGTCCAAAATGTAAGTTAATGGACTAATATGGCTTACAAATGTATAGGCCACTATGAAAGTTTAAATATAGACATTATTCATTTTACAACAATTATGAAAAAGTTATTTCAACTTATATGAATCACTCTTGTTAGCCCGGATGTTAGCTCACTGAGGGTCTTGATGTGGGAAGAAACCGACCGAGGAACATGGAGAAAACCAACGCGGTCTGGCAGGTGACCTCATACCTTTTCACGTCCAATCAGGGAATCAAACCAAGCCGACTTGGTGAAAGGTGACAGTGCTATCCACTCCACCACCTGACCTACCAACTACTATCAAAGTTACAGAATAATTTTGAAGTTGACAAACTACTGTTGGAGTTTCTTGACTATTTTCACTTTCACATTATTATAAGTTTTCTGTTTGAGTTTCAGTGTGCTACTTTTACAGTTTCAATATTAATAAAATTTATCGAATTACATTTCAATATGGTGACGACGCTTGGATCACTTATTTAGTATTTGTTATTTTCTTTTATCAGATATTCATGTATGATACATGGTTTATTAGTGATATGTTATACAAGCCATAGACACATCACCTTGGACACATTTGTACATGTTTGTTTGTACATGCAAAACTGCAGACATTTTTTTTGTGCTTTGTTGCATTGTACAGGTATTCATATACAATCAATACACAAGGTAAGATAAGTTGATTTCATCTGTGTAAAATTTTATCTGTGAATGTTCTATATACAGCTGTCACCTGTAAAGATAGCCATACATTAAAAAAAGTCAATAACTGTATAAGATCTGTTGACTCTAGATTGTGAAAAACATACAGTTCTTGATTATCTTATTATTTATAGCTGACAAAACCTAAATCAATTAAGATGCAAATATTGTTCACCGAGTACTTTGTTCACAGTCAATGAAAAGATACCAGTACTTCTCGAAATGTATTATTATCAGTAAAATGTTTTGCTACAATGTGGAAACGATTCTCTTTTTTGGACTGGTTGTGGACGCTGTATAGTTGATAATTATCGTCTTCAGTACTTGCTCCCTTATCTGTTGCATACAAAACAATTAAAATCATTGACTATAAGGAATCATAGGTTTCAGCAAAGGGATACATGGTGTTTTTATTATATGGATGGGCTGTTTATTTGCCTCTCTGAAATAGCAACCTTTGTGAATAGGAGATTGGCTCATTGTTGTGCATTCACGAATTTTGGAAATTAAATCTGCTTACATAAAAGTTAACCTGTCGGCTATTTGTTTTGGAAATGCTTTCACTCTTAAAGGAAATTCATATACCCTTTTAACATCAATTAGAATTTTGTTTAGTTTCCAAAACTCAGTTTATAAAACAGTTTTCAAGTTTACAGAACCGTTGTCATATTTAAGGACCATGCACTTGCACATTTGTCAAAAGCTGTGTGTGAAAGCTGTCGGTAAAAGTTTCAAGCTTTGTTAGAATGAGAAAAATTACTGACCCCAATTATCATATAGTTCAAAATGAGAAAAATTACTGACCCCAATTATCATATAGTTCAAGGAAACACATTTAACAGATGCTTCTAGATACTACGTAGACTAAAACATAGCTTCCGCCTGCTTATAACTCGTACTGCCTATCAAACAGTTGTCTGTACGGTCAAACCGTTGTCTGTACGGTCAAACATTGTTCTTTTTTGTCACTGTTGCTGTCAAATTGATGTTGGGAAATCACACAATATTTGTTATTTTTTGCAAACTAATACGTTCTGAAAATTATATGTAATACCTGGTATGTACAACTTTATCAAATATCGAAATTGTCTAATCTGATGCCATTGTGTTTGTTATTTTTAACTTTACAATCTTTAGTAATCATGTAAAAGCATGCTTAACATGGTTCTAACCAGTGGAAAAACACTTCTGGGGTATTAACTAATCTGAAGTTACAAGTACGAAATCATCCTCTAGTAACTAGTGTGAAAACTTGTCATATAATTACTCATATGAAAACACACAATGTCATTACAAAAGTGATAACATCTATAGTATAGCTTCTAGTCTTAAATACACCATGTAGTTACTAGTCTGATACCAAAAACACATTGTAGATACTAATATGAATCACCACATATAGTTTATAGTAACTAGTGGGAAAACTTATCATTTTAATTTCTTTATTTCCAAATGCAACGGATAGCATATAGGAGTTACAATATACATGTACATACAAGTAAATATTACAATCCATTTATGTAAGATGGCGGAGAACATAGAGTAAAATACAAGATGACATCATAGCAATGTTGTCAAAATACAACAGAAAATATATAATCATTGTCAGTGGCACAAAGCTGGAATACACGATTGCTCAGATATTAAGTATAGACCTTTTAGAAGTAGCCTGAATTACTAAGGTTTCTCGGTTGTTTTACATATTTGCAGACGGATATGTTTTACATATTTGCAGGTGAATAATTAGTATAAACACCATGTGATTGCAAAATCGAAAACACCATGTAGTTACTAGTCTGAAATCCTACCATTTTAGTAAATGGTAACAGAAATACGTCCATATAATGCCCCTCGCTGACCGCCTACCTATTTAAAGCTCCCCTTTTGTCTTATTCTTAAGAATTCCAAATATAACTTTCTCTCAATTTATCACCAAAACTGGTTATAACACCAGCATTTCTAGACAAATTATGACAGGATCGAGTTTTTATTTTTGCACATTGTCAGCGTTACCCCAACTAAGGAGTTTGAAAAAAAAGTACTGCAGTATCTGATGATGATATTTTAATGAAGATCTCTCGACAATCATGAAGGATCACTGGTATATATCACACAAAGCTTTGTTATGACGTAATAATTTAGAAAAGTGCTTGAGTGAAACGAACACTTAAAAGCTGTCCCATAAGGTTTGCTCCCCGTGGGAATTGCGGCTCGCACGTTGGACTCATTTTAATACCGCAGATTTTATTTCGGTTAAAAAAGGATCTGAACATTTTTCTCAAAATAGTGGCATTGGTTATTTTGACTAGTTTTTCTTACCATAGGGATATTAGTTATCCATATTAGTCATAAGGATATAAGGAGTTATTTTCTGACAAAGAAGAAAAAGCATTACAAAGATCAATTTATGAAACAACGAATGTATGACGCCGGTAGTCTAAAATAACGCACGTTACCGTAATACTAAACAAAATATTGGCGTGGAGTGTTAAGATTAATGAAGACACATAATGGCATTTAGCATATGTATTGAAAATGCCGAGAAGATGCGGACTTTGGGATTATACATTTGATGCACTAGAGTTTGCTACTTGTAGGAGACACTACCTCGCCAGTGAACTGTGCATCATGCACGTCAAATGAAATATGTAAGCAGTTGTGATTTTACACATCATAAATGTTAATATGCATTTCATATCCTTAGATAACAAATTTCAATTTGTATACTTTACGTCATGCTAAATCTGTCAAAGCTGATTTTTTTAAAACATCGGCTTAATCTTATGAAAAACAGACGACTTCCATTTCGATTCCATTATAGAATTGGCTTTTTTATGGAAGCTGCATCATAGTAGTGATGTGTTTTTGACTATATTGTATTCTCTCCCCGATTTATTGATCTGGGACTCCGACTGCTTCCTTTCTGATCGGGTGAATTTCTTTCCCTTCAGGGATTTTGTATCTCTACGATATTCACCAAGGCGGACCCAAAGTCGCCTTCCAGTCTCTTCAATATACAATGCAGTTACGCATTCTGCGACGTGTTCTCTGGGTGTTTTATACTTACGGTGCACTAACCAACCTTTGAGCAACTTTGGCAAGGTAGGAGTGGTTCACAACTCGGTTTGACCTATATTCCTTAACGACTCACCATTTTGTGAGCGAAAACCATAGCCAAACTTATCTGTAGATGATATTTACAGCATGTTTCATTGATTCTATAACATTTTTGTTATACGAAAACATGTCAGTATCAAAATAATATTTAAGGATACAAGTACTAAGATTCGTTATACATTACAAGGAATGAAACACACTACACTAGGTCACGCTCGTCTCCGCCACATACTTCAGTACAACACCGGTACTTCACGTAAGTACATCTTAATAACCGTATTGTTTTAAATCCCGCCTACGGAAAGACATCGTGAAGATAAAGGAGCGTAACTTCCGTATCTCTATCCCCTGTCTATTAAGTATGTAATATATACCCTATCCACTCACTGCGCGGATACACGATGTAAAATCACAAGGTCTTTAGACATCATTTGATACTCTGAAAATTTACGTTATTAATCATGTTATTTGTAATGTAAACAATATACACACATTTATATCAAGCATTATTTAAAAGACATTGGAATATATTAGAACTAACAACGTATTGGAAGAACCGTTTGTGATGGCGGAATATACGCAATCGTTGGAATTTTTTGACCGTCAGCACGACCAGCAAAACCTGATTCTTGCATTCATTGTCACGTTGATAAGTATCTGTGGTTTGATTGGAAACTTTCACGTTGTCCTTGTCTACACCTGTCGTTTGACGACTAAGACTACGTTTAAGGGTTGCATCGTGTGGCTGGCAGCTCTAGACCTTCTCAACTGTGTCATTGTTATGCCAATGGACATCACATACTTCATACATCCCTATTCCGTCTACAATTCCTCCGGATGTAAACTGAAGCACTATTTGGGACAATTTGTTACCTTCTCAGCCGTGGCCGTCACATTGGTCATCGCTATTGACAGATACAGGAAGGTATGTAAACCGACATATCGCCAAATTCGGTACCGTGAAGGGAGACTACTATGTGGTGGCCTCGTCTTGATATTTGCTTTAACGCTCATACCTGTGCCAGTTATGATGGGTCTTGAAAACGTGGAAAACGTGGCGTACAATGTCACTCTACAGAAGTGTGGCATTGATCAATCGTTCAAAGATTCGGTTGTTCCGAAGGTGGTCATATACCTTTTTGTGTGTGTTCTCTACGTGGCATCGTTGGCAGTTGTTGGTATCTATTTTCAGCTGGGAAAGTATCTTCGTCAACGAAACAAAAAATTGTGCATCCCTACCGCCATACGTCGACGTATTTCTCGAAAAGAGACATTTTCCAAAGCTGACCTGCTGAAAATGCAAGCCGACCCTTCGTATCATCCTTCTCCATCGCCGACGCCTTCCACTTCCTCGGACGAGAGCAACTTCATATCTGAAACACAGCCAAGAAGTGTGTTCTATAACAAAAATGGTGATAGTCCAGAGTACCGTTTTGACGACATGCAGACACGACTTAACGACATAAAATACAGCGAGTCTGATATTGATAGCGGCCTGGTTACGTGCAGTCAAATTAGCAGGGATCAACGAGGCATTGTTAATACTAGGAAAAGAAAAGCCGCAATCACCTCAATTGCTTCAATACCAGATGATGCTTGGCCGGATGCTTATGAAAACGACGATTTAATGAGTTCTAAAACAAATGTTGAAACGAAAGAAAACAATCAGTATATGCAAAGTAATGAAGCTAATCGTGATATAGAAAACATTCCGGATATATCTGGTGCTCACCAAGAAACACATGATGATAATTCTCACATTTGTCGTGCCATTGACAAATATTCCGAAGAGACAACAGAATTGACACGGAATCAAATCACGAGAAAAGCAAAAGTAGAGCTCACCGATTCTATCGACAGTTGCAAGTCGTCTAAGAGACTTGTTGATACATTAGACACGAACGTGGATACATCGAACTGCCTGACAACCTCAACTGACCAGAATCGAAAGCTGTCAGATGTCAGCGGTGGGCGGCTCCCTACAAAGTCACGGATCTGCAATTCTGTATTTTACAACAGAATATCTACAAATATTAATCACAATGTGTTTCTATCAGAAAAACGTGAACGGAGACAGCAACGTAACAACACTGTGGTTAAGATGTGTTACATAATAGCGGTGGTTTGCCTGATGTGTCTGCTTCCGGCCACCGTAACATTTCTTCTGACATTCGCAAAAATGGACAAAAGTACGTTTGGATATGTATTTGTAAGACTAGGCCATAGGGCACCGTATTTCCGAAGTTGTCTGAACCCATTAATATACGGTTTCCTTGACTTGAAGTTCAGACGCGCATGCTTGGACATGTATGCTATTTTGGCGCAGAAATTATGTGGACGACCAATTAGAACAAATCGACACCTTAGCCATAGATCTACATACAGAACGCACTTTACTATAAATAACATGACTATGAACTAGTTTGTGTTGGACATATAAAGGCTGTGTGTTGTTGATATTGATGTCTGAAATTTAATGTGAGAGCGGAAATGTTCGGATTGAGTAAATTAGCGTGAAAATACCAAAATTTATTTATAGTTTTGGTTAATCAATTGCCAACGCGAGAACATCTTACGTACACTACAGCTAAACATACATCTTACGGGAACATAAACTAAATTATAAATCGTTTATACAACATGAGATATATTAAACAAGAAATCTGGAATTAAATAGTGTATGAGATGTTGTATATAGTCTATATCAAATTAGAACATTAGATATCGCAATTAGTTTCTAAATATCTTGTGCTATTTTACGAATTACAGGATCGACATTGCACCATAAATGACTGTTCTCTTTGCTTGCCTTAGATAAACATTAATCCACAATGTATGACAAGCATGCTTAGCAAGGGCAATGTCAAAGATATTTCATTATTTGGAATATCCAAACATAAGCTAATTGATATATTTGTATTTAATGATGTTGATACGTTGGACTTATTTATAATAACTGTTTATATGAACAAAGGACATTGATACATTAATGCAATGAATTGAACATAATATATATCCTGACATTTAAGGATCCCCATCTCACTACGCTGTGTTTTTTCCTGTATACAGTGACCCTCTTTAACTTTCGATTTTAGCTTAAGCAGATTTTATTGCATATTTCAACAAAAGGATTAGGCGCAAGTTATCACAACTGAAAAATGCTTTTTTTCCGATTGAATTATAAAACACTGCTTGACAACGCAATAGTCTAGCTGTAAATATAATTGACAAATTTTATGAAAGGGAGGGTAAAAGCGTATGGGACATGGAAGAATTTGATAGAATAATCAAATACACATGTATAGATAATGATTTAACATCCGGTTGGACATAACTGTAGCACAGGTCGGCAAGGGCACTTCTGTACACATCCTCGATATCCAGGGGTTACACTGACTCGCTCTCTGCACAGTGAATGTTATATACTGGATATCGAGGATGTTCAGTACACTAAGTACATGTACGCTGAATCGGTTAGAGATAGAAAAAACCCAGTTACCAATACTTTAATTATAGTTTGTGGCAGTGGTACGGGGATTCTAATGCAGATGCCATTGTTTTTTACACTTTTTATTTTCATATATTTTAAAGAATATAGTATACTTGTCATAGAATGAGAACGCTGTATTCACACATAAGATAAAGAACAGAAAATAAAATAAAAAGACAACAAAAAAACAAAATCAGAGAAAAAAACCTAGTATCTCCCTATAAGAGGTTTGAACTAATAGTAGTTAAAGGTCTCATCATATTTGACTTAATCATAACATCACATATGCTGCCTTGGAAATACAGTTATTAATGAATATTTAGTATTTATACATTTCGATGGGAGGATTTTTATCAAATCTCAGTGAAATAGAAATACATTGTTTACGATTCTTTTCATCAAATAATCGAGGATGAACGAAAACATTAGAAATGTGTTATCTCTGATCTTGTATATGTAAATTGTCAACAATTTCAACATTTTGATTTGATGTCAAATGTCTGGGTTATTGCGTCGTTGTGATGTTGTCTTTTTTAAATTCTGTCCATATATACATGACAATGTAGTCTACAATGATAGTCACACCTTAGTCTACATTAAATCTTACAACTTGGTCTACATATAGCCTACACTAATGTTCAAACATTAGTTGAAATATTCTTTAACAATATCCCAACCTTACTTCGGTCGATACAAAATAACGTATAAAATTTGCTATATACTCTGTAGTATGTACATGGTTACCATTCACACAGTTTTGTTTTTGCCAAAGAATCGAATTCAGATATGTTATTTTTGGTTAATCACTTGTATTTATAATTCAGTCTCATTGAAACAAGATTAATTTGTCAATAAAACATTCGGAATATTTGTGAATGTATTTGTTATATATGTTACACGCCGGTATGACTATTATGTTACACGCCTTTATGACTATTGTGTTACACGCCTGTATGACTATATTAATATAAGTACCTGGTGGTTGTTCGGAAGATAAAAAGACTAAATCTTCTAATGCAGATTTCGAACTACAAATTATACCATCCTTGAAAACGGAACGTCAGCCTCATTATATTTTTTATCTAATGCAGTACAAACAACTGCATAGCCCTGCTACCACAGCAGATCTGCTTAGTTTTTATTTTAAAAGCTGATCCTAGCTGGTAGCTGTTCATCTGTATCTGATCAAAATTTAAACGCGAATTTTCTTTAATTATTTAATGTTCGAAGGTGCCTGACGCCTGTTTATCAAAAAATGTTTGTATTGGCATTTCTCAATTTTAAGAATACGACAGTCTAACCACAACAAGAGGCCCAAGGGCCTTAGCGGTCACCTGAGTTATATCATAGGTACTGGTAGCTTTATTTTATTGTTTAGTTGTGATGTGGAAATCAGCATGTAAACTAAGTGAAATACAATACTTGTCATGTCATCAAAGGATAAGAATTCGAAAATATTGGTAAATGTTCCCTTTGGGGCCCCGCCCTAGCCCTTGGGGATGAGACAGGAATCCCAATTTTACAATGTATTACCCTCATTAACCAAAGATGATTCTGACTAAGTTTGAGTAATTTACTGCTTAAAATGGATAAAATATACTCAAAAGTGGTATTTCCCTATATAAACTATAGTAAACTTTACCCCCTGATAATCTTTCTTTACATGCAGAGAAAATGACGGTAGTACCTCTGGAGAAGAAGATTTTTGAAATATTGGTCAATTTTCCATTTGGGTCCCGCTTTGGCCCCAGGGATTGGGTTAAGAATCTCAATTTCACAATTTGAAACCATCTTTTTCCAAGGATAATTATCACCAAGTAAAAATAATTTCCTACAGAAAGTTGTCAAAATATACGCAAAAGTGTTTAAAATATTGGGTTTTTTTTGGGGGGGGGGGGGGGGGGTAGGAATCCCAATTTTCCAATTTTGTAGCCTCATTTACCAAGGATGATTCTGACCAAGTTTGAAAAAAATCCATCCGCTGGATCTTGAGAAGAAAAACGTAGAATTCACGAATAAAGACGAAGCAGAAAGGATCATCGTGTTTAAAATGTAGCCGGCTATGGAACATAAACCAATTCGGTTTATAGTTCGTTGCACATTGTCATATACAATGAGATGTCTTCATTTTGGTGTGTAAGCATTTCAGAGAAAACAGGAAATCACTATGTGGTCATCCGGGTTACAGCGTATAACTGTATCTGGATTATGTAACGAACTATAGTAGGAGTCTAATTAGCAATATGAACACACATGTTTTCTAAACGATATAGAAGCAAAACCCATGTCCCCCACAGCCACTATAGGTTTCTTCTCCCCCCACAGCCACTATAGGTTTCTTCTCCCCGACTCATTGGGAAGACACTCCCACCCAAACTAAGTAAAAAACCCGTATTAATAAAACATTACCAATAAATATATTCTGAAATTTTCCCATTATATCCGGCAGTTGGACAATTTGTCAGAACAAAGACAATTAACAGTATGCGGTGAGCTGCAAAGCTAGAATGACCACCCTATACTACATACGCGGATATTACTACATTAACCTAGTGCATGGTACATACACTCTGTGAAACCAAGAAATACCTCATAAATGTTCATAATTACCTGTTTACCCATCTGATCTCTTCGACATATGTTTCATGCTATACTGCAAATTAGTTCGGCATATAACGTCACGCTACCACAATTGGTACAATTTTGACAATTTTGCAGTGATATTTAAAAATCAAGATCTTCTATCTGGCATGGTTTTTTTTTAATTTTTGATAAACACTGCCCATGGTATTAAATTTTCAGGAAAGGTTTTGATTCGAAGAAATTTGTTTTCAAAATTAGAACGCCTAATCTGGAGTGAGATTTCATCCGGGTTTTCCCCCATGATCAGTATCTAAATTAGTACACAATACCACAGGCTATTACACTTATTTCTAATTTTACTAATTGATGTGCCGATAGCAACAAAATATGTTGCTTTTATAAATAATATACTTAACTACAATTGTGTATAAGGACCAGAAATAAAGATTTATTCTTGCCTATAATTAACAACTTCAAGATTCTCCAAAATATCAAATATCAAAATACCAAGTCATCATGGTCTCATAAAATTTCACTATAAAAGTGAAATCCTGATAAATATCTCTATTGTTGTACCATCAGAGGAAAATACACAAGCTTAATTTTAAGTACTATTTGAACCATTTTCCGACCATGTACCAATTTGGGTAGCGTACCAATTATGGTAGCGTGACGTTAGTCTTCAACAATGTTTTAAAACTTGTTTGATATATAGTCTTGAATAGCGTTCCAATATCGCTCCATATTAAATCTACAATAAATCTCTAAACAAGGGAATAAAAACAATAAACTGAAATAAATTAGAAAAAGAACAACAATGTGAAAAAATGGACAAGATCAAAATTCTATTCCACAAGCCAACACTTCAAATTTAGAAGACACTAAAATAGCAAGCGACATATCCATCATGATCAAGGAAAAGAAAGGCGGTACAATGTGCTCCATAAAGGATGTTACAAACATCACACTTGGCTTAAATGTCTTCCTTTCAATCGAGGATATTAAGTAGATCAGTAATAAGTAGTCATGGTGAATAAGTCCTCTCTAATGGTTTAGGTAACCAAACGTCAAAAAGGTTAAAAAGTGAAAATTAGTTGTCGATAACCGTCACTGTAGACGGAATCCTCTTGGGTACTTTAGGTTATGTAACTGTATCATACTAAGTATTACTGATCATACATAGGTCTTACACTGTCTAATCATATTCCCAACTTGGCTCACATAAAAAGTACGTAAATGTACATGTATATAGACGTTTTGGTTCATAGTGTTATTAAGAAGTTCACGCTTTGTTTGACAAAAGTTTTGCAATACTTGTAGGCATTGGTTAATAAAACATTATATTGAAATAGCCAAGCTATGATTTATCATCAGTCCAAGAGTATGTTCAAACAACAAGTCGTTTTAATATTCACGTCTACATATTATGTTCACACGACATGGCAGTTGTCGTTTTACTTGGATTCAGCCTAAATATCTTTAAGGAAACGAAATTTGCAAGGATGTAACAAATAATGTGTACTATGGGCGTATCACACAATAGCGCACGACTGCATGCATCGTAATGTGAGAAAGGTATCTTGTCCGTGTTTCGGAATAAAAATATTCCGCAAATAATGGCACGAATGAGAAATACCATTTGCTTTATAATATCCGTTATCAGACATCTTATCTATAGCAATGTCCTCTTTGACACGAAGTGGTTGTAGATAAGTGACATTTGTTACCGGAGATCCAACATGGCGAGGTCATCCATACTTCTTCTGGCGCTGTGCGTTCCCCTAGTGCTGTGGTAAGGTGCCATTACAAAACTGATACTATGCTGGTTAACTAAAATATTTACTAACGTAGCGTTTGATGTAAAAGCCGACTGATTTTGTTCATCCACTGTGTTGAGCCGCTTGGTCCACTTACTGTTGATATACAATAGGTGACAAAAGCTTGTCACGTCTTCAACACGCAATGACGCTTTCGCCAACAGATAAAATATAAACATAGCCTAAAAGGTAACACAAAAATTGCGAAATACAATATTGAATTCCGCGACAAAACAGGAGGTTAAGTTTCATACAGGATTTCATATATAGAAAGACAATTATAATTTTATACGGGGAGAATCTGATTTATAAGGGGGCATAGATATAATGACTAGCTATCCGTAATAAACAAACTGGCCAAAGATTAACAAAAGTTTGTTTTTTATTGTACTTGAAGAAGTATCTCAAAACCGGAGAAAGCCCACGTGGTCGGGCAGGTTACCCCAAACCTTTTCACGTCCGAACGGAAAATCGGGCTGCCTTGAAATTGGTGAAATGCAAGTGCGTTATCCACTGCGCCATCCGACCACCCAATTAGTCTACGATTTAGCTTCAATCAGTTCCTTCCTCGTTTTTAGATTCTATGATTTTATGAACACATATTGGTTTAATTTGATAATGATACTGTTTATATATGTCCAAACAAAGGTTTAACATTTGGTGTATTTTAGCGCAAACTCCCATTCTCACGGTCACCATGGCCACGCGGTAGATTACACTCATTACGTGGACGAGTTGTGGACCAACGTCAACTATGACCACGACACACTGCATTTTACGACGGTAGAGCTCCACGACTTTCTTGTGTTCGCCGACACCAACAGTACGTATGTTGGCACAGAAAACAAATAAAGATTCGTCCCTAGTTTGCTTACCAAGGTCATTTAAATACTTAAGAAGCATAATTTGCAAAACAGAAGATATTCACAACGCTATTGAAGACCCTTTAGTTTGGCGACAGTTTGCTGTCAATAAAGTAATTTTAAATAATCAGGCGTTGTGAAAGAGGTGACTAGAAGCATCATACAAAAGAAATTGTCTTTCGATGTTTGTTTAGATAAGAAAATGCAATTGTTTAGTTGCCATTTAAGATCCTTAATGTGGTGACAGCTTTCAAACAATTGGTGGTAAGTGTTGAGAAAGAGGTGACAGGAAACAACATACAAAAGAAATGTTCCCTTTTAGCCAATGTTCTGTTCCCTAAACAACCTCTGCTTTGATTGCATGAAGCACTTGTTCTACATTTTCTGCTGGAGAGGGATTGGCCGAGAAGTTGATATTTTGCGACGAGTTTTGGCCCTTATCAAATTTTCGTTGAGTTGTTGCAGGTTGATTTTTTATGGGAAAGGATGCGGCAATCGGTAGTTCTCGTCATGTTGGTTTGTCTGCCGTTTGTTCGCTAATTTCTACTTTGGATTTATTTCATATCACTGGTGACCCTTACAGAGGACGGTTCTATTACCCGTCACGAGTACGTCACGGCCGCCACCAAGGACGCCCCGGACCTTACCGCATTCTCACACGGACTATTCGATACGTTCGATGCTAATAACGACCATCATCTAACACTTGACGATACTACCGCCCTCTATGACCGCATGGACAGCGACGGTAAGTCAACGTCATTTCTGCGTAACGCGATTTTCAGAACGAACAGGTAATCGCGTAAATTAAAACGTGTACTACACAAAATACTAGTTTTCTTCGAATTGTGGAATTTGTCACCGACTTCAGTGTTTGGGTATACAAATTGAATAATTTCATTTATTTTGATATCTTTCGTTGCATGCTATAAAGGATGAAATTCAATCGTTACTTAAAGATCGTTTATAAAAAACAGAGGATTAACTTAAGTCAGGGGGTGCGTTTAGGTAATTTGCAAATGAAAAGTGATTTGTTTTCTCAATAATTCCTTTCTTATTTACATTTTGAGTTGGAATTTACAACTTTACTCATTTGAGTACACTTATATAAAATGCATCAATACTGAATGCTGATGCCCAAAATGTACTGCACAGGGACTGTGTTGGGAACGCACCTTCACTGTAAGTGTTGGACGACATTATTCAAATGAGACTAAATTCTACACAGGCATATTTCACACACCTCCCGACTTAATCCTGTTTGTTATAAACGATTTTAAGTAACGATTTAATTTCTGTCATTTTTCATTCTTTTATATATGCCTGTTTAGTTAACATATGTTTTCAAAAACATAAATGGAACTATTTTGGTTTATAAGCTCATTTTGAAAACAGCAAATTATATTTGTGATTTACCCTACCCCTTTTGGTACCCCCAACAACTCACTTTCGGTCAAACTTTTACTTTAGTTTTTGTACATGTAATACAACAGGACATCTTTGAACAAATTAAGTAAGGCAAAATCCGAATATACCGGGGCCCCAAAAAGGGCCTTATAGACACTCATCCTTTATATAGAAATATACCTACCACAAAAGGAAACGATTGCAGAATCCGATTTTAGTTACGGAATGTTTTTGCTTTTTATTTGTACGGAACAAAAAACATACAATATCTGATTATTTTCATGTCAAGTTAACTTTCCATTCATTGAATACAAAACAACACATTTTCGAGAATTAAGTTCTTCAACTTTTTAAATATAAACTTTATTTATTTTACAACAATTATGAAACAANACCCAACCTTTTCACGTCCGATCGGTTCTTCAACTACCTACACGAAGCCCCAATAACTCGGAAGTTTTTAAAGCCTTATTTTTTCAAGAAAACATATTAATACATATCATAGAAACGTCTGGGAAAAAGATTTCATGCTTTTAAATGTTCCCAAATGATAAAATTTAATCCAAATCTTTGTAATTTAGGGGATGGATTCATAACGAAACCCGAATTTTATACCTTTTGGACCAATGTGAGTATTACCAACATTTTAATCACTCACTAACCTTAATTGTTCATCCATGTAATGAATGTTTAGCTCACCTGTCCCGAAGGCCAAGTGAGCTTATGCCGTGATGCGGCGTCCGTCGTTCGTTGTCAACATTTTACTTTAAACAACTTCTTCTTCATAACCAAAATGCCCCGGATGATGACATTTGGCCAGTAGCATGCTTCGATGAAGGGCTACCAATTTTGTTCAAATGAATTACTTTCACCCATATTCAAGGTAACAGGGGTCAATTTTCTTTAAAACTTTTTCTGTATAACCAAAAGGCCTAGGGTGATGATCATACTGGGATAAAGGGCTACCACATTTGTTCAAATGAATGATCTTCACCTTTTTTCAAGGTCACAGGTGTCAAATATGTTAAAAACACTTTAAATAATTTCTTCTGAATAACCAAAATCCCTAGGATGATGCTATTTGGCCAGTAGCATGCTGTGATAAAGGGCTACCAAGTTTGTTCAAATGAATGATCTTGACTTATATTCAAGGTCACTGCAGGGGTCAAATATGTTAAAATCTTTAAACAACTTCTTGTGAATAACCAAAACGCCTCGGGCGATGAAATTTGTCCAGAAGCAAACTGGGATGAACTTGGGCTACTCAGTTTGATAAAAAATACTTTCGACCATATACAAGGTCACAGGGGTCAAATATGTTAAACAAATTAAACAACATCTTGTGAATAACCAAAATGCCCAGGGTGATGAAATTTGGCTAGCAGCATGCTGGGATGAAGAACTACCAAGTTTGTTCAAATGAATGTGAGTCAAATATGTTTTACATCTTGAAACAACTTCTTCTGAATAACTACAAGGCCAAGAATGTTGATATTTGGCCAGAGGCATGCTTAGATGAAGGGCTCTCAAGGTTGTTCATTATAATGACCTTGACCCATTTTGAAGGTCACATTTAGTCAAATATGTATTAACCTTTAATTGACCTCATCTTGATAAACAAAAGGTCTAGAGTGGTGATATTTGGCAAGCTGCATTCGGAGATGAAGAACTATAAAGTTTGTTCAACGTAATGACTTTGTTCTATTTCAAGGTTACTGGGGTAAAATATTTCAAAATCTTTTAGCATGTTCTTTTGAATGACTTAAAGTCATGAATACTGATATTTTGCCTGTAGCTTTAGTTTAGATCTCTTTTAAGGTTACAAGTGTGAGATAAGTAATACCAGGTGAGCAATGTAAGCCCATTGGGCCTCTCGTTAACAAAGAGGAAAGCAGTCCATTCAAGCAAGCAACAGGAGAAAATATGACTTTTAGCCAAATGGTTCTTGAGAAGAAGTCATTTGACTATTCTAATACATTTGATTCGTGTTATCTTGGTTCTTGTGAAGAAGTCATTTGAATGTCTGAATATATTTGATTTCTGTGACATAAATATGACTGAAGGCAATTAAGCTACATGCCAAATATCATTACTCTACTTCCTACCATGTCATTTGGAACATCAACATATTTTAACCCCTTAAAAGTCAGTCACAGTCATGTATTTGAAATAACTCCAGCAAGCTACTGGTAACATATTATTCCTTTAGGACTAATAGGTCTCTAGAAGAAGATGCTTAAAAGAATTTTAACTTATTTTGCCTCTTTAACCTTAAAAAAAAGTCCAGTTACTTATTTAGCCCTTCATTCTAAACAAATTTCAGCACAAGGTTTATTTCCCTAGATCTTATAGAAATCATTTAAAGGTTTTTTTCACATCAAATTTTAACCCAATGATCTTGAATGTAGGTCAATGTAATTATTTGAACAAACTTGAAAGTCCTTAAATCCAAGCAAGGTACAAGCCAAATATCACTTCTCTAGACCTTACGGACATACCATCACATAATAACCTTACAGGCACTTTGTGTCAGGTGAGCTAAAACAGTTTAATACATTTCATGTGGTAAATATTATCATCGTTCAAGATCAGAGATTGTAAGAAAACAATTTACCACTATGCACATTTGTTTAGATTTATTTTTTCATGTAACAGGTGCTGACATCCCTTGCCCATACCCATGGCAATGGAAATTTGCTTGGATAACTCTGTTTGTATGTCAAATTATTAAACAATACCCTACTGAATAGAACATTGTGTTATTTTTTAACATAATCCTCCTATACTCTCATGGTATATAAACACAAATCCCAGAATGAATCTTCAATAAATTTGGTGTCAGGTTATCTTTTTTCAAGTTCAGAACGCTCTTGAAACTTGACGAATTTACAATCACATGATTGGTTTTAAATTCGTTTAGTTTAATAAATAACAAGATCCCAAAATGACCTGTATCATTGAACAGTTCTTATTACTTATATAAACATTAATCTGTTAAAAAAAATATTTTTCCATTTAACCTATTAGGCCTCAAACCTTGTCCCCAAGAGAAGTCACACCCTTTGTTTATACACCGTTTAATTCCCTTGAATAAGAAATGATCCAGGCAAAACTAGGTTGAAATACCTTCACCAATACTCAAAGGAGTACCAATATTCTTTTAAAGATCCACCCCTATTTTCTTTTTAGGTCCCTGTACCTCTATCCCTAATAGCACCACCCCTCCTTTATACAAAATCACTGAGTTCCTTTGATCCCGCGATGTTCAATGCTAAATGAATTTAAAATTCCTTCACTTCTTGTACAGTATTTAAAAGGAGTAAAGGTTAACCCCAATTTCCCATATTTCCCCCCCGGCCCTCTGAAGGGAAGCCATATCATGCAGTTATATGATGCTGATTCCCCTTGACCAAAAGGACGATGCTTGCCACATTTCCTACAAATTCCTTTTGGAAATCCTGAATAATTGTCTTTAATTCAAAAAATAGTAAAACATCAAACACGATGTCTCGCATTTTGTTGTCCAAAATTAAAGACGCAGTGCGCAGACGACGAGTAGGATAGAAGGCCGTCCTGCAGAAAGAAAGATATTTTAAGAAGATAGCTGAGTTGATTGTGTCATGGGACTGATCTTCAGCTGACCTATGGATGCCAGTGTTTCACTTAAACTGTGCTTTTGGCTGGTAGAACATCCATGACTGTAACGTCTTACAGAACTTTCGTTTTTGTGTTCGGACATAAACATAATATGCCACAAGTCGAAGCCGCCGTCACTCATTGCCTGAATGGCAGTTGCTCAAAAGGCAGTGTGCTGTATGTGTATTTATGTGTGCAATTTTCTACAATGAATAATTTCTTGGATGTCATTATACACCAAAATATATTGATGTCTTCAATATTTATTTCATTAGAATATTTGTGTAATTTCATTCACTGTGTGTATAATGATGCTGCGAAAACAATGTCTCTTTTAATCATGAAGGAGGCTTCATCCATTTTCTGATAGAGGACTGGATCACCAATAATTCTTGCTGCATTTCTCACGTCCCTCAGTGTCTCATGTAGGCGCTGTATACACCGCACAATGATACCCTCTTGGACATCGGTCAGATTTGTGATCTCCGCAAAAGGCTGAGAAAATATTAAATAGATCTTCAAAATATTTACTTAATCCTCATATTATTGGTAACAAACAAGAACGCACAAACAATAAAGATATTTAATCAAAATTTCTCCAGAAATTTATTCATAATGATAATATTTTCTCCAAATATATATTTTCTTTTGTTATTTGTGCCAGAAATTAACATAAGTAACCTATTTTCAAAATTACTCATTTTCACATTTCCCCCCCTAAAATTAGCAATTGTTGAGGATTTTAACTTTTGAAAAGATTGACAACAGCAGTATAGCTACAGTTAAATATTTCACAATCAGTTTGGTTGTGAATTAATGCAAGAATATCAATCTAGCAAAACAAAAGCAATTTACAGGATTTATAATAAGTATTGAAAATAAGTATAAGCCATCCAGTATTCATACTCACCATGCCCCTAGCCCACTCAAACACGACCTCCATGAGTCCAAACTTGAACGTTTCCTTGTACTCGGCCCCAAGTAACATGCCCATCTGCTTCTGAAGAGCAGTGATCCCGTCGGCAATCTCCAAAATGCGCTCCTTACCCTGCACCACAACGACGAAGATAGTCAGCATCAAATGAATGATTGTAATAAGGACACTTAATGCTGCTTAAATAACCATATGTCCAAAGTAAGTTTTATTATATTATTCTGTGTTTAAATATTGCATTATGAATGATCGAAAGCAGCCAATGTTTTGCGACTACTGGCACATACCCATATCTAAAGTCAGTTAATACACTGTAGCAACTACAGTGAAATCTGTCTAATCTGACACCCTTTGGGGTTTAACACAATGTCTGGATAAGACAAGATGTCAGAGTACACAAGTTTATTTGGGAGATTTTCTAATATTAATGGAGCTGTTTGATACTTACAACACGATGTTAGAATACTCGGGAGTCGAATAAGACATGTTTCACTGTACAGACTAGGAACATTACTGAGAAACCTCTGGCATACGCAATATTACCTTCTCTAGGGTGTCAATAATGTTAGGTTCGCTGGCCCTCTTTTGTTCGAATACAACTGAGGATAACAGGGCAGCAATCTCTGTGGGATGGAGTTCAGTAAGTGCGTTCTCAAACACTAGTTCAGTGATCATTAGTTCATGACTACTGATCTCACAGGCTACCCGCCCCTTCAGCTGTACTGTGTTGTTAGCATCAATGTAATTCAAGGCTCTCAAGACCTACAACAGAAACGATGACCAATAATATATCAATTTCAATATAGGTCGATTTACTTGACCTTCATTAAATGAATATAGAACTTCAAAGTAACATTTTGAAGGGATGACATTTTCGTAATTCAAACCGAAAACAAGAGGCCCAAAGGGCCTGCATCACTCACCTGGTATTAATCTCACAATTTTGCAACATTAAAATTAGACTAAAATAAAGCTACAGGCTAATTCAGAAGAATCTGTTAAACGATTAAAATATATTTGACCACTGTGACCTTGAGAGTCAAACATGGACATAAAGTTTAATACCCTTTACCTTTTGTTTATTGAAAAGATGATTTTTAAAGATTTATGCACTATGGACCAGATATGACAATGAAAGTGTTTCATCCCAGTGCTTCATCCCAGCACGATACTGGCCAAATATCATTAGTCTCTGCCACTTAGTTATTGAGAAGAAGTTGTTAAAAGATTTCAACATATTTGACCCCAGTGACCTTTAAAATATGCAAAGGTCATTCATTCGAACAAACTTGGTAGCCCTTCATCTCAGCATGCTATTGGCCAAACATCATCAGCCTGGGCCTCCTGGTTATTCAGAAGAAGTTGTTTAAAGTAAAAAAGTTGACGCCGGAGTGACAACGGTCGCCACACCAAGGTATTCCGTCTTTGCGTATTGCAGAGTTATCTTCTCTTGGGGACAGGTATTGATTGTTACGTCATTGGTTTGTGCGAGAAAATTACGTTGTTTTCTCAAAAATTGATGACGTTACTCTCACAAACAAGTGACGTAACAATCAATACCTGCTCCCAAGAGAAGATAACTCTGTAATACGCAAAGACGGAATAAGCTCAGGGCCAGGTGAACTAACAAAAGTCTATGTCCTGGGAATTCAAAATATTATCTTATTATCATCTTTAGATAATTAACACAAAAACAGGATCTACAAAATTATCAAGACTAAAATGTAAAAAAACCAATAACAAAGCTGTTGTTAATTGCTTATTAATAAAATCATTATCTATTCATTACCATAATATCACTTGTAGAAACTGTATAAATATAAGATTGCTCCAAGAAGTAGAAAGCCTGATCATGAGCCACCAGGCAACTCCACTCTACTCCTTTGAGCAAAACTGTAATAGCATTCACCAAAAGAGCAAAATATTACCATACTCTTTTTCTCAAAATCTCAACAAAATTGGCAATGAACATGAACATGAATGAGTATTCAATGATGTATTTCACATTGTGTGGGAGAATGATATGCGTACCCCACATAAAAGAACAAAAGTATCCTGGTGTCAGGGAAACCATTATTGAATACAGGTAACCTTTTACTTATAAAATCAATACTGGCTTGTGTTAATTTAGCCCATATCACATGCAATTAAATGATAAACTGTGTATTAATATTTGCTGTTATCATAAAGGACTTGGGTCATTGTCGGCCTCAGAAAAAGCAAAAATTTCAACTTGATAATTTGTTTACCAATTTCTGTTGTAAACATCATATTGGTCAGTTGGGGCTATTTTTCCTGGTGCAGATTTTTTTTTCAATGTGCCTGCGTAGATGCCCTACCGTAGCAACAACATTCTGTTGTTATGCAGAAATTGCCAAAATAATGGTGTTATTGGATAGTAAACATGCAGAAATGAAAGCCTCGGCATGCAACAGACAAATGTTCCTTTCTACAAATGAACACTGGTATAACAATGAACACTGGTATAGCAATGAACACTGGGTATAACAATGAACACTGGGTATAACAATGAACACTGGTATAACAATGAACACTGGTATAACAANGTTGCCAAAATATTGGTGTTATTGGATAGTAAACATGCAGAAATGAAAGCCTCGGCAAGCAACAAACAAATATTCCTTTCTACAAATGAACACTGGTATAACAATGAACACTGGTATAACAATGAACACTGGTATAACAATGAACACTGGTATAACAATGAACACTGGTATAACAATGAACACTGGTATAACAATGAACACTGGTATAACAATTACACTGGTATAACAATGTTTAAGCATGTCAAATATTTACCGGTTTGGTGCATGCGGAGGCTTTCAAAATTGAAGAGGTTTTAATCAATTGGCTTCAAAATGGCCAATTTCAACGTAAATGGCACACAACAGACGATATTCACACATACTGTCTTTATCAAGCCATATCTCCTATACCAGTTGTGGGATGAATTTGAAATTTCATATTTGGGCATTTCATTTATTTCAGATTATGAATACAACAACTCATTCTAGATCCCTGAAGAGGCCTGAAATGACCATTAACACCCCTAGTCCTTTATGGTGACTGTAACACTGTGATGAAAAAAGTCTGGGTAAACATTAGTACATGTATGTCAGTATCAATGAAGCTGAATGACTATACTAAATAGCACCTATGTAAACAGCCAATGAATGTCCTAGATTTTATCATGTGATCTACTTAAATGGAATAAACAAGAAACACCCTCTCAATTTTGATCAAACCTATACATCTATTACTGTATAGTTTCTTTTGAAAATCCACTCACCTCTATTCTTTGCTGGTACTCGGGAAGAAGCTGGAGACTTTCATCAGACAATAAAAACTTTAGATGGATGTATTCATCCTTCAGTTTCATATTACTGCTTAGCTGACCAAACTGTAATGTATAATATTAAAAGCAAAGTGAGATTTTGAGAAAGCAAGGAAGTTTTACCGTACTTTCTACTTATTATCACATCACTTTCTGTAACTTTTCACTTTTTACCATCATATCTTTGAACACAGCAGTTTTTCCGTTAAATATGAAATGTCATTTTGTTAAGGATCCCTGCCCCACTCCACTGCATTTTTTTTGTATAACCTCCCCTTTATCGCCTTTTGGCTATGACTGTAGTGCAACTGGCCAAGGTTCTACCATTGACCAAGTAGCGATAGAATAACAATCTGAAGTAAAGGGTTTGAATCTCGCTATAGCCCTGCTAATTTTTTACACTCCAACCACTATTGTTGATTATATTTGATTTATTTCATCTTTATTATTTTTTCATAAAATTCCCTCAAGGTATGGTTTTCTTTTCAGAAATGGTTTATCAAAGCCATAGTCAGTTTCCAATGCATTGTTATAGTGTATGGCAGTGGGACGGGAATCCTTAATGTCACTTGCATTGATGTAACCTCGGCTTTAAATCACTTCATTTGGACCATCATCTCCTGAATAGGACAAAATACTAAAGATTATGTAAAAATCTACAAAATATCCACTGAACAATTTCTCAGAAGTATCATTGTGACCTACATGTTCCTGAAACCTTGGACAGTTGACACACTGGAATGTCTTTAAACTTCCTTCTAGGAAGGTAAACGCCCGAAACTGTTCTACCATGTCAATGTCACGAAGGTGAAGGTCCTTCACAGGGTCAAGGCCAGGCAGTCCCTGTGGGTTTCCCTCTGTTAGTCTCAACAGCTCCTGAGTTGCTATGGACACTGCTTGATTGGGAGGATCATCTCTACAGAAATTAAAAACATCAAACAATTAACTAGTCAGAGTGGAGTCAGAATGATGCTGTATGATATAACTCAGATCAATTTGCAATCATTTACTGAAGTAAACTTCATCCACTTTTAGTACAAACTCGATGGTACACAGAAACTTCACTCCACCACTTTGGCCAAGGATACTTCTTAACAAATTCAGTCAAAATCCCTTCAACCGTTCTTGATAAGAAGGTATTTTTATGAAAAACTGATGACAGACACTGCACCATGGCATCATAAGCTCACTGGTAATTTGTTGCAAGAGGACCTAAAAAACTGAATGTGCAATATTCCATTACAGCCAGATATAGAGATTACCCAATGAGTGATGGTTGTTTTTCTTGTATAACTAAATATATGTTGGTTAACTTTTGAAATTAGAATCAGGAGACCCATAGCAGTTATAGGAGATATAAAATATTAAAATTTTACTTAACTCTTGCATTCGAAAATTTCACAAAATTACCTCCTTCTGACCGGTCTAGGCAGAACCAACCGATCATTTGAACATACATTTTAAAGTCAAAGCTATAGAAGGTAAGGCATTGGAAAATATGAAAACTAATGAAATATACAATATCAAGGGTTCTAAATGGTAATGGAAATTGGGTGACTTCTTCTGCAGTTCCACATTTACAAGCTTCATGTAATTCATTAATATGAACTCTAGATCTGTCAGTCTAGATCTGCTGGTATGTTTTTGGAAGATTTGTAAGTATTTACCAAGTAATTAGACTTTGTAGTTCCGGTGCAACCATGAAAATTGTGAAAGTACAAAACAACTGTTTCTTGTTCTACAGTATTCCCTACCTAAATCGTGGTTGCTGCCTCTTGCGTACATCGTTGACTATCCTATCCGCCTCCACTCGTATGGTCTTTGTTGTGATCATACCGATATCCTCTGCTTTAAGAACTACCAGCTGATGACAGCACACACCCTCCGGCCGGTAGAGGGTATTACTCAATACAGGGGTAACCTGCAGCCCAATGTTACCATCAGACTTTGTCTCACCTTGACCTTCTTTATGTTTGTCATCACAAATGACGAGGCAGGTGAAAGTTCGGTCACTACTAGAGCTAGAGGTCTGTAGTACTATGCCTAGAACATTGCTGTGACTGGCATTGTCAACAACCACCACTCGCCCAGCACCGAGTAACTTAATCGCTGTTGGATGTGACAGTACAATGGTCTGAAATACAGGAAAACTGGAATATAGGTCATTGTAATTGCAGATATGTCAGTAGCACCTACATAGTCATTTAAAAATATTCCATTTTTTTTAAATCATGAGACCGCTGGTTTACATTAACTTTTTAATTTTGCACTTCTCATTGAATTTTTTATACATTATATCAGTACAGTTACAAAAAAGGAGATCAAAACACATCAAAACTACATTCATATGAGGTAAGTTTTATCAGATTATCAACTTTTCAGTTAATTTATCATAAAGTTTAGCCTCGTTAACCAAGCCACCACTAATATAATTGGGGTTTCCAAATATCTAGCTAATGCATTATGAGACTGACTTCTCTTCTTCAATTCAAAATACCTATTCATTAATCTTGCTGTTTCACATATGCAGTACCTTAGACTGCAAATTGGATTAACCAAGTTCCAATGTACAATCTTCAAGATATCTTATAAAATCAGGATGATGTTACTACCTGTAGTTCTTTCTTGGATTTGTGGTACTCCTTGCAACTCTGGTAGTACTTCTCCAAATCTACAGAACACAGGAAACACTCAATGTTTGTAATGTTAGCCACCTTGGAGTGGAGCTCTTCAAGGGCGTTCTTATGTTTGATAGTATCCTTCTGTGAGTGGAACTCGGAGAAACTGCGCTTAATCATGTCTTCTACGCGGAGCTGCTCCACTCGTAACAAATTGAGGATCATAGAGTAAGTCAGGCGAAACTGGGACTCCAACTTGGTCGGCTTCCCCTAAGGTAAAAAAAACACTATGTAGGGCAATTCTATAAGATTGCTTGTGCTATAGTGATGCTGATGTAGTTCTTATAATAATTTACATTTAATAAGTTTATATTAATACACTATAAAATGCATGTAACAATGAATAAATACTCATAAAAATAAAAAATAAAATAACAAAAATAACGAAAATTGCGCCACTCACAAGCATCATTTTGTGAAGATCGGACATCTCCTGTACATCCCCCTTACAGAGAATGATCACTGTCCCCGTGGTATCCAACCCTCTACGTCCTGCTCTTCCGGCCATCTGGATGTATTCCCCTGGCAACAGGTCACGGAACGATGTCCCATCATGCTTTCTAATGGAGTCGAACACCACTGTACGGGCTGGCATGTTTACACCCATGGCAAACGTCTCCGTAGCAAATAAGATCTATGCATTCACATATTTGTCATTCAATAAATGCCATTGAATAATTACAAAAATGCTTAGTTATAATGGTGTTTATTTTTTGTTTATTACCAAGTTCTATCTCTAGAAACTTGAGTATTGTCGGTTCTTTAAAAAACATTTCATACTTCAACTCTATTAAACTCTGTTGAAAACATTAGAAAACTACATATATATATATATATAATGAATATCATTTCTAATTTCTTATTTTCATCAAAATTCATCAAATAATGGGGAAAAAGATTTATTAAAGCCAAAATGATAGACTGGTTTAATATACCTTAACTAGTCCTCTTTGGAACAGCATCTCCACCACCTCCTTCAGGATGGGAAGTATACCACTGTGGTGCATGCCCAGGCCACGCTTCAGGTGATCCTCCATTTGCATCACCTAGACAGGAAATGAAAAATTCCAAATAGTAGATATAACTGAATTATTCTACAATTATCCTCCGTTATTATCACCTTCAGACAAGAAAGATTGCAAATAACATGTAATAATTTATTACACAGAAAACAACCATTACAAATCCATATAAGAGATACAATGTATGTTACTATTTATCATAATTGAGCTTCAAGTAAATAAATTTATGGATATACAAAATATGTGTAATGTATCAATATTGAAAAAATAGAATTTTGTAACTTTTCAGCAATATAATACTCTATTTTGCATTTGTTTTTTTGTTTTTTTTTGTCAGGGCAATGGAAGGAACATTTGCACCAATTTCGAAGACATGCATTGTAACCTCTAATGGGGGTCAAGGTCATTTACTTTTACAGCTTTTCACAGAAGAAAGCTACAGGCTCAATATCATTTAATCTATGCCTCAAAAGTTCATGAGAAAACGTCATTTTAAAGTTTCAACACATCTGACCCTGTGACCTTGAGTATGGGTCAAGGTAATTTTTTCCCACAAACTTTTTAGCCAATCACTGTGAAAAGCCATCAGAAAAATCACTACACTAGGCCTCACTATAGTTCAGTAAAAGATTTTATTTCAAGATTTTTAACACATTTGACCCCTGTGATCTTGAATGTGTGCCAAAGTCATTCATTGGAACAAATTTTGTATCCTCATTAGAAACAGTTGTTTGAAAATTTTAACAAATTTAACCTCTGTGACCTTGAATTTTAAGCAAAGTTATAGTCCCTTTCCTCAGCAAGCTATATGCCAAATACCATAACACCAGGTCATATGCCAGGTAAGGTAAAAATATTTAAATGCCCCTAGCATTATATAGAAATTGAATTACAACTCTTTTAGATTGATGTGTGTGAATTCACTTTAATACCTGTGGGAGTTTTTTATCTGGATCTTTTAACCGTGTGATAGACTTGTGGAAGAAGATGTGAATTTCACTTTTTTCCTTTTGCGTGGTGAGGTCAAGGCTGTGGAGGTTGTTGACATTGTCCTCAATCTTTTTCTTAGAGAATGTGAAAGCAACAACTGGCAGTTTATCTTTCTTCTTCAGCATATCAATCACAGAGGTCCAAATGTTCTTATCCTGAAAACAAAAACACAAATTTAAATTAATGTCCCTCGATATTGGTTAGCTGTCAGCTCTATGTAAGAGTTTGACTGCAGTACCCTAGGACAAATTTCAGTGAAATGAGGTTTATTGCCGAGAATCGATCCGGGACTGATGTACAGGGGAGCAACCTTTAAATAATCTCTGGATATGTTCAAGATGGAAAATAATTCTAACTCTAATTACGATCAATATATGTTCAGTATTTTTAAAAGATGGACTGTTCCTGACTTACTGACCTCTTCTGAAAATATAACAACATACTTCTAAACAGTTTGGAAAGACTGACACAATTGAATGAAGGTGAGAAAAAGGAATATGGGAAAACACAGAAGAACATGTCTTGATTGACTTGCTATCAATATTTCAGCAACACAGTAATCAGAAAGTTAAAACATCTTGAATAATCATTCATACAGTATGTCGATTACCTGGTTAGGATGAGCTCCCCTAGTTCCTTTGGCTCCAAAGTTCTGGGAACTTTTACTTGCTCTTTCTTTTTTTGCTGCTAATGCTTTGCTATAGCTATTAAAATAAACAAATATGCCATTAAAACAACAAAGGGTGTCTAATGTTCTGTGTTGTTTTCTAGTTCTTTTATTGTTTCATTTTTAATGCAATTGATCATCTGACAAAAGAAGCTTTTTAATGCTTTTTGATGTTTCAGCATGAAATCAGAATTTAATTCAAATATTTAAGAACTTCACATTTACTTTCTTAGGACGAACTTGATTCTGGCATGACAGTTGCCGCCAGGAAGGCGGCACTACCACTTGTCCCTTAAGTCCCGCAAGTACGGCACGTGCCGTTGGATAAGACGTTTCGCTGGACTGGAGAGACAGGCAAAACGATACACAATGTGACTTGTGTCGGCCATATTGTGTGTATGCCACCTTGCTTGAATGTAGCTTGCCGACGGCAAGCACAAACCCGGCACGACAGGCTCGTCAGAATCAAGTTTGCCGATATAGATACATGTAATACCATACCCGTTTGTGAGGAAGGTTTTCTTGTGGTCCACAAGAAGGAAGAGCTGGTCACTTGTCTTGCCACTGTTACCGGTATACAGGAAGTGTTCTAAGGGGACAGGCCGCTTCAGGGTACTGATCACATAGATCTTCTTCCTCTTTGTCCTCCTGCCAAATTAGCCAACAGTAGAAATTATCAGCAGTTAAAATTAAAATTGTACAAAAAAATCATCAGCAATAAATTTAGATAATTTTAATTTATTTGCATTCACTTGTAGTTGAGTTTTAACATCACTTTACAAGAGGAACACATGTATGGATGTTGATTAAGAATATGCTATAAACTTCTATTCTTTTATCCCATGAAATGTTGAGTACTGTCATTTTGATAATTTTCATAGCTTGATTAAAGCTGTGTACCAAATAATTAATTATGGTTTTAAATGCTTTGGAACTTTCAAACTGCCAAACCGAATAACAGTCAGAATGGGGACATGTTAGGAATAATTTTCATTTAATGCGATTCTTTTCCCCAGATAATTACTGCAACTGCAAGCCCCTATGGCACTCATCCATGATCGATGTATGTGTGTCTTTCATGAAAATAATCAAAGAGACCCGTATGCTTTTTGTAGAGCTATACAACAACCTATTATGCTGATTAACACTGTAAGATTTTAAATTGCTTCAATGAAAACTTAAAAGGGTCAATCAAGGTTGTAACGCTCTAGTACAGCATGGTACCACTCAAAAGCCTCGAGGGTTGAGTTTCCCTGATCATGGACAACATCCATGTTTGTTTCTTTTTCTCCCGTATTCAAAATAAACATGCCAGTGTCAATACTCTACACGTGTTTATGTGCTTGTATTCCTTGATCGGGAGGCATGAATACAAATATGTAAACTTCATAGGGTTGATGAACCCTGAACATAAAATCAGAAATCCATTTAAAGCACAAAGTATTTAACATCCAACAACTGTTATATATCGGTTAATATCTCTTACCATAAGAACTGAAATACTTCATGTAGCACAGACAATACAACAGAACTATTTCCAATACCAACATCATTGTGATGTCATAGAGTGTGCAGTCTGTCTTTCCAAAGGAGGGAAAGACCTCTGGAAAGACAGGTTTTTCTCCCACCCTTCACAGGTGTGTCTCTCGTTTTAGCCGGGAGAGATCAGCTTGTCACCCCCTAGGGGGAGATAGCCTCATGCCGATTAGCATGTGTTCAATTGTGACGTCATTAAATGCGTCACCGGTGTAATTGTGACGTCATCTAAAGTGATTGACGAAATTCATACCCCACATGTGTTTTGTTTACAAACATGGCAGATTATTGTCGGTGGAGTTGTGACTAAAATAATAGGATGGGAGAAAAATAATCATCTGCAGAGGGTTAGACAACCAACAAAAATCACCCCGAGGGTAGGAGATTTCTCTGTTATACCCTCAAGGTAGGGGGAGATTATATTAATCATTTCATGGGTACATTCCTGTCTTTCATGGGTAAATATGGGAGAAAAAAATAAGTGTTATATTCAGAAATACTTTTTGTACAAAACCACAGATTATCAAAATAAAATCCAGTCAGTTATATTTCAGACTTAAATCATTATTAAACAACACCCCATGGATAAAGCACTCCGCCGAGGGAAATAGACATGGTCAAGGGACACCAGAAACTTGCTATATCCCTCAACCCCATACTTTAAACGTTTTATTATATCGATACACACTGGAGAAATAGTTTTAACTAGAAAATATTTGTAAACCATAAGCTGTATAGCTAGCTTAACGTCCAAACTATCCTTGATGGCAATAGAGCCAAATTCCGCCCACCTCTCACCTGATTGCCTCGGCGGAAACATCCGAGTGTAGGTGTGTTTTAGTTCCCAGACTAACACACAGGACTAAAACACACTCAGGCAAAAGTGGGGATATATTCGATTTAACCAATTACTTTTATATAGAGCAAATAAAGTAGAGGTGTAATAAAATGATTTAATAAAATATTATTTTACCCAATCCAGTCGGCAAACTCAATAGTGTTGGGTACTGTAGCACTTAGGAGAATGATATTGACATGCTTGGGAAGCATGATAAGGACTTCCTCCCATACAACACCTCTCTGTAAATAAGACGTTAAAATATATACAAAACTAAATTCCAGATTTCAGAACAATACAAAAGATTTTGCAGAAAAAGAACAACATAGATGGAAAATGTTTAAAAAAAGAAATTGACTTTTTGAAAAAATACTGTTTCGTTCAAGAAAATTCTTTCTTGCACTTTTGTTGCACATGTCTTTAAGCATTGTATTACTAGTGATAGATAACTCACTGGCTTGACATCATATAGATATGGTTTGTGAGCTTGTATCGGACAAGTCAGTATAAGGGTGGTTGCGTGGCATAGGAATGGTTGGGTAATGTACTGGAGTTCAATTTTCTTGAACGTCAAAAGGTCTTGGGGTCATGATCACTTGCCCATAAAGTGTTTTCTCACCATTCTCCGGTTTCCGTCCCTGCATACTTCCCTCCACGCCAACAAGATGATAAACATAGGCTTTTACTTTTTTTTATAAATGTTTTAAAATGGAATTTGAAAAAAAAATTAGGGCAATAGTCCTCACAAACCATATCAATATCAAGTGTAGTAAGTACAATTTTTTGTTAAAAATTTAATCGTGCTGATGCCCCAGTCACTGCTTGAAAGTCACTTCAATAGCTTTAATGTTGATAGCGCTAGTGACACAATACAATACCTTTTCTGTGAACATGTGACAAGTGAGAACCAAAATGATTCCAAGGTTCAAAACAGTAGAAGGTGGATAAGTAAAAATGTCCAAATAACAGAATAAAAAACAAGATTTAATCAAAGAGGCGCCACCATGCCAGTAGTCTTACATCAGCATCATTAATGTAGTGGACCTCATCAAAGATCACCCACTCCAGGTCCCGGATTACATCAGAACCGTTGTACAACATAGACCTGCGGAGTGAATACCAAAGAGTAATAATCACATCAGAGCCAAATGCAGGTTTTGTGACAAAATTCAACTCTTTTACAAATGAATATTAATTTAGAAATTAATATCTTGATTTAAATGAGTCAAATTCATGAAAAAAAGCAATTATGATGAGAAGATTATTTTTTGGTTCAAGGCAACTTAATTTACTTGACAATAAACCATTATAGAAAAATTTAAACTATTAATCCGGTATATAGAATTAACCCCCTAAATGAGAAAATAATACATCAATGACAAGGGTGTTATATAACCTGAGGCTGAAACAGTTGGGGTACGTGTCTGTTACCTGAGGCTGAAACAGTCCGGGTACGTGTCTGTTACCTGAGGCTGAAGCAGTCAGTGTACGTGTCTGTTACCTGAGACTGAAACAGTCGGGGTACGTGTCTGTTACCTGAGACTGAAACAGTCCGGGTGCGTGTCTGTTGCCTGAGGCGGAAGCAGTCAGTGTACGTGTCAGTTACCTGAGACTGAAACAGTCCGGGTACTCGTCTGTTACCTGAGGGTACTTGTCTGTTACCTGAGACTAAAACAGTCAGGGAACGTGTCTGGTACCTGAGGCTGAAAGAGTCGGGGTACGTGTCTGTTACTTGAGGCTGAAACGGTTGGGGTACGTGTCTGGTACCTGAGGCTGAAAGAGTCGGGGTACGTGTCTTTTACCTGAGGCTGAAAGAGTCGGGGTACGTGTCTGTTACCTGAGGCTGAAACAGTCAGGGAACGTGTCTGTTACTTGAGGCTGAAACAGTCAGGGTACTTGTCTGTTATCTGAGGCTGAAACAGTTGGGGTACGTGTCTGTTACCTGAGACTGAAACAGTCAGGGAACGTGTCTGTTACCTGAGGCTGAAACAGTCGGGGAACATGTCTGTTACCAGAGGCTGAAAAAGTCAGGGTAAGTGTCTGTTACCTGAGGCTGAAACAGTCTTGGAACTTGTCTGTTACCTGAGGCTGAAACAGTCAGGGTAAGTGTCTGTTACCCGAGGCTGAAGCCCTGAGGCTGAAACAGTCTTGGTACTTGTCTGTTACCTGAGGCTGAAACAGTCGGGGTATGTGTCTGTTACCTGAGGCTGAAACAGTCTGGGTACTTGTCTGTTACCTGAGGCTGAAACAGTCAGGGTACATTTCTGTTACCTGAGGCTGAAACAGTCTTGGTACTTATCTGTTACCTGAGGCTGAAACAGTCAGGGTACGGGTCTGTTACCTGAGGCTGAAACAGTCAGGGAACGTGTCCTTTACCTGACGCTGAAACAGTCAGGGTACATGTCTGTGACCTAAGGCTGAAACAGTCCGGGTATGTGTCTGTTACCTGACGCTGAAACAGTCAGGGTACTTGTCTGTTACCTGAGGCTGAAACAGGCGGGGTACGTGTCTGTTACCTGAGGCTGAAACAGTCAGGGAACGGGTCTGTTACCTGAGGCTGAAACAGTCAGGGTACGTTTCTGTTCCCTGAGGCTGAAACAGTCAGGGTACGTGTCTGTTACGTAAGGCTGAAACAGTCGGGGTACGTGTCTGTTACCTGAGGCTGAAACAGTCGGGGAACATGTCTGTTACCAGAGGCTGAAAAAGTCAGGGTAAGTGTCTGTTACCTGAGGCTGAAACAGTCTTGGAACTTGTCTGTTACCTGAGGCTGAAACAGTCAGGGAACGTGTCTATTACCTGAGGCTGAAACAGTCAGGGAACGTGTCCTTTACCTGACGCTGAAACAGTCAGGGTACATGTCTGTTACCTGAGGCTGAAACAGTCAGGGTAAGTGTCTGTTACCTGAGGCTGAAGCAGTCAATGTAGATGTCTAGATCTGTTACCTGAGGCTGAAACAGTCAGGGTACGTTTCTGTTCCCTGAGGCTGAAACAGTCAGGGTACGTGTCTGTTACCTGAGACTGAAACAGTCAGGGAACGTGTCTGTTACTTGAGGCTGAAACAGTCAGGGAACTTGTCTGTTATCTGAGGCTGAAACAGTTGGGGGACGTGTCTGTTACCTGAGACTGAAACAGTCAGGGAACGTGTCTGTTACTTGAGGCTGAAACAGTCAGGGTACTTGACTGTTATCTGAGGCTGAAACAGTTGGGGGACGTGTCTGTTACCTGAGACTGAAACAGTCAGGGAACGTGTCTGTTACTTGAGGCTGAAACAGTCAGGGTACTTGTCTGTTACCTGAGGCTGAAACAGGCGGGGTACGTGTCTGTTACCTGAGGCTGAAACAGTCGGGGAACATGTCTGTTACCAGAGGCTGAAAAAGTCAGGGTAAGTGTCTGTTACCTGAGGCTGAAGCAGTCAATGTAGATGTCTAGATCTGTTACCTGAGGCTGAAACAGTCAGGGTACGTGTCTGTTACCTGAGACTGAAACAGTCAGGGAACGTGTCTGTTACCTGAGGCTGAAACAGTCGGGGTACTTGTCTGTTACCTGAGGCTACAACAGTCGGGGTACGTGCCTGTTACCTGAGGCTGAAACAGTCAGGGTACATGTCTGTTACCTGAGGCTGAAACAGTCGGGGTACGTGTCTGTTACCAGAGGCTGAAAAAGTCAGGGTAAGTGTCTGTTACCTGAGGCTGAAACAGTCTTGGAACTTGTCTGTTACCTGAGGCTGAAACAGTCAGGGTACTTGTCTGTTACCTGAGGCTGAAACAGTCAGGGTACGTGTCTGTTACCTGAGGCTGAAACAGTCAGGGTACGTGTCTGTTACCTGAGGCTGAAACAGTCAGGGTACATGTCTGTTACCTGAGGCTGAAACAGTCAGGGTACGTGTCTGTTACCTGAGGCTGAAACAGTCTGGGTACTTGTCTGTTACCTGACGTTGAAACAGTCAGGGTACATGTCTTTTACCTGATGCTGAAGCAGTCAATGTACATGTCTGTTACCTGAGGCTGAAACAGTCAGGGTACGTGTCTGTTACCTGAGGCTGAAACAGTCGGGGTACTTGTCTGTTACCTGAGGCTGAAACAGTCGGGGTACATGTCTGTGACCTAAGGCTGAAACAGTCGGGGTATGTGTCTGTTACCTGACGCTGAAACAGTCAGGGTACATGTCTGTTACCTGAGGCTGAAACAGTCGGGGTACGTGTCTGTTACCTGAGGCTGAAACAGTCAGGGAACGTGTCTGTTACCTGAGGCTGAAACAGTCAGGGTACGTGTCTGTTACCTGAGGCTGAAACAGTCAGGGTAAGTGTCTGTTACCCGAGGCTGAAGCAGTCAATGTACATGTCTGTTACCTAAGGCTGAAACAGTCAGGGTACGTGTCTGTTACCTGAGGCTGAAACAGTCAGGGTACGTGTCTGTTACCTGAGGTTGAAACAGTCAGGGTACGTGTCTTTTACCTGATGCTGAAACAGTCGGGGAACAGGTCTGTTACCTGAGGCTGAAACAGTCGGGGTACATGTCTGTTACCTGAAGCTGAAACAGTCAGGGTACGTGTCTGTTACATGAGGCTGAAACAGTCGGGGTACGTGTCTGTTACCTGAGGCTGAAACAGTCGGGGTACGTGTCTGTTACCTGAGGCTGAAACAGTCAGTGTAAGTGTCTGTTACCTGAGGCTGAAACAGTCAGGGTACATGTCTGTTACCTGAGGCTGAAGCAGTCAGTGTACATGTCTGTTACCTGAGGCTGAAACAGTCAGGGTACGTGTCCGTTACCTGAGGCTGAAGCAGTCAGTGTATGTGTCTGTTACCTGAGGCTGAAACAGTCAGGGTACATGTCTGTTACCTGAGGCTGAAGCAGTCAGTGTACATGTCTGTTACTTAAGGCTGAAGCAGTCGGGGTACGTGTCTGTTACCTGAGACTGAAACAGTCAGGGTATGTTTCTGTTACCTGAGACTGAAGTAGTCAGGGTACGTGTCTGTTACCTGAGGATTTCAGTAGTCATTATGAGACAGGATGCAGTCTGATTCATCTGAACATCACCAGTAATGAGTCCCACGTCTTTGAACGTCTGTTTGAAGTCTCGGTACTTCTGATTGGATAATGCTTTAATAGGTGATGTATATATTGTCCTGAAAATAAGAAAAGAAAGGCAAATGAAATTTTATATTTTGCAATCAAAAGTTTGATTAACTTAGCCACTTTGCAACCTGCAGTGTGAATATCTTTCTCATCCATAGTCCCAACACTGTAAACTTTTCCAACCCATACATCCCTCTTATCTGAAGTTATAAACAGTGTAAACATCCTTCTTATCTCAAAGCAAGCAATCATTGTTATATAGTAAAAGATAAAAGTACTAACTCGTTTACCCTTAATCTGGTATTGTGTCACCATTTTATCCTTTACCTGGTCATGTGTTTTAGAGACAGAGCAATGGCATATTCTGCCACCACTGTCTTCCCTGCCGATGTGTGTGCTGCCACAAACACACTATCATGGTCCTCCAGGTGAAGAATAGCTTGCTTCTGGAAAACGTCCAGCTCAAATGGCCACTGTAACGGTAAAGGTACACCACTGGTCAAGAATGTATACACTTATATATAGATATACCCATTTCACCGGTATTGTGCAACTTGTTTCATCTGACAATAGGGTATTTATAAATTCTGTCTGGTACAAACATATTCTGTTTTTCCATTTCTTATGAAAACTGCCAAACAAAACCTGTGTATTTCAACATCCTGTCTGATCTGAACAATATGTGTAACAAAAGGTGTCAGATTAGACAGGTTCACTGTACATCATTGTAACCATGTAATGGTAGTATTTACAATTGAAGTCAATACTTTAGTACACTGAAGACCCCACACGACCAAAATGAAGATAATTAACACGTAGATTAGGACATTTACAGAATCTGTTACAACTTATGTTTAAAACTTTAACATGCTTAGTTTAAGTCTTTGTAAAACATGCATTGTAAAACTGTACTGATCTTTATTACTGTGATGAGAAATTACAGTAATACATACAATTTTCATTATTGCATACGAGCTTTCCGTATTTTTTCATTTCGTAATATTGATCTACAAATTGTATCTAATCGCACAACTAAAATCGCACAGTTGTGCGGAGAGAAGCACACAACGGGGCGAACAATTGTTAAATCGCAGTTGGGTGCGACATGTGTGGACGGTGTGTGAACGATGTATGCACGGTGTGCGCACATTTTATTTGGTGCGTTGTGCGGTCACACAACTGTACCTCTGAAAAAGTATGATTTGACTGACTATTTTGAAGCATTTGTGTAACTGTGACCTACCTTGTATGCCATGTCTGGAATGCGTTTGTAGAAATCCTCCACTGGAGCGTCAATATCTACACTGACGGCCCATTCCTCTTTGACCACCGGTTTGACCTTGACCTTTACCGTGTCAGTGTCCGGGCCTCTGTCAGTGGCCTTTTACCAAAATACAAGTACAGATACATTGCACTTTTATAAATCTGAGGGTTTTTTTACGCAAAAAAATAGAATATAGTAGTTATTTCTAGAAATATGTAACAACCCCCATTTAAAGGGAAATGTTTAGTCAGAAGAGTAACTTTCACTTGACTGAACAGCTACTAGTTATATATGATAAATAGTAATATTTTATCATTAATTTGCTTAATATCAAAAATGTATGAGATACATTTTTTGGTACTCCTTCTTCTGTATCATTTAAATGATACTTGATCACCTGTGGCTATGAATAATGAATTTACCAGTGAGGCACTGATAAACATTGTGGTGAGATAACATATTTACCTGTACCAAATTTTCGAGGCTCTCACTTTTCCTAATCACAACAGTCTCCAATTTCTGTAATGGATGTCAACAGAGATAACATTAAGGAAATATTCTGTCTAGAAATTAGATGAAAACCTATTGAAATTGAAGCATAAACTGAATATTGTACTTTACAAAAGAGAGTGCCTTTGTATAATATGATATGGATCAAGTTCCATCAAAATCTGGTCGTGTTTAATTAAGTCATTGTTCAGAAACTGTCACAGGAATATGTAGGAACAAATACTGATATATTACATGCATTAACAGTTATAAGCAGAGATACAAGTGATTTATAAAATTGATGAAATATTCAACCTCTTCTGGTTCTTCTGGTTCCTCAGCACCTTCAGCTTCACCAAGGTCAAGGTCATCTATATCCTGAGCTAGGATGTCAGCAAGGTTTATTACTGACTGAGGTGTGTTCTGGTCAGTACTACTCTTGACCGCTGAACTTTTGTTAGACTGGTGAAGGTCAAAGGTCACTCCAGATTTCATTCCAGGGGCTACATTCAGGAGATCTATTTGGAAAAAGATATCAGAAATGAGTAAAGCAAAATTTTAGATTGATATTGAAAAAGAAATAATGATCATTTCAGAAATTCATGTAAATCATAAGTAGTAAATGTTGATGGTTTGTTTGATGATTTTGTTAATTTTTAGCAGAATACTGCCTGGAATTGAATCATTATTTTCCTTTTAGACGCTTAATCACCAGTTTATGTTTACAGACTAAAAGAAAAAAACATTATTCTTTAAAGTATCAATAAAGGGAAGAAGGGGAAAAGTGTATTAGATGCTTGGATGCGTCATCATTTTTTCAAACTTTACCAAAAATGGCACTCCTAAGTACACAGAAATATACCCGTAATACATGTGTACCCCAAAATTTTGAAATTGATAAAAGAAATCTTTCTTTATTGTCATATTCAATTTTTTGTAAAAAATATATATGGTATATACAATTAACACATTAAGGACTCCCATATCAGAAGTCTTTCATTCTCAATTTACCGGATTCAAGATTCATCTCAGAGTTCAAATCAACATTTTCTATGGTGGTCTTTTCTAAATCTGGTTCATCAAGTCCTCCTTAAAATACAAACAAAACAAGAGTTGTGTATCACGAATATCTACTGGATATATACTCTATATGTACTGGAAGTAAAAACTCTAGATTAATGAACATTTTAATTGTATCTTTAGATCATTGTTAGATATATTTTATACAACATCTTTTATTGGAAAAATGTTCATAGACATAAATTTACATTTTCACTGCGATTGCCTTATTAATGGCTACCAACATCACATATAACTATAGCAATAATATCAATGAGATTTGGTATCACAAAATTAACATAGCGGATTACTAGCTAACAATTTTTTTTTATGGAATATACAACACAATATGACGACATCAATTTAATTTGGAGACAATATGTCAAGTTTGAGTTTTGTTATTTCTGAACATTTCTAGACATAGACAATCCTAAACATGTAAAATATATGGATCATACTGTACATGTATTTTGATTGTAACTTCTGTAGTATGTGTTCTTCATCAAGTGCTGCTTTGTAATATACCTAGTTTATACAGTTTGCATTTTATTACAATGACACTACATATACCAAAGTCTTGATCAAAATGACTTAAATCCCTATATATGCATTATTCTATTATGACTTGCATCATTCCATCATTTGACCTTTCCTGTCGTACAAATAGTGAAAACCCCTAGGAAATAACCCTGCGACACATGTAAAGAGATATAACATCTAAAAGTAAAAATTGATAATGTGTGAGTTTGACTTTCTGAAAGTTCAATTCATGTGATTTTGAAGAAGTCACAATTCTAAACAGAATTCAATCATTTTAAGAAGTCGTAACCTTTGAAAATATCAATGATATTAGTGACACCATTTCAGTTTTTTTCCTCACAGTCGAGAGGAGGACATAGTGTTGAAAGTCAAGTTGTAAGATGTGTTATGCCCTAGCTTCCACGAGTATTCTCAAGGATACACATGTGTACATGTATCACCTAAAGACACTATCAGCGGCCTTGATCCAGAGATCTATAAAATTTCCTATGACATTGACAACAAGGTTACCGCGAGCGGTATATAATACGCCCGTCACACATTGAATGAGCAGTTGTTTGTATGATTGAAATATATGAAGTATTTGTGAGTAATTGATATTAAAAGAGAAATCATTCAACATAACTGCAGGTAGATCAATGAGTGCAATACAACATCATGGAACGCATGCATCACATTAATGAAACCAAGGGGAATAACTCCAATAATTATGGTCGGATAATGGCGGTTATCGAACTTGTCCAAGCTTTCATGGTAATTAATAATGTTGTGAAGTTTGAAGTTAATCCTTTAATAATTACTCGAGATATCGAGAGGACACTGTTTCGGCAAGTCCATAAAGGGGCATAACTCCACAAATTATAGTCGGATAATGACGGTTATCAAACTTGTCCGAGATTTCATGGTAATTAACCTTGTTGTGAAGTTTGAAGTTAATCCTTTAATAATTACTCGAGATATCGAGCGGACATCGTTCGCATGCCCACCCGCCCACCAGCCCGCCCGCTCACGTGATAACATAATACGTCCCCGTATTCGACGGGCGTATAAAAAGAGCCCATAGAAACCTGTCAAACACCCTCTTAAAACATTAATGGAATCTTGATCCAGAGAACCCTAACAACCCTTCACTCCTAGAACTTCTACAAACACTCCTTTGACCTTGACACTTTGATCCAGAGAACCCTAACAACCCTTCACTTCCAGGACTTCTACAAACACTCCTTTGACCTTGACACTTTGATCCAGAGAACCCTTACAACCCTTCACTTCCAGAACTTCTACAAACACTCCTTTGACCTTGACACTTTGATCCAGAAAACCCTAACAACCCTTCACTTCCAGAACTTCTACAAACACTCCTTTGACCTTGACACTTTGATCCAGAGAACCCTAACAACTCTTCACTTCCAGAACTTCTACAAACACTCCTTTGACCTTGACACTAAGACCCTCAGAAAATATTCCTTGAGCCTAGATTTGTAAGGATTACCTGGCCAGAATGGTATGTTGAGTGTGTTGCCACGAACATCCTGTGAGGGGGGTCCTGGTGCACGTTTCAGAGACAGGGATGTTTTGCTGGTACTTCCTGTGTCCGTCAAGTACTCCTGTATGATATGGGATACAGTTTATAACAAATTCAGTAGCAACTTTGACTTAAATTAATACTTGGCTACATGATAAATCAATTTTATGTAAAACTACTATCCCATTGTGACAACTTTTTCTTTAATATGCTCACCTATGTGTACTACATGTATTTATGAGTAACTTGCTCCAGTAACATTTTGAATTTCCCTAAAAACTGAAACGAAAATCTGTAATTTCTGTCGTAATAATTTGTGACAGCAGCTTTCCAATGAATGATCTCTTTATTCAAGAGTTTAAAACAGAACTTGATTGAGACAACTGAGTGTGGTCATCATGTTTCTTCAAGTTTTTCCTGACTTTGCAAAGACTATAACCTTACAAACTAAAAATATTTTTCTGAAAAAAAACCCCATCCAACCACCTAATGGCTATGAAATTTGATCCTTCCCATTTCCATATCAGCTCAAAATTAAGTGGAGATAAAAGTTATTTTACTGTATATCCTACAAATGAAACATGTAAAAACAGCAAATTTTCCATTAAAATTCTATTAAAATCTAGTTAAATTTTCAATTTTATTTCAATTAAACTGATACCAAATTAAGGCCAATTAATTTCTGAAGACAATGTAAGAGATGTAGGAAAAATGAATTGCTATTAAACAGGTATACATGTCACTGCAATGAATTAATCAACTTTAATACCTCTTAAAGTGGAATACTCTTTAATGACAATTAATTTTCCTATGTATTTCGTTACAATTAAATTGATTTGAAGAGCACTAAAATCAATTAAGGTGTACTAAATTAATGACAGACCTCTTTATACCCTAACAGCTGACCAGTGGTGGGGTTCCTCTCCACTTGTATGGTCGTCTGGAGTGGACACAGGTCAATTGAGTATAGGTTGTCTGGACAACTTTCTCTAGGCCAGAATCTGATGAGCAAAATACAATTTTTTTTTTCTTATGAATTGGAAATAGGTTTCATCAATACATCATTATAGTGCTGATTTTGATATAGATCTTACAAAATACAATTTAATGAAATTTACTTTTGTGATTTTGCTGTGTCGTGTATTGGTAGTTTCTCTGGACAGGTGAGGTAGTGTTCAACATCCGCTCTCCAGTCAGGCAGCACAGGGGGAAGTCCCACAGGTAACTGGTGGTAAAGACAAGTCCATACAAAAGTTATCTGTGATATAACACTCAATTCCCAACCACAGATCATTTCACTACTGAATGGTCAGTGTCAAAAACATAATAAAATATACATTCATTTTTACACTGATATTTAAAATCATCTTCAACACAAAAAAAATAACTACAGTAGCTGCTTTGATATAATCTTAAATATAGATTGCATATTATTTGAAAACTGATGTTAGAAGAACACTTTGATAGCAAGTCATAATGACTATCATAACTTACTGTTTTTTTCGACCAAGCATGATTCAGTTTAATTGAATTCTTGTCCTTAGAGATCGCTGTAACACTTCCATAACAACCTGTTTCAACGAGGTCAAAGTCAAATGCATCTTCTTGACAGGTAGCCTCTGGATTGTCCATTGCTGTTTTTATCAGGTATCAATCATCTTGTCAATATCAGCAAATCTTGTTTGTCATATCAGCAAAATTCTATGGAACAATAAATATTTTTTAAATATCTTTAAAACAGATAAATTGTAGAGTGGTCACGTATATGGTTACAAGTTTGAAGCTTTAACAACACATTTAGTTTTACAACAGAGCATACTATTCCAAGGGAAGTAACTCAAGTTAGTTTTGTTATAATTTAGCATGTGTATATCATGCCATCTCAAATATAGATAGGAATGCCTTGTAAATATGTGAAACAGCTGTTTGGCTTATGGCAGTTAGAGATTAAATCTTCCTTACAAGAGATAGCATGCATAAGATAATATTAGATGGGTGCTACTTTGATGTAAAATGAAGGATGGGGAGAATCTGATACTGCCACCATTTCGAGGTACACTTCCGCAGGTATTATTAGAACATAAGGTTCATAAGATACAGATGTAAATAAAGATATGTCATGCAAAACGCTGAGTGTAAACAATTGAAGCATTTAGGTCCATTGCCATTTTGACATTTAAGTACAGAGGTTATACCATCTTGTGTTCGGATCAAAACCCAAATTTGTCTTTTATATTGTTATCCAAACCAAAACCATCCCAGCATCAAGTCTAGATCTTTTCTCTATGGTTCAAATGATGTGATGAATTCACAAAATTATTTTGAATGACTGCAGTAAAAAAAGAAAAAAATGAGAATTTCAGTCAACCAAGAATTGGAGTTGGTTGAATGTCTTAAACATCTGTATCACTACTATCCATGGCCTTGTTTTGGTCTTAAATTTTATTCATATCTCATGATCAGGGCCGGAGATGGGCCAAACAATTTAAGCATCTCTGGAACATTTAATGTATAGGTAGTAACATATAAAACAGAGCGTAGTAACATATAAAACAGAGCATAGTAACATATAAAACAGAGCGTAGTAACATAAAACAGAGCGTAGTAACATAAAACAGAGCGTAGTAACATATAACAGAGCGTAGTAACATAAAACAGAGCGTAGTAACATATAAAACAGAGCGTAGTAACATAAAACAGAGCGTAGTAACATAAAACAGAGCGTAGTAACATATAACAGAGCGTAGTAACATAAAACAGAGCGTAGTAACATATAAAACAGAGCGTAGTAACATAAAACAGAGCGTAGTAACATAAAACAGAGCGTAGTAACATAAAACAGAGCGTAGTAACATAAAACAGAGCGTAGTAACATATAAAACAGAGCGTAGTAACATAAAACAGAGCGTAGTAACATAAAACAGAGCGTAGTAACATAAAACAGAGCGTAGTAACATAAAACAGAGCGTAGTAACATATAACAGAGCGTAGTAACATATAAAACAGAGCATAGTAACATAAAACAGAGCGTAGTAACATAAAACAGAGCGTAGTAACATAAAACAGAGACATTTACTGTGAATAAGTTGCAATTAGAACTGTTGCGGAACTGGATTGGGTCGATCACCGGGAACCAGGTAGCTCAAATGGTTAGTGTCCACCTAGAAATCGGAAGGTCCCAAGTTCAAACCCTGGTCTGGCCGTGTATTTCCCCCACCTGTTCGTATGGCGCCCAGCAATATATATATTTACATTTGCATGTCATTGCCACTAGATAAGCTACTTGAAAGCTGTGTCGTTAATGAAACTTTAAATGACATCCAACACGAGACACAACTCTCAGCCAAACATCACTCGACAATGCGCTGTTCCAGATATTGAACAAGTTTGTGCAGACTGTTGATAAGGCGGGAATTTTGAATTTTAAAAATAAAATGTGAAAGGTGGAGAAAACGTTAATATAAGCATTGCTTTAAATACCCACAGCAAGTGGTACTGTATAGGTTTTCATGTGTCTTTGGGGTCAAAGACTTTGTTAAAGGAGGGAGGATTGTAACAGAACTGGACCGAGTCAATTGCTGGCAACCAGGTAGCTCAATTGGTTAGAGTGTACATCTAGAGTTAGGAGGGTCCATGATTCAAACCCCAGTTTGGCACTGCATTTTTCTGCTCCTATTACAGAACACTGCCTCGTCAGGAAAGTCTTCCACAAATGCACGTCATAAGCCAGCATCATATGCATAATACACCATCAAAGCTGGGTAAGATGACGTACATGTAAACGTAGCAGTGACAGAACGCGAGGAAAAATCAATGCCTCAACTGATGCAGCATAACCATGAGACACACGGGGCTCAATTTCATAACTTTGGGAAAGGGGCATTTTTGTTTCATTTTGGGAAGAATAATATACCAATTGGGAAGAAAATTATCAGGAGTAAACTGCAAAGTTGGGATATTAGGCCAAAAAAGTCCCAAGAAAATGCCCCGACACACTAACTAGTGCAGCAACCTCAAGTGTTGTCAGGGGCTGGATGGGTGCCGGCCAGCCTGCACATTACATTTGGTGGCAGTGTCTCGACCCTAAGGTACCATGTAAGGTCAGTCCCGTTGTCTAGGGAAGGTGCATTGGTACACAGAGAGGACCTACAGTAACCCCTTACCAAGTCTCTAGATGAGACTTCTCTAAGGGGTAATAATGGAAAATGCTTGATGAGTGACAACTGAGAAGAAAAAAAATGTATGCATATATGTATAATGTACAATGTACCACTTACTGATGAATTAATGATATGAATTTGATTATTAATCACTGAAAGAATTAAATACTAGAATATCAGAGTACAGTTGATTCCTGCCAAATGTATAGCCCTGCATTTATAGCAAGTAATCACAGGGACAGTATATAGACGCCCCTGGTAATCACAATGTCACAATTTATAATCAACTATTTAATCATTTTTATCAGGAAATGATCCAAAATATAATCAGAAATAAATGAAAAATATAAGAAATAGACTGGAATAAGACTAGGAATTGATCTTTCTGCCCAAACCATTTTTACATTGTCAGTCTGATTATGTTTTTATTTACTAATCAAATAGGAAAGAAATCAATAATGGTACATGTATATGTATACCTGGAACAACTTCACAGAATCTGATTTCATTTTTACAACAGCTGAAGGTTGTGCATCAGCATGGCAACACTGAACACATTCAAAAATGGCAGTTGATTGCTAACATTAATAGAATCTTCCCCTGCCCTGAGGGTGTGACAGAGAAATCTCCAACCCGAGGGGTGATGTTTTTTGGTTGTCTAACCCGAGGCTCTGTCGAGGGTTAGACTATCAAACAAATCACCCGAGGGTTTGAGATTTCTCTGTTACACCCTCAAGGTACATAGGGGATGATTATTTTTCTCCCATCCTTTTTTTTCAGTCACAACTTAATCAACAGTAGTCTGCCATGTTTTTAAACAAAATCACATGTGGGGTATGCATATCGTCATTCCCTTTTGATGACGTCACAATTGAACACATGCTAATCGGCACAAGGCTATTTCCCCCTAGGGGGTGACAAGCTGATCTTTCCCGGCTAAAATGGGAGACACGCCTGTGAAGGGTGGGAGAATAATATATCTTTGATCATTATCCTTCAAGGTGGTGAGTCACTTTTCAATGATTTGATTGACAACTTCAATTATGGTTTGTTATTTGAAACCTAAATTAATTGTAATCATCCTGTCACACATATCTTGAAGACTTTCAGGATACTGAGCACCTGTTTTGAGTTTTGCCTGATCACACAAATGGTGTAATTATAAGTGACCAGCATCTAATTGGTCCAAACCTAATTGTCCCTAACATTACACACTGCCAGAAAAACCAAATACGGTCTGTAAATTTCATATGTATATTTGTATCAGAACTGGACTTGGTCGATGGTGGGCGACCAGGTAGTACTTATATTAATACCCCGCATCATCTGCCCCAGTCGGGTATATTTAAATTGATCCCATGCCTTGTAATGGAGCAAGCCCAGATTGAATCACTGGGGTGATTTTAGCATTGACAGCAAATGGCCGGGTCCTCATCAAAACACTGGTTTGGAATATAAACTATTTCTGTTGATCTCCTTAATGTTACTTGAAGTTAAAGTCTGCCTAAAATGTCATGAAAATAATCGAGTTTACGTAGCGAGGGCAATCGAAATCCGAATTGACTTCCATGTTGGAAAGCATCAGTTGTAATACTATATTTGGCATGATCCAGGTCTTATAAAGGAATGAATAATTGAGATAACATCACATGTGATCTGTCATGGAGGTCTTTTTTTTCTTTCAACTACAGACTTAGCTAGTTTTGTGAAAGAGTTATGTTATAAGTAAGGATTCGTTATTTCAACAAATATGCATTATTTTGATAACATAATATACTCATCATGAGGCGTGAATTATATATGTAATTTCTTACAGATTGGACACTTTTGATTTTGCTCCATTAGTGCTGGGCATATAGGACCGGTTCCTACTTGACATAGCTCTGACGATGCAATATATAAAAACTGTCTCATCGTTCCAAGCTAGCTATAGGTTATCAAAGCTAAATGAAGTGACCTGAGGTTGCTCAATTGCATTAATTGGTAGAGCATCGATCTGTCTAGAGTTTGGAGGATCCCAGGTGTGACCATACAACCCTGTAGTATTAGTATTTTTCAAAATTGACTGAACAAAAATTTGAGTTTATTGGTACAAAATAAAATTTTAAAAACCAAGAAAATTTATGTTTACATCTTCCTTAAGGTGCAGGGGCTCCATCAATGTTTTGCGATTATGCCCTCGTTTTGTTAATTGTTTTAATAAGTTTTGAGATATATGCCAGAAGAAAATGCTCACATTCCGTCAAAAACGTAACTTGATCGACTTTGCAAATGCTCTTTTTTCGCAACCACCGAAAGTAAAAGTAGCACGTGTAACGCTATATGGTTACTGTAAGAAGTTCCATGCTGTGTGTTGTTCAACGTTTTCCAACTGACTACTGTTCGTATTGACTCAGTTGCAAGGAAGAGTGTTGAATTTCAGGTAAAACATGAGATACGTGCTATACTTACTTGTCTGTTATTCTAGCTTACCACGACTCTACTTTCTGTTTTGTGTGTTCATTATTTAGGATACCTAGATGTTTTCATTGCAAAGAATACAACATTTTCATTTACAAGCGTTTTGGAGACGGACACCAATGTCCGGAAACAGCAGTGTGTATGCGCGCGAAATTACCAATTTCCTGCATAAACAAACTCATGAATCTTGAATGAGAAGAACCCACGGACTAGAACAAGAAGGAATTGTAACAATACGCAACAATGGACGAGCGTGAAATTGATATCATCTGTGTATTTTTACAATGCTTTGCAGTTACAGTCGTGCTTGTGGAATGTCATTGATTTTTCAAATGTGAAAATGTTGGATTTCTTTACAGGGGAGTAAGGAGACTGTGTTCTGATAGGTGGGTACACCGCGATCTGTTTGGGACTAAGATCCATAAAAAGACTGTAAGACAATACAACCTCTTAACGGATAGACCTACTTGTTAAACTTATAGCCATATATTCACTTAATCTTTTCTCATTCTTCATTTTTCATTTTTCAATTAGCAAGTATTTATAATACTTCTGTATTACTAATATCTGACTTAAAATGTGATTCAGGTCCGGCATCACAGCATGGACGTCTTACGTTATATGTTCACACGTACACAGTGTTTTCTACCAATTTTACAGCATCATTTAGAAAAGTAGATATTTTGATCAAAATACCCCATAATTTTTATCCTCAATTTTGGGAAAATCATGTACTTTCTGGCTGTTTTCGGCAGTAAAACAAGGAAGAATTATTTCAACAGGTATATTTATATGAAATGCATTATCACACATTGATCAAGACATTTTTATTTACAATGCCACTACAATGCCTTTTAAATCAACACCTACAAAGAAATTTATATTATGTATCTAACAATTAATTGTCATATATATCATTGTTAGCCTATGATATGACAACTAGGAAGGGGTTAACATATTTATATAGCAAAATGCCATCTACACTGTAGTTCAGTCTGAATATATCTAGAAAATTCCTTAATGTAACACTAGTAGATAATTTCTATAATGCATTCTTGCCAACCCTCCCTATAATTTAGCAGGGAGACTCCCAATTTCGAACCCTTAAATTTAGCAATTTCAAGCCGTGAATTTGCTAAAATATTCCCATATCCTAAGATCTAATGATTTCATCGAAAAGAACAACTGAAAATATGTCATTTAAAGGATTATTTTTTCACTAGGGTTATATACAAACAAATAATATCAAAACACTACCTTATTTAAATGTTCATTCCACAAATGCATGTGATATGTTAAAATCTGTTAGTTTCTAGCTATTGACATACTCTTATTGTTACTGTGAAAACAACATAGGGCCAATTGTTCACGTGTAATGTAATATAAGTTGGTGAAGAAACAGAAGTCAATATATTGTCTTTTTGAAATTGTATAGTAGCTCAGCTTTTATAGATTGTTCTTTCATAAGCACACTACACAACTTGTTTTATTTAACCTGTAAATATTAATCAATATAATTTATGTATCTTTTTGAAGATAGATAAAATTATATTGAATATATATCATTCAATGTAGTGGTACACATATTATAAAATGAACATTGTTTCCATGTATTGACTATTTTGCCTTGTTTTACTCACAGGGACTTCACATATAGGCATCAAATGTACAGTACCGGGGTATATATATGTAAAGAACGGTGATAAGTACTACACATGTACTACATACTTATATGAGATGTCCCTGTGATTTTACTGTTAAAAAGAAAAGATACTTTTCTCTAGTGAAAAGTGCCCATATGGAGCAAAACTTTGGAATATTTTCCTTATTTTTAAGAATATAATTATTTATTACATTTTTGCCAATAAAATATCAGATTCTATCAACTTGATAAAACTGATATCTTTTACCCTCTGACAAATATCAAAAGAAAACCACTTTTTGGTATTGACCAATCATAACGGAATCTTCTATTCCCTGCATTCAAAGGCAACAATTTTTTGTTCAGATTTAAATGAAGCGATGGTAGAATAAGTGGTTGCTATGGTAAATGTTTTGTACACACACTTTAGTATTTACATAAATGTACAATTAATAAAAAAATATAAGCAGTCATACCAGAAAATAGCAGAAAACATCGGAATTACGTTGAGTATTCCATTCAGAATGGCACGCAGCCTTGTTGTATGTTGTCAAGCGTGACGTCATGAGAATATGGCGCTAATTACTACGCTCTATATTACTATGACCACTAGCCCTCCATTACTGGGTCAAATTTTGGGTCAAATTCTACACATACACATACAATCTGTTTTTACATTCCATGGTAGACCTCAACAAAGTCCCAAGTTCTATTCAGGGCTGTGGTGGCTGAGTGGTTAAGACGTCTGACCGTCTACGACCGCTTGCCCTCCACTACTGGGTCGCAAGTTTGGAGGCCTACTTTGGGCAGTTGCCAGGTACTGGCAGAAGGTAGGTGCACAGGTTTCTCTCCACGCATACCAGCTTTCCTCCACCACCAAAACCTGGCTCTTCCTTAAATGACTATAGTATTAATGGGGTGTAAAACATAAACAAACCAAACCATACCAAATCCTCATTAAACATAAATATTTGAAGGGTTGAATATAACACAGATGCATGAAACATAATTTGATATTTACTTTCTGATCTGGAAATGTGATTTTTGGTGGTTATTTCAGAAACATTGTAAGTCCTGCAACAAAGGGGAAACATGTCACGCCTCCAAGGCCCTAGGTCGTTACCTAGCTCGAGGCACAGATCACTCTCTGCCAATGTCCGATGCCTGCAGGAAGCCTTGAATAGTGTCCTCGAAGAGGATGAAAGGAACGTGTTTGTTGGTGCCCTCAATGATTATCACACACATAGAGATGTACAGTTGTTTGTAAGGAGACTTAAAGCTATACTCAACACACAGTCCAAACGTCAGCTTCTGCCTCTGATTCGGAAGGTCATGCCTGGAACAGATGTTGAGGCTTTTGACAGATGGACTGGTAGTAGAAAGACTCGTGGATCACTTTCTTATAAGTCTCGTCATATTCCGAGAGATACACACACATCATCAGAACAATTTCCACAAGTGTCATTTGCAAAGTCTCAACGTAAGCCTCGGCAGAGTCCGATGAGTACAAAATCAGAAAAAAGTACAAGGAAAAAATCAAAAAGTGTTTTCGGTGGAAAAGTAAAATCTGAACATGCGTCAAAATCACGATCAACGCGAAGTGCTCCGGTGTCAATTTTGCACAACAATGGCCATATAAACAACAGCATTAAGAGTACTAGGGTTTCTAAAGCAGGATCAGGGTCACTCATGTCCCTCACACCTCAACCCAATGAGGTGCTCCGAGTAAACCTAGGTCAGCCCCCTAACCCAGAGGAGGGGTTTGGCTTCAGTATTCGGGGAGGTTCGGAGTACGGACTTGGGATATACGTATCACAGGTGGATGGTCGTAGTGTGGCGGACAAACAGGGCCTACAGCCAGGCGACATGATTATGGAAGTCAATGACATCACATTCAAGAAAATTGCTCATGATGAGGCAGTCAGGGTAAGCATTAATTTGCTATTATTTTTTATGATACACTATCCAACCTTCTTAATATTTCACTATTCCAGTATATAGAAAAATATCTTTTTCTTATTTAAGATAACTTAAGCTCAACTTAATGGATTCAGCACTTTTTGATATAATATATAAGTTTCCTACCTATTCTTTCCAACCCCCTCCTATACCATCAAAATGAAATTATACCGGAGCTTATTTTTGTTTCCTTGAAAATTCCACTATATGTTTTCCAAACATGTCAAAATATCTCTTGATTCTGAAATTTTTTTAAAAGCCCTTGACGATAGGAACCTAACTGGATGTTAATTGAACTTGAAATAATGGTGTTATATATATAGTATGAAATGCCAATATTCAAATGAGAAAAATAGTGTCAGTCAGTTCTGTGTAAATTAAACTTTAACAATTGGAGAAAATATATACCACAGAAAGGAGTAAGCAGATAGTATAAGATGTTGCTGGTGTGCAGTTAAGCAGTGTCTGCAGCATTATACTGAACAGTTAAAGCCGTGTCTGCAGCATTATACTGATCAGTTAAAGCCGTGTCTGCAGCATTATACTGAACAGTTAAAGCCATGTCTGCAGCATTATACTGAACAGTTAAAGCCGTGTCTGCAGCATTATACTGAACAATTAAAGCCATGTCTGCAGCATTATACTGAACAGTTAAAGCCGTGCCAGGACCAGCCTATCGTGCATGCCCTGGGTCAACCCCATGTAGACTGTCTGGAGAGTTGTGTTTGCCATTTCATGTTTAAATTGATTTCAAACATATGTTTCACTAGCTAATACACAAAATGTCTGCAATATTGGATGAAAAAGATCAATACTACTTAAGTGAAGCTACATAATGTATTTAATTAAAGGGGTGGGATCCGTTACACTGAGACTAGTGTTGGTTTTTAATAGAATGCTTTTTTTTCATAATACTGAGTATGATACCTAACATTGTAGCCGAAATCAATTCCTTTATTTTTAAACGTTTCACCTCAACTTCAGTGTATTAACAGTGTCTGAAGTCAAGTTGTTATTCATGATATTAAAAAAAATGCTGTGTACATATATATAAGGATTGAGGGAAAAGAAATTTAGATCTATAGAACTAATCCAGATACTGTAATTACTAATACAGACACTGTTATAACTAATCCAGACACTGTTATAACTAATCCAGATACTGCTATAACTAATCCAGACACTGTTATAACTAATCCAGACACTGTTATAACTAATCGAGACACTTTTATAACTAATCAAGACACCGTTATAACTAATCAAGACACTGTTATAACTAATCGAGACACTTTTATAACTAATCAAGACACTGTTATAACTAATCGAGACACTTTTATAACTAATCAAGACACTGTTATAACTAATCAAGACACTGTTATAACTAATCCAAACACTGTTATAACTAATCCAGACACTGTTATAACTAATCCAGACACTGTTATAACTAATCCAGACACTGTTATAACTAATCCAGACACTGTTATAACTTATCCTGACACTGTTATTACTAATCCAAACACTGTTATAACTAATCCAGACACTATTATAACTAATCCAGACACTGTTATAACTAATCCAGACACTATTATAACTAATCCAGACACTGTTATAACTAATCCTGACACTGTTAGAACTAATCCAGACACTGTTATAACTAATCCTGACACTGTTATAACTAATCCAAACACTGTTATAACTAATCCAAACACTGTTATAACTAATCCAAACACTGTTATAACTAATCCAAACACTGTTATAACTAATCCAGACACTGTTATAACTAATCCAGACACTGTTATAACTAATCCAGACACTGTTATAACTAATCCAGACACTGTTATAACTAATCCAGACACTGTTATAACTAATCCAGACACTGTTATATAGTGTGTTTTGTACATCATACTTATTTCAGGAAAGAGTGAATAGTATATACAAATATATATGTGTAGCGTAACGGGACTTGGTTGATCATTGGCGACAAGGAAGCTCAACTGGTAGAATGTCTGTCTAGAGATAAGAGGGTCTCGGCTTTGAACCCTTGTCTGGCAGTACATATTTCTGCTCCTACTAAAGTGTTGCCTTTGAACAACCCTTGTTTCAAGCATTTGGTGTATGCTTGGCAAGGGCATATCCAAACCTTGGTTGTAAATAGTCGTGTCTTCGGGGGCGAAAACTTAGGAAAAGGAAGGGAGGAATATAGCAGAACTGGACTGGGTTGATCATCAACAACCAGGTAGCTCAATTTGTAGAGTGTCCGTTTGGAGGGTCCCGGGTTGGAAACCTGGTCTGTCGGTGCATTTTTCCGCTCCTGTTACAAATGTACCCCAGTATTCCAGAATCAGAATAATGAATCATATCTTTAATGCTGGACACAGTATATGAATAAATTATGATATGTTCAAGAAATTTAACCATAATTTCTAATGCTTTCTGAACTCACTTATTTGTGATTTTTTAGGAGGATTTTTTTTTTTTTTGCCATCAGTTGGTAATATTGAATCCATCCATGTAGTCTTTAGTTTGAATTTCAATATTGATTGAAAATCTACTAGATGTAGGTGAAAAATGTCCATTTAATTCTATTTTAAGCTAACATCAGACTTTGTACAACCATGGTCCCAGCTCCAGTCTGGTTTCATCACAGTTTCCTTTACCAAACATGGAGACATTTGTTAGTGACCCCTCGATCAGTTATTAATTTATGAACCGCCAATCCGTCAGTAATTACTTCGTCTGTAAATCGGGATACATTGTAAGGTAGATACTGATAGATTGATAGCAGGTTATATATACATAATGTGGGAACGACAACCAGTTATTTGTAGTTAAGCATCACAAGGCCCTATAGCTACTGTGGTGCAGTAAATTACCTCTTGTTCTGATATCAGTAAATATATTTAAATATATTGAAGCTAATGATAATATACCAATTTTTTTATATTGTATAAATTTCTTAAATATATTTATATTTTGATGTGTTTAAAGTTCACTTATATACTGTAGGGTTTTATCAGGGGATTTTTGGGAAGGGACTTTTAGGTGAAACTGGGGAAAAAATCATTGACAATACATGTAGAACCATTTTGGGAACTTTTTATGACCATTCTAACGAACTCTTAATACATGAAATGAAACTGTTTTAACTTTTATTTAAACATATCTAAAGACAGCATAATTATTCTGCCCTTCCTAACTGCGAACTGGTATTGCTAACATTCTGTTGTATATTGTATTGGGAAATGTATTAAATCATGGGATTTATGGAGACTGTATAAAGGTGCTAAATACTCTTTAAGAGTTAACTATTTATATTAATTCACAGAATGAATGTATTTCATTGCCTTTGGTATTAAGAAACCCGTTGAAAATGATTGCTTGTATATATGGTACCATCTCATAAAGACACCATATATTTTTTATTTCATATGAACTTTTGCTCCCTATACCCCCAAGGTCAAGGTAACAGAGGAATTAGAGTTAAGCATTATAATGTTTTCAAGGTCAAGGTCACAGCTAGGTGTCAACTTTCACATCATTTGTGAAACTTTTGAAAGGCTAAACATTTTCATGAAACTTCATATATAGATGCATCTTGACAATTTGTCAATGCTAAGGTCAAGGTCACAGCAAGACTGAATTCCTTGTATCAGTAGTTCTTGTTCACCCATTAACCTAGTAAATATTGCCACAAAAAAATAAACAGGATCAGGTTAATTATCACATATATGCCTGGAGAAAGTCATGTTTCACTTTCGACGACTCTTTCAGTATTATATTTTGTCATTTGATATTTTTTCTAGCATTAGGTCCATCACAATTCTTAGGAATAATGTTGTAACATGATTTAGGGTAATTTACCGCTCCGTCAGATTTGTTTATGTGCAGCCTCAGTATAAGAAGGTACGTTGATGTTAAATAATTAACGAGGACAGGTAGGCAAAGTTATAGTGAACAACCGGCCTATCTGATGCCTGTTGGCTGCCAGTCCACTATAGCATACACCACACAGTAGCCATTATGTCCTTACCTGACTAATGTATTCTTATGCACAATTCAATTGTGACTTTAACAAAGTGCTAATTTTGGATAGAGCTCTTCACCTAACTATGCAGCAGTACATGTCAATCCCAGTACCTTGAATTGTTCATGGATTGATGTTTTATTGGTTATTCAATGATGTGGTTTGGCCAGCAACTAGAAGAGAAATGTATGCCACATAAATTAAAAATGAATTATACGGTCTAATCTACCCATGTGGCCGGTGGTCCAGCTCCAACACTGATCACCACTGACTGCAGTTACCTGGTACACATATAT